TGAAGGTTCGTCAATGAATTTTGATAAACGTTTTATTCTTATAAAGTTCAGAATGATGAAAACCAAAGCAAAGAAGATCCCTGTCATTGTTGTACCAATTGCAAGTAAATAAACAGAAGATGAACGAGTACAAAAATCTGAAAAATATTTATCAGTGAGAGCAATGATTGTCATAAGGGGCAACTCTTGACTTTTTGTTTGAAAATAAAAACTGATTATAGATTATGAAAAACTTTCAAATTTTCTTATAAATATTAGATATCTAAATTGAAAATTATTTTAATTTTTTGATTATTTATCTAATAATTTTCAAGATAATTTTGTTTAGTTGAATTCCCTCTGCCTCTCTCGACCTCGCTCTCATTTGTAAAGTTTTACTCTCTCGTATTTTGCCTTGATTCTTCTCGGAAAAAATATTTTTCACTCATTCGCTCAGACGTCTCAGCCTAGTTCAGTTTAAAATTTTCTTCTTAAAACAATTAATTAAATTAAAAAGTGCTTTAGCTTCGGAAAGTGAATTCTACGCTACGGTAAACCCAAAATTCAAACACCTCAATCGTTATTAAGCTTTCTTTGCCCAGCAATTTTGATTACAAATGTATTAAAATAAATTGTGCCTCGATTTTGTTGTTGCTGTACTTCGGCCGCCATTTTGAAATTCTAAGATGAAAATCGTCGGTTGCATAGTCAAAAGTTGATTAAAAGTGCCTTAAACAAAAGAAATTATCAACAATCTTATGCATCGAATTAAATTATGTCAAAAAAATTCGTCGCATTTTCGTAGTTTACAAATTAAAACAATATTTTACACCGTTTACCCGGGAAGAATTCTTCTACGCCTCAACATAATAAATTATGAGACGATTTTTTCACACTACTACGATGATCAAAGAATTTCGTTTTCTTAAAATATCTGCCGACATGTATCAAGAAATTAACTTCAAATTTTATCAGAAATGGCTAAATGAGAAAGAAATCAAGACACAATGAAAAGCATAGAAAATAAGCCTGTATTCCAACATTTATTTAGCATTCACACTTCTTCATAGGATATAACTTTCAAGTTTTTAAGAATTTTTTGTATTTGCCGAAAAAAGTCTACTGATTTTTCTCTAGATTCTTTTTCATGTTCTATAATTTTTTTTGTATGATGAAAATGAAGTGTGGATGATGTTTGTAGTACGCATACTATTAAACGTGCATAGTTGAGTGTGAAAATCGGAGAGAGGAGAGAAGAAAGCGACGCTCGAAAGAACGAGAGAGAGATATTGCATGCTTTATATATAATATTTTTCTTTATTTTATTATTTATATTTTTCTTTTGTGAACGTCTTCGTTTTATATCACCGTTGGCTCCTTATTTATTCTTCTGTATTACTTATGATTTCGATGCGTTAGCATCTCTTAGTTTCTGCTTCTATGGTTTCATGAATGCATTATTTTAGTTATTCTTATAAAAATAACAAAAACATCGAGCGACCGACGACTGTGAACTGAAAATGAACATGAAAAAAAGAATCAAAATGATTTTAAGAAACAAGGAAATTTTAAAGCTTTAATATAATTATTTTAATGCACGCCAATGAAAAAAAGTAACTTCACTTCAGTCACATTCTTCGATTGATTTACGAACAAAAAAGTATTGTTGTTTTTGATTAACTTCGAATTAAAACAAACAAAGTTCTTCATTATCAAACCAAAACAAATTGCAAATCACAACCCAAATGATTATTCGACATTTTATCTACCAAACCAAAACAATTTCGCTTTCTACAAATCCACAGTAAAAAGTCTACGATCCCTACGCAAATCAAGCATCGCAACGACAAACAGGCACACGCTTCGATCCACGAAAGACTAGCAAATCGACAAACATACCTAAGAAGCTTCGACGTTGATATAAAGTGTTGATAACATGGGCGACGAACGCGGCACAAGAGTTTACGTTGGTAACTTGACTGACAAAGTAAAGAAAGAACAGTTGGAAGAAGAGTTCACACGATTCGGAAAGCTTAATTCCGTGTGGATTGCACACAACCCTCCAGGCTTCGCATTCATCGAATTCGCCAACAAGGATGAAGCTGAATCTGCATGCGACAGCTTGAACGGTCAAGAGTTATTAGGATCGAAATTACGCGTTGAAATTTCAAAAGGACGTTCACGGGGACCTCGCGGAGGTGGTCGAGGTGGTGGTGGACGGTTCAGTGATAGACGCGGTTCTGGGGGCGGTGGTTTTAGACGCGAGGGTGGCGGACGATTTAATGACCGTAATTCAGGTGGGGGAGGTTTCCGTGGAGGTAGAGGGTCGGGAGGGTTTAGATCAGGTGGGGATCGTTATGGGGGTTCATCGTCCGGTCCACGGTCTTATGAACGTCGCGATAACTTTGGCTCAGGTGGTGGTGGCGGTTCGGGATATCGTTCAAGCGGGTCTGGCAGATCTTATGACCGTTCAAGAAGCCCACAAGGTGGCCGCAGATTCTAAGCTTAAGATTTTATGTGTTTTTTTTCCTTCATAAGCTGAATAATTTTTATTGACATTTATTTTTCGAACGTGAATTAAAACTACAAACTTTGACATAAGAATGCATTGTAAAGAAATCAAGAAAAAGAAAATATTTACTCATCCGTATCATCTTACGTAGCAAAAATATTAACTTTTTTAACGTTCATCTCCTTTGATTAATTGCTTATATTTTCATAAGCTACCAAAAATTAAATTTCATCGAATAAGAGAAAAGAAATAAAATGTAAACACTTGGAAATTTACCGGAAATTAGCTAAAGTTTCAAAGGAAAAAATAAAGAAGCATCCACAGCACGTCTCACTCATTATCGTTTAGCAACAATTGTTCCCTTCTTGTGAAAAAATAATAATGGATAAATAAAAACCAAGTATAAAAATTTTTAATGTGGAGGCTTGAAAACTTCAACATACTCATAACGTTTGAATAAAAAGTAAATTTTATGTGAAATTTCTTGTTTTATTGTTATTGTTGAAAGGTATTTATTAGTTTCTTCCGAAAGGAATAAAATTTAATGTTTCAGAAATTTTTTTTCCAACATTATGCTGGAATGGAAATGATTCAAAACCCTTCAAATTATTTGAATGCACGAAAGCATTACAAATGTTTTTAAATTCTCTTTGCCGTTTACATATTTTTCATTTCAAGGAGTTCTGAAAGTATGAATAGAGGAATGGGAAAAATTAACTCATATCCACACTCAGCATAATTCATAATAGGTCAACACACTTCCTGAAAGTATTTCACACTGTGACGACACAATTTTACCATTAATTCATAATATATCATGTAATTATTTGAAGCCATCAAGTATAGGAAGTAATTTTTGCTTCAAGCCGTTCGTTAATCAATTATTGATTGATGAAAGTGGATACATAAAAATGTCATTCACACAGATGACCGGTCATATTATTAACCGTGTTAATGAAAACATTTCTAATCTAAGATTTTGAAATGTGATTTCCTCTTTTCATCAAACTTTGTCCTTATTTGATAAATTGAAATTGGTTGTCAGTGAAAATATTACATGTGAATTTATTTGAAAGAAAATACAAATGTTGAGACAGGTCAGGTTTCAATGAGTTGAGAAATATTATTTTTTTATCAGAGACGTTAGGATGTATCAGATTAATGATTAAATGTATTGTGTAAATTGTTTAATTCTCGCTCGAGGATTCAATTTAATAATCTACCGAAGTTTTGTAAAAAGAACATTTTAGTTAGGAAATTTAATGTGTTAGATTTTCAAAAACAATTTTCCACTTACCCGATTTAGATCCTTCTTAACAGCATGGCACCATCATCAGTCAATTCCAAAAATGATGATACGAGCGACGAGTGTGCGAAAACAACGTTGTCGCCTAAACACTTTTGCTGTTCACTCTATGTGAGACTTTTTCCTTCTTCTAAAATATTTTCCTTCTCCGTTTACACACATTCAACAGTTTTCCATTTTCCGCTACGAATTTCTATAAAAGAACGTGAGTTTTAACATTTTTGTTTCAGAATTGCTCCAACACTTTGACAGTTAAGGTGACGATCGTGAGTCGCGGAAAAATATTTTCGAAGATTATAAAACGTTTGAAGAAATTAAATGGATAATTGAAGAAATAAAAATAATTCTCATTATATTTCCACTTTAGAAGTTTAATTTAACAAAAAATCAAAAAATAAAACAAAAATGTTCAATATTTCGTATCTTGTGATGTTTTTATTGGTTGGATTAATTGATGTCAATACAATGACGATAAAGAGAAGCGAAAAGTCGGCAAATAATTTAGAGAAAGTTGATGAAACAGAAGATCCTTTGAAAGTGAATTACGATGTTTATCCGGTAAGGATTGTTTGGACAAATTAACAAATATTTCAGTGTCTTAATATTTGATAAATAAATTATCCATTAAATTGAAAATCAAGAAATTGAATTAAAGTTTGTGGCTTGTGGTTTTTTGAGACGTTTTCATAAATTATTGTGTCCGACATTCATAGCTTAAATTTCATATTATAAGCAAAGAAGGACCTACATTATAAATCTTTCACTACAAGGACACATTTTTGAGGTTTAAGATTTCCTTACGAGACTTTACGTTCTTTTCATGATGACGAAATTTGTCTTCCTTCGTATGAGTAAAACCCACAACAGGTTTTTCAATTAAATTTATTATCATACAAAAGTTTTATGTAAAAATTAAATCAGACAACGAAAAATGAGAAGATCTTATCGAACATTCGTTTCTATAATCTTAATTATTTCGTTTTACCATAATAATTGAACAAATTTACATACTAAAAGCTAATGGATAATCAAGCACATCAAAATTTACTTTTATGCTTCTTGTCATGTTTCCAATGAAATTTCTCGCGTGACGCCCGAATTATAACAAATTTTGTGCGTGGGAATTTACTATGAGTCAAGTTATGAATGAAATTGGATCAATAACAGTCAATTGTTGTTGACAATTGGCAAATAAAACGACTCTAATGACGATTAACAATTTCCTATTAAAATTTTGAATAATTAAACTTAACATTTTAATACTTATTGCTTTTACATGAAAACAATTTTAAAAGAAAAATTGGCGAAAATTACGTCAAACACCTGTTTTGGTATATTTAAGAAGAATTTCCACATGTGTCATAAATATCAAATAAGTAATCAAGATTCGCTAAAATTTTATCTCTTTGAGAAATTTTCCACTTTCTTATTTCAAATTTTGTTATTTTGGTCGTCGAGTTAAATTCATTCAAGTGGAAATTTTTTGACTCCCCATTGACAAATCTAAGATGTGTAAACATTTGAGTTCGCGTGTAGAAATTGTGTCAATTCTATGAATACATTACAATTAAGTTAAAGGTATCTTGATTCAGGAAATGAATATGCGTAGGATGTTTGTAAATTTAGACACTGCAACAATGATTGATGACTTAATTTTGCTTGATGAGAGTTCACATTCGAGTTCATATAAAAGTTCATCGCACAAATTTCTGATTGTTTCGTTCTGATTCACTTTTCTTAACAGAAACATTATTGTTCGGATATTTACCCACTTGATTTAACCGATTTATCAATATTTGTCTTTACTTGTTTCCAGTTAGTTTATCCGAAACGAGCTGCTATGCTACTCGATCGTATAATGGTCGCATTACATCACGCACTCGAAGACGAAGACACCAAAGAGATTAAAAAAATCAACGACTTGTATCGCAATGGTCAGTTACCGCTTCCACAACCCAATAATCCCAATTTAACACCGAAATATTACAAAGGTAAAAGCGAAAGTGATGCTTATTATGGATATAAATTGATTAACGGACAAACAGGTGAATTGATTTATAAATAATCAGGTGTTTTATTGGTGTTGCTGACATTCAAAGAAATTTATAAAATTCTAAATCACAAAAACCTTTCACACTGTTCGAAATAAACAAACAAAAATTTTATATTTATTATTACACATTAGAAATAAAAAAAAAACTCTAACTTGAGTGTTCGATGTCAAACGAATGAAATTATTTGATTTAAAAAATGACAATTGAAACTTTAATCTATCAGATGACTCAGAAGACATGGGAGGGAGATCCACAGAATTTGGTCTGAGAAGTGCTGATTATGATCAGGAGAGTGGCGGAGATAATACGGTCAGTTCACTAGTACATTCGAAATTCCATGAATCTTTAAGAAAATTCTTTCCAGATGGATTTACAACGTCGTGGTCATTCGGCGGGTCTTGGTACAAATAAAAGTCGCGTTTACTGGCGATGCTACTTCAATGCTGTGACATGCTTTTAAAGGACTTGAAATTCCTAGACAGACATTTTTGAAAAGTGAAAACTTTCTTTTCTTTTGAATTGAGATGTTAATCAAAGAAAACTTGTAACTGGTTCAACATTGAGATGTGAAAACTTTTCATCTACAGAATGATTTTTTTCTATATGAATTTTCATAAAAAATGAGTATTTATCCCCAAAGAAGAATTATACTGAATTGCAAAAATTATATCCGTGAATGTAGTGATTGTAATTAGTTAATGACGTTAATAAAATGACTATTGGAAAGCGAAGCAAAATTGTCTCAATGTAGGCGTTATGAGCGGCAAATTTTAATATTTATCAAAACCAACATTAATGATGATTGAAAACATTAAAACTGCAGAATCACAGAACTCAAATTTTCATAGCTTTGCTTACGTGCTGTTCATAAAGTAGGTTTTCTATGTCGAAGCTTTTTCAAGCTTTCGAGAGCTTTCTTTTGAGGGATTGGAAAATGCTAAAATATTGAAGACATTTTTCATTTTTCACCAAACACATTACTCCATCTATTGGTAGGTAGATGAAGTAATTATCCATGAAATTTATCAATCAACTTAGAACAGGATAAAAATATGTCCACGTTACATGTGCAGATGCAGTTTAAAGATTTTATATAGAAAATATGACACAACATTTGATATATTTTGTCTTTTCCTGCATCACATTTGAATGCAGTCCGAGTGAATGTATTTGATATTTTCTTTCAATAGACGTAAATGAGTTTATCAGAAAGTCATGAAAACTTAGATTCAATACCTTCCATTCAGGGCAGAGAGTGATATGGAGTATGACTTTGAATAGATATTCAAGAGAAATCTTCAATGCATTGATTTTAAAAACTTGAATGTTGAAGAAGTTTTCTTTCCCATATCATCAACTTTCAATTACAAAAAAAAGCATTAAATGTCAATTAAACCTCTCCTGCATGATTAAAAGTAAAATTTTCTGTTATATTGCACAAACTTTACTTTTTCCCCAATGAAATTAAAATAATTAAAATTATTTTAAACTTTTTGAATGAGAGGTAAAAATATGTCGAAAGATTTAATTCAACGTATACGTGAGAAAATTTATTATACAAAAATCGTAAACTGATGGCATAAAAAATGTTTTATGAAATCCTTAAAATCTTCAAGCAACAGAAAATGCAGAGTTAGTAACCGGAACAGAGAAGCTTTCAGTAAATCAATCATGTTCCACTTGATTGATAAAGTCGCTTACTGTTGTTTTATGACTTGCAAGTTTTCCGCAGATATCAACAAATTTTATTCAATAATCTCTTATCTTGTTGAGGAATTAGGTTGATGCGACTAAAAGATAATCTTTCAGTTATGCTTAAAATTAAAATATTTCAAAAGCTTTCAGAGAAAAATCAATGAAATGAGAATTTTTCACAATTCTAAATGATTCTTTCACTCAAGTCTGTTAACCTGATTGACTTACAATTTTCCATGAAAAGTCATTGAATAAATGTGTATTAATTTTGACTAGATAAAATCAAATGCCTACGTCATCTTTATAATACCTGAGGCGTCAGCGGAAAAGGGTTAAGTTGGAATCGCGGATGATTATCGGGCTTATCTGATTTTCGTCTAAATAACTCGATGTTATTTTCCCAAATATTAAAAACATAAAACTTATTAACCTTTCGGATTTAATAATCATTAACAAGGATTAACGCCAACGGAAATAGATTACCTAATTGATATTTTTATGACAATTTTTGATACGCAGGGAAAGCTCGTTAGAGGTTTCAATGGGAAGATAGGATTATTGTCACACAGAATCATAGTTTCCAATAAAATTAAGGTCGTTACGTAGTTGTTTGATTAATCATTTGGGATTCACTGAAAAAGGTGAAAACAAATATGTTTATTAATGTTTAATTAGTTTTTTTTTGGCCTACAGTGTTTTCAAAAACAAGCGAATTACGCCAAAGTGTTGTTTGCGACATTTTCTTATCTATGTCTATGGAGTTGATGTTAATTAAAGTTGTAAATTTCATTTTATTTCGAAATAATATGAAAAATAATTTCGTAGAAATGATAAATTTAACTTCACGATGACATCATTAAGATCGGGTGATCCGATTTGATTTGATAATTCAAATACCAACAAAACTTAACAGAAGCTTTTCATCTCACGTTTTCCAGCATATGTAAGTTTTTAATTGATCTATATTGTTTCAACTTGAAAAAGGGATGTCTGATCATGAGAATATTTTAAAATAGTGACTTTCAGTAGAAAATTAAATAATAATCTTCGATAAGAATAAAACGAACACATTGCATGAAAAATTGCAAAAGCCGAAACGATGAGAAAAGTCACGCGCAACAGATGATTCTCGTATCGGGAAATTCTACACTTTTCCTTCTGTCCCACACAACAACACGAAGTCCCGAAGCGAGTAGCTTTTCATTATAAAATGTTAGGTTCTGCAACAGAAACGAGTAAGTTGTTAAACAACTGTTGAAGTGTTGAGTCGTGAATAGTAGAACAGTAGATTTATTAAGTCGTGATAACAACAGCTTTATTCAGCATAATAAAAGTGAAAAGTTCATTATATCGAATGTGAGTAATTGGAAATTGATAAGAAAGTATAATTATTGGAGAATGAGATTTATGATGGTCGAAATGAAGTGAAAATAACAAAAGTCACAGTTGATTAAAAGCAAACGATGCAAATAAGTTTCATACATAAATTTTCTTACATTTCGAATGGCAGTAATTTTTATTTTGCTGTGTCTCTGACTGTCTCGAAATGAATTTTAATTCATTTATGAGAAGCACTGTGGATGGTAACACAATGTTTTCGGAGTTAGAGTCATTAATAAGATTAAATATTCAAAATCTAATGTAATCATGGACTAACATTGTCACATCAATTTTATGTTCTTTAAGACAAATATTTATCAGAAGGATGAAACATTCTTTATGTTCATTTCGTGTCGATGAATTTAGTTAATGACTTTGAAACTTGCTTAATTTGTTTTTCATCAACTGAACTTTCATGTTTCTCTTCCACACCAATTAAACATCAACATTTAACCGACTTTGAGAAATGATTTACGAAAATATTCGCATTTCTGTCCTTTTTATTCAGTGATCGATTTAGTAACTGAGGTTATCGAATTTCTACTTAATTAAGAAAAGCCGACAAATATTCAAACATTTAAGATGAGATTTATATCATTATATCATTCACTGTTCTGCATGAGTAATTAACCCAAAGAAAAATTTCGTGTGTAATTAATCGGAAACATCCGTAGACAAACATTTTCAATGTCAGCTATGCTTGAAGTGATTGAAGAACTTTTAATCTTAATTTCTTCATTGATGCGTCTTTTCACATTTTATTTTTATGGGTTGAACATGACTTGGGAAGATTTGAATTATCCATGAGCCTTAAATCAATTATTTAAGAGAAATGAGTTGACATTTAAGTAAACTCCAACATACCATCGACTTTGGGACCATAAAATTTATGATTTAAGATGATGGAGTTGACTTTTTCCTTGAATTATCTGTTTGATAGATTTAAAAAGTTTTCTAATCGATGTCGTCGATGACAGCCACCTTCAGAAAATTCATAATTTAACAGCGATACATGATGAAAAACTGACAATCTAAGCTCTCACGTCATGTCTACTTCATTCAAGGAAGAAAGGAAAGAAAATAATTTTATTTACATTAACATTTAATTAAAGTATGATATTACATTACATGCATATTGTATGACATATAAGTATTGCTGATGTCATTCATGAAATTGGTTCCAGGAAGATAACGTCAATTTCCTGCAATTGGTTTTTCGTAAGCATTTAGTTGGATGTTGAGAGCGTCCAGAAAAGCTTCTGTCAAACTATACATTCGTGTATATAGTGTTAAATTTTTGACGGTTTCTCGTCAAAAATATTAAAATAAGAAAGAAATATTTTCTCGAAAAGTGTTATTGTGAGAAATGAATATTATCATCAATTCTGTCGAAACATCTTATCGTAAGATCAGCGATAATTTAATTTAATCAATTTATGTAAGTGATTTTCTTTTATCATGTCTTTGAGCTTCCTTCTTAGCGTCATTTTACAAAAGTCTTAAATTTTCTTTCTTTCTTCCCTAGTGTCGTAAACTGTTCCATCTTATGTTATTTTGTGTGTAATCTAATATTTATTTTCTAATGAACGCGAGCGCCGTCATAAAAGCGAATAAACAAAAAAGCTTGACATTGTCTTCTCATCATGCAATTTCATCCTTTCAGAAGGAAGATTCTTGACGTTCGTTTCAGTTAATTATAAACAAAAAAAATAAAGCATTAATCCCTTCTTTAAATAAAAATTGGTTATCGGAAATTTTATGCTTCGCAGTTATTTAAATCGAACTTGACATAATTTTTAAACATTTGCAACCTTCGTCAACATGTTTTTTTTAATAAATTTCCCAAGATACTACAAGAATAACTTGGTTAAAATTTTCAAATCTAATTGAAAGAATTTCACATGTTTATTTACCGCTTCTCCCTTCTCACTTTTTTTCCTTGTGATTAATGAGTTGATGTAAATATTTTGTCGGCAAGGAAATGTAATTGATGTGGAAGAAAAATTTACATTCTAATCGAAATTTATCGCTGCATAAAATTAAAACAAATTTGATTTGATATTCAAGTCATTTGTCTGTTTCATCGTATGCAAATAATTGCATAAAACAGTTTACGGAAAGTATTAAAGTCTGTAGGAAGAAAACTTTTACCGGCTTTTGTATGTGAGAGTAGCTTTTACTGGGCATTAAGGGACATTGCACCTACAGTGACTGTCAATAGCTTCAATCAATATGAGGTCATGCTAAGAGTTCTGCATTGGATAACGAATAAACTTTACATGTAATTTCACCTTTCCGAAAACTCTCCCAAATAATTTTTTTTAATCCTTCAAAACCACGTAATAACTTCAAGAGTTTTGAATATAAAAGAAATATTAGGCAAAAGCTTAAACAATCTCTTTTCTCACTATTGTTACAATAGTGATATAATTTTTACCAATGCAATGGTACCTTAAAATCAAATTATAGAAATGTCCTACTTTGAATTTCAAAAAGTTTTTCTTAAGTCATGCAATTTTTTTCTGAGAAATTCGAAAAAGTTTTAAAAAATTCTGTTTACACTCAACAACAATAGGGATAAATTTTTTGTCATTGAAACCTCAAAATCAAGTTAAAAAAATGTCCTTCTATGAATTTTAAAAAGTTTAATTCACGTTATAAGTCAAAGTTTCTCAGTATTTTTTCTAGAAATTCGAAAAAGAATCCTCGAGGCCTTCGGTGTTAGACATAAATTTGTAAAAGCTCCCAAAAGTTTTTTTGAACTTCGCACGCACTTGAAACTTTTCTCGTGACTTGAGGGTGTTGAGTCATTTATGATGTTAACTTGTTGAATGACATAATTCAGGTTTGTTTTTTAGGAAATTATATTTGCATTCTTACGTAACCAGAGTTGATTTTATAATATCTCAAAGTATTTTAATTGGAATGAATTAAACTCAGATTTAGTTGACAATGAATGATTTAAAAATTATTCTTTAATGCTTTCGATTTTCAAGTTTTTTGATAGTAATTGAAACATCCATCGTGCCAGAATCATCTTCATTTGGTTTTACAAGATCTAATCTCATATTAATTATGTCGGTGTCAAAATTCTCATTACGTATTGAAAAGGCAAAACATTTATTAATTGCTTGAGATGCTTTAGCTTTGAGTTGTTTCATGAAAAATTGAAACTTTAGTGACAATGTAATTTTCATTGAAACACCTTCGACTTACCAATCAATTGGTCATCAAGATATATTTCATATTTGATACAGTGTTGAGATAGGCTTTCTGACAAACACGACGACGTGCTGTCAACGTGTTGTTTAATTGATCTAAAAATATTTCCATTCGAACTTGTTGCATCACTTGATTCCGATGTTTCTTTGTTGCACGTGGGTGAACATTCACTGGAGTAATCATCATCGTCACTATAGTTTCAATGAAGGGTCAATTAAATTTGCATTCAAAACTCTTAAACTCTTAATAGAAATTCTCTTCACCATTGATTTCGAAGGGTTGTTTCTTGCACAGACTCAAAATCTTCACAATTCTGCTTTTTGAAAGATGTTCGTGTTCTCTCCAAAGATTGACCTCTTCGTGACTTGAACTTTCTTAAAGTCTTCTTCACATTTTTGCGAGAAGACGAAATTTGTTCCTTTTTTATCATCTCTTCTTCATTGCTGGCGCTGCTGCTCTTAACTTTGCTGTTTTCAAGTCTCAAAATTTTATTTGCAAATTTAATCACCAAACTTAATTTTTCATCGATATTTTCAGCTTCTTTTAGATGAATGGAATTTATTTTAAAAGTCAATTCAAAACAAGATTGGAGACAAATGTTTGAGCTCATGTTACTTTTACTATAATTTGAATGTTTTAATCATCCTTTCGCAAAGATGTCTAAGATCACGTTGCCTATGTCATGATGAATTCACGGAATCAACCACACAAAATATTGATGAATGAAATTAATTTATTGAACACATTTCATTCATCAATATTTTACGTGAAAGCCACAAATCTGAAGGGTCAAATTACGATAATATGTAATCTATATCTATTATCTTGTAAAAATGTGATGACATTTCTCATAGTAAAAATCTCATCATTAAAATTTATCGATCAAACTTACTCCACATAAATAAGATGCGCAACAAGTTTTCTTGTTCACGTAACATGATAATAAACTTCATGAATAACATTTGACTTGAAATGAAGGAATTTGAATATTTTCTTCCATAAAGTATTGTAAAGTATTTACATGAAAAGGTTGTTGGAATAATTTTTTGAATGTTGGTGCTACCTGTTGAATTTATTATCACAAAAATGCTAAAAATGTGAAAGAATGCCGCTTTAAATTTCTTTAAATCAAAGAATTCGATAGATTTATTATTTTTGGATGGTATTAATTAAGAATTTTTACTTATTTATTGCAGAACATCTCAAACTGATACACACCAAACCAATCATTTGACAACATATAAAAATGGCTGCAATTGCTTCGTCAAAAAGAGTTTTCTACGCTCTCGTTTTATTTTGTCTGACTACTTTAGTGACTTGTCGTCCTCAGACTACCATTGATAGTCAGGTGTGTGGACATAAGAAGTTTTAATTGTATGAAAATTGTATTAAGATGAATTTCTTTATAGGATCCATCGGACCAAGACAGCACCAATGAAATTCAACGTCTCTACAATGCTTACAGCAACTTTCCTTCTGCAAATATGATGTCGCCTGAAGATCGTATGGCATGGAATCGATTGCAATACGAAATGATTGCTCATTACATTCAAAACAGGTACTGATCTCGTAAAATATTATCTTAGAGTTCAATGTACCTTGAATTTTCTTTTTTCCAGTATGCCATCCGGAGGTTGGCCAGAACAAATCTATCGAGCACCTGAAATCAAGCGTCAAGTAAGGTACCGACAATGCTACTTCAATCCTATCTCCTGCTTCCGTAAATAAATTATTTGTTCGACACTCTGCATCCGGTCGGGGCACATCAATCACCAACCTCTCGCTCAACATTATTTTACTAATTAAATTGAATTCATAATTTACATAAGATTTATTTGTATGAAAATCTATGGAGACGTTGGAGCATACTTTTATTAGTCATAGTTTTAATTGAAATGTCGCCTGCAAACAGTATCAGAGAATTCTAAAAAGCAAGTGCTGAGAATTCATACGTTAAAAATTGCATAAATATATAACTTGATTCATGATTTTAAGTTTAGAAGTCGAGTATTAGAGCAATACTGGACAAAAGCAGTTTCACACAATGTTCCAGATCTAAACTATGGTGAATAGTAAAGAAAGTACTTGATTATTATGATTTCACAACCGCATCGTACAAATTTTTATTGCTAATATCTCGTAAGCTGAGCTATTTAGAGTTTTCTGATCATTTGTTTAGTCCTATAATAAGGCATCGAGAAAGAAGCAGAAAGCGTCTTTAGATTAAATCTAATAAATATTTTTGATGTAAAATTTTCTGTATGAATTGTTGAAAGATTTGAAGGAAAATCTTTAAAGCCATGTTTCACCTAATTGAAGTGTAATTCAAAAATGAAAGATTGTCGATTTTCACAATTTCAATTTTTTGATTAATGTCTGCACCATAATCAAAAAGGGGAGCACTTTACCATCAAAAAAGTTGATAATGAAATTTTAGTTTAGAGCCTTTTTTAATTTCAAAATATTTTATGAAATTATATCTTAAAATGACATTTAATATAAAATTATGTAATATTTAGTCGCATGGATGATGGAAAATATTGGTTTCATGTCTCACATAAAAGAAATAAATATGACAAAAAATGATGGATATTTTTTTATAATTTTAGTTATTGAATGCTTTTCAGATTGAGGTTTCAACTATCGAAAGAATTGATCATGTTTGAGAGTGCTTTTAAGTTATGAAAATTTTCAATATTTCCAATATTTCCAGGTGAACCCTACAAATGTTTACTTGACATTTGTATATCTTCGTAGTTTCAGTTTTCGTTGGATCACGATCTTTTGCAATGGATAAAAAATATTGCAAATATTTTATGGTATTTCATTCGTATACCAGAGATTTTTTTGTCAGAAACAAAATGTTAGTATAACAAAGAGATGTGTCTGTTCCCGTTAACTTTTGGTATTAATATTATTATATTATTTTCAGACTACAAGTTTACTCATAAATAGAATACAAAAGAGTTGAATATGTTACTTTATAAAACTTATTTATATACCTAAATAAAAAGCGGCATTATTTGCAATTATAATATGAATATTTAAACTTATTTAAGACCGTGATTAACAGTTGATAAATTAATTTATTTTTCTCTTAATTTGTATTATTTATATAACGGAAGAGAAAACTTTATGAGATATAAATAAAATCAAGTCATACAATTTAAAGCTAATTTGTATTACAAGCTTGCACAAAATGATAACTTGCATATGAGATCTTACAGTTTTAGAAAAACAGTTAAAACTTTTATAAAGTTATAAATTTATCTATTTTTTTATATCATTGTTTCTCAAACATAGAATCAATTAGATATACATTTTGATACTTAACTTTTTATTAGTTTATTGCTGTAATATTTGTACCCAAACGTTACATCAATCAATATGATTCATATTGAAAAACAAGCAAATATTTAATTTACATACGTTACCGACTTTTATATTTGAAATTTTTCTCGGAAAATGTTTTCCTTTTTACAAATTTGCACAAATACGACTAAAAAGAAAAGACAACAACTCAGTTATCAGCTGATCATGTGTTATCAATAAGAAATAAATTTATCTTTTGTATATTCCACGAAGGTCAATGATCTCATCAACCGGCGATGATTTTTTAAAACTCCGCCGACTTTGCACATGCTGCTCTGTAAATATGGACAGCCTTTATTTCTTTTTCCCAAACTTAAAAGCCATCGAAATATTTTACAAATATTTATGTAAATTTATTCAGACGACCTTGATACAATGCGTTTAAATATGAATTCCTCAGCAGTTTAAAATGACGTCAATGAACTGTCTCATAAAAGCAGACGAAAATAAACAAGATGACAAGACTTATCAGCATGAAATCGAAAGTGTAAAGGTTGCGTGTTAAAGGTGTGCGAATTATGATAATTTCAATTTCTAACTAATTTATTTGCTTTTAATGCTAAATTATTTGCGAAGCCTTTGATCACTCAGATTTGCTTCAAATTAAAGTATCTGAGTATCTAATTGCTGTTTCACATCAAAAAGAAAAAAGATCTTAAAATCATTATAGAAAAAAAGAAAGCTGAGTAAAACAGAATGGAATTTAATTACTTTAGTTCAAGCTTAATCATTAATTTTAATAAAAGAATTCAATAGGAAGCGAATATTTTTTTGCGTAATCAGCATTATCAGTATATTGTTATAATTTTCCCTATAGGGATGTTATTTAAAATTCTACCACGTGCGCTTTCTCATGTTACAATGTTTGCATAAATAGGTCATTTATTATATTTCTATATTCTTGAATGAAATACAAAAATGAAAATATTTAATAGTTATTCATTCATGGTCATTATTAATACGTACAACCTACTTACTACTAGGTGGTAGTGATGCAAAATTAGAGACTTGGTAGCAAAAAAACAGCAGTTGGAGATACATTAAATGTTACAAAACTTGTGCATTGATGTATGTAATGACACCCATAATTTTATAGTAATGCACACGAAGAGTTTTGAAATCTCATCTCATTGAGTTCAATTTAATTCAAGAAAATCACTGAAAATCAAATGTGCTTCTTTACAAATGTGTAAGTTTATGCTTCACAATAAAAGCAACATAATTTTAAAAAAAAGAAACAAATAAACAAGAAGTTCAAAGAAACGAAATGGAAAGTGAAACATGAGAACATAACAATTGGCGATCATATGGTTGAGAATGTGTTTGTAACATCAGAAGTATATGTCGAGAGTGTGTACTGTGTGATATTATAAACATTCTGTTACGAGACAGAAAATATTTCAAAAAGTTTATATTTTTACTTCACAAAAAAAGTCAGTCTCGTTTCTAACGTCAAGCTATAAAGCTGAGAAAAAAAGGTTTTAACTTAGAAATAAAAAAACAGAGGAAAAAATATTAAGAAAAAATTAAGATTGTTTATTAGAAGACAGATTTGTGTGCATTAAAATATTAAATCTATTTTTGTCTTTCATTCCTCATAACTCTTGTTGCATATTAGAAGTGGCTATCAGTAGATTTATTTTGTGTAAGTTGAAAAACATAAAACGAAAGGAGAAATTCTCATATTTCGTTGTTTTTTGTTATTTTCGGAAAAATGGAGAAAAATGTAAATAAATGGCAGAGTTTTATCGTGTAGAATGTGGACAAAAAAATGAAGTGACTTCTCTGAAATCAGTAAAGAAAATAAACTCAAATCCAATGTAATGAAAAAAAAAACTTCAGGAAATCGAACCGAGTCGACCCAGAATAATGAATTGTTTTTTAATTTTTAACGAAAAGTGTTCGAATAATTTCTAGTTTTTTTCTCTCTGTTTTTCTGACATTTTAAAACATACCTTCATGTCATTCCGAAAAAAAATATGCTCTCAATCAAAATTTATGGAACCGTCGTTCTAGAGTCAAATCATAAAAGTTGTTTTACTACTTTAATAATTACTGCCTGAAATAATATATTCATTTCATTTATTCACATTTAAATAAATCGACACAAGTGACTTTTCAAATGATAATCTTTTACGCCTGTTCTTTTAGGTTGCTCCATGTGAATGTGATATCCAAATAAAGTAATTTAAGATTTCAATCAAGATTCATCACATTGATAATAAATAAATTTACTTCGTAAATTGAGAAAACAAATAAATCAGAAATATGGAGATAGATGGTGATGAGATTCAACAAATCAACATTAATTTCGAAAATATTTATTACACTGTTTCCGTGCCTAAACAAAAAGGTGAGTTTACTACTTAGTTAATAAAAATTGAAAGTGTTATGTTGTAACTTCAAGAGGTTTTGAATTGATAAAAAAAAAGTTTATTGTGGTTGAGTGAAAATTTTTATTTTTCTTATCTGGATTTGGTAATAACTGAAACTTTAAGTTGTTCACTGAATAAATGGTACAAAACAAATCCCGGAAATGCACATCAATCCTGTAAAAACTGTTAACTTAATACATAAATAACGTAAAGTAAGGTCTACTGTAAACAACGTTTTAATTAACTCAGCCATTGACCATGAAATCGTGAAGAAAAATGTTAAATTTTCCGGTCAATGAACAAGATTATAAAGAAGTTACCTAGAGATAAGATGATTGTGTAACCCCGGCATTCTGATATTTATATAAAAACAATAATGACTGTACATTTAAAATGCAGACGCCAAATTGACGATTGTTATAGAAAAATAAGAATTTCCATTCATTTAATTGCGTAACAAATCATCTTCGTCTTAACATCAAATCCTCGAGTTACAAATATCTTCGTACATGAATATTTTTGAAAACATTTAATTCTTCAAACTCTTCCTTTGTTTCTGTATGTGTTAACAAGGGCTAACTTTTAAAATAATTAAGACTTAAAAATAGTTGTGCGAAGGTCTTTTTATGAAGATTGAAACTTTTTAATGTTTATTTGTTTGAATAATGTTAATGTTGAGATGAATTAAATCATAACGTGATGAGATTACCGACTTTAAACCTTCCAATAAGTTAAAAACATTTTCACGTTCAAGATCTACTAAAATCTTGACCTAACATAACGTATTGTGACTAATTTATTTACTGCCAGCACTCTCTTAAAAACAATGGACTCAACATTTGCTTTTGATGACTAAATGTTTGCAGAGCATGTAGAAATTTTCAACATCAACATCAAAAATCGTAAATGCTTGTCAAAAATTTTCTTAACCACATTCCTTACTTTTTATTTGGAATTTCAAGTGATCTTAACGTTGTCAAGGAAATAAATAAAAAAAGAATCTGTGAGTCAGCATCAGATGAATGTTTAAGAAATAACTTCCACGTTTATATTATTTCATCGCAACTAGCATGATAAATAAATCAGATTTTTGTTAAAGATGTTAATTACGCTTCTACTGATTTCATTTTTTCAATGTAGATATATTAAAATGACATAAATTAATTTCAAGTTTTGATCTATAAAGTTGTTGAAGTTTTTTTTCTCTTAAACAAGTTCGTAGCAAATTAAATAATTATGAAAGGCGTTGGTGGGTTCACTAGAATTATATTTAAACGCGATTGTAAAACTTTTCATTTAACCAATTTTCACATGATAAACATGTGATTTGTATTTGAACAAAATGAGTACAAGATAACGTAGTCATTAATGTAATGAAATGTTTTAATCGAATTACAATAATCTACCTGCTTAATGACTAAAAATAATTGTAAAGAAAAAAAGTTGAGTATTAATTATCTAAAAAAATGATCACGAATTTCAAATACGAAACTTGGAAACAATTAAAAAGTTTGTCGTCGTAATGAGAATTGTGATTTCGGTGAACAATCGATTGATGTTGCATGGAATTTTATTAATCATTTCTAACCTTTGCACTTAAAGTATATTGCCGCATGTAGACAGTTCAATTCCGGTACGTATTTGAAATGCGCTTGATCATGTTATCAGGGATCCACGTTCTCATAAGCCTCAAGTAACCATTTATTGAGACACGCTCGTAGAAATACGTTCGATCATTCACATTACACAATTCTCTACTATCGCTTAAAGAGTTATGACTTGTTTGTTATCATTTTGAAAGTACATTGTATTTATTGCGTTATGAAGGCTAAGGTTCAGTCTGCATCCATGATATGTATTTAAAGACATTTTCTAATCTCATTTAATTCACTTCTCTCCATAAACAAACAATTAAAGAATCAAATTAAAAGTCTCTGCAATGCAAATTGTTACATTATTCAACAGGAAGTAAAAAATTGTAAAAAAAATCACATCCGACATTTAAAAGCTCATAATTATTATCGTAAATAATTAAAATGTCCGTAATCAGTAGAGAATATTTTGTACATCTGCCAACGACCTGTTAATGAAAATTTTCCTGAATGTAATAATTCCTAATAACAAGTGGAATTTGATGTTTATTGTCTTACATAGTTCACTTCCTTCTTGTGCCACAAAGCTGTTTATTTAATTCATTTTCATTAATCTTTACAAATCAATTGACAAAGGAAACAACGTATCTATAAAGCTATTGATAGATGACGAATAGAGCATTTAAGAATAATGAAAACAACACCGAAGATTCTCTGACGATACGTCATTAACACTGACGATTTTATTTCTTCCTTAAATCTAATGTCAAGAAGATTAAAGCAGAATAAATTTATGGCTACCAAGTTTGACAGTCTCTTCTCTTTGTTAGATGCAAACTTAGTAACATCATCAACGAAAAATTAAGAAGCAACACAAAAGATTTTCAATGAGAAGATGAACTATCGTCAAATGACTTACGTCAACGTGTAAAATGTTGATACGTAATCAAAAAGGCAAAGCAAATGAGAAAAAATATTTTTTTTCTCGCTGTCGTTGAGTTTATTATTAGCGGTGTTCATTTTTCAAATTTCAGAAATGTTAATAAATGTTATTTCTTAATATGTTAATCTTACTCATTGTGAAGATCAAGAATTAGTCTGGAAGTTTTGCTAATTTAGCAACTTTTCAACCTTTTATAATTTTATGTTAATCATGTTTTTGTTTTAATTTTGAAATGAACAAAAATTTCGTTTAGAACACGATATAGCATCATTGAAAAATATTTAAAACTTGTGTTGCAAGTTACTACTTAACTAGTTAAATAGTTTTTGAGTGTAAATCAAAACCGTAAATTTTCTATGTACTTCACAAAGTCCTTGAACTTGCGATTATGGTCATTGACGTCTTGGGATTATTTTAAGTTTTGTTTATTTTTTAACACCGTTTAACGTTTTCAGCATATAATTTCTTGTAATATCAGTTCAAGTGTACATGCAAAACATTTGTTTGCGCTTTTGAATGCCTTTCATGTTTCGAATGTCCTTCATGTTCAAAGTGATCACCCGTGAAATGAATAAGCAGAAAGCGATCTCAATAAATTCCTAACTGTGTCAAAGTCGATAACAAAACGAGAATGAAAACATTATTTGAAGTTTCTATGATTAGTTGAATACTTTTATAATTAGTAATCGTTCCAATCATAAGCACACATGAATTTGTCAAGGTGGTTTGTTTGTTAAAATGTTCTAAAGCTAATATTAGCAATTAAAAGTTTCAGATGGCGACGATGAGTCGAGTTTAAGCAAATATTAAAGATAAATTGTGCCTTCTTCGGATACTCCCTAATTTTGATACAAAAACAAGTTTTAATTTTAACTCGTAAAAGGTTTTTTAGCAAGAATTTTGCTTGAGAAAATTCTTAAGCAATTTATTTATGCCGTGACAAACTTTGTTCTTCTTCATCGTAAAAGAAGTTATTAAAAAAAATTTGAAAGTCATTTATGACATCTTTTCTCATTCTTCATCCGATCTTGTGAAAAATATTTCTATCAGTCAAACAACAAGAATAACTTTTAACTATATTAAAATGAGTTGCTTAACACGATTTTAATTATAACATCACCCAACATTGCATTGATAACAAAGCAACGCTTAAATATGGGAAAAACAAAATATTTTATCAATTAAGGAAATATTCTAGTGAATAATAAAATTGCAAATGTTGTTCATTCAACTCACAAGCTTCAATTCAAAATATTTACGCTTTGTAAATTTCACAACATTTATCAATGAATAACAAAAGGGAATGACATGAAATTTACTTAATTATTCAGGATTATCGAGAAAAGGAAAAGGAATCTTGAATATTCTTCTACATTTAAGCAAAATTCATAAGAAGCATAAATGAAAAACATCTCGCGAAACTTGTTCTTAAAGAAGCAAAAACAAGAAGATAATCAGGAAGATGTGACGAAAAAAATTCTCTCGAAAGACATTCAAAACTTTATTTCAACGTAGAAACCAAAAGTTTATGCTACACTGATTGAGAATTGAAATCGCGACTTTCAACAAGAAAAAAAAAATCAAATTATACGAAAAATAAAAACCACAATTACAAAAAAAATTACTCAATTCGTTTGGTTGTTCCATTCAAATCTTTTTTTTTTTGTTTTACACGAAATTAAATATCATTATTTATTGCACAAACACAACAACATCATTCAGCGTTATTGAACTTGAAATTCTCATTTTTTTGTGTTATTCAAGACAAAACATGAACTGACCAGTAAAATTTTTCTTACTTTTGCAGAAAAGAAAAATGTGCTGAAAGGTATCAGCGGATGCTTTAAATCAGGCGAGCTCACAGCCATAATGGGACCGTCAGGTGAATAACTTTTATTTTGGATATTAACATAAGGATAGTTTTTTAATGGAAAATTAAATCTCATGACAGGCGCCGGAAAATCATCACTTTTAAACATTTTAACTGGTTTCACGTAAGTTATTTATGAGAATGAAAAATAAATAAATAATAAAATGTCTAACATTCAAATTTAATATCAAATGTAAGTTTGTAATGATGATGAACAACACAGCCGTCAAACTTGTTTAAAATCGCGGCGAACAAGACGGTCAGTCTATTGAATGTCGTACCTCGTTTTTAATTTTCTGACAACAATAAATCTTCCATCACAAATCCCAAACTAGTATCGTCTAGTCTTTAAGTTTTCTTCAAAAAATGTTCAGTAGCAGGAAGATTTGTATAACTGTCCAAACATTGTATACAAAATGTAATGAATAATAATTCATAAATATTCTAATTGCTATCCAAATAATTTGGAATATTAAAACGAATTTTATTTACTCGTTTCACATTGAGAATCATTGTGAAAATATTTAAAAGGAATTTTGTTAATTACAGATAATTTAAATTTTAAAATATCTGAAATATAAAGTTAATGAAAGTTGACAGTACAATTCTTGAAATTGTTACATATTTGCACAACAAAGATTACAATTTAATTAAATTTGATTAAAGTATTGAAGAACACCATGAAACTTAAATAAATAATTAAAACTTCCTTGAGTATTTCCTGAAAATTTCTCAACAATTTAAATATTTCACGGGTTGGCGTGTGTGTTCCAAAAGTTCATTACACCTGAGGTAATTCCCACACCTCGTTTTTTTGACGAGGAAGCATGCAAGTTGGGTCACCATATGGAAGATTTTCATAAATTAAAAATTATGGAAAATATCTACAAATGACTAAATCAGGGAACGAGTTTAACATAAAGTTTTGTTTGATTGTTGTAAACAGGAAGCAAGGAGTGAAAGGCGTACTGGAAATGGGAGAGAAAAACACAAGATACGATGGTCAGAAGTCTTGCAGTTACATCCTTCAAGAAGATCATCTTTACCCTTTCTTCACTGTTAACGAGACAATGACGATCGCAACAAATTTGAAAATATCCGACCGGTGTATGAGTCACGATGAAAAGCAATTGCTTATCGACCAGATTTTAGAGACACTTCATTTAACGTATGTTAAAGATACACGATGTGGATCGTTGTCAGGTGGTCAAAAGAAACGACTTTCGATTGCCCTCGAGCTGATTGATAATCCACCAATTTTATTCCTCGATGAGCCGACAACGTGAGTTTCATATTTTTATTTTTATTCATTATAAACTTCAATTAAAATGAAAACAAACAAATAAAAGTAATAAAACATTATCATCATTATTCAGTGGTCTCGATAGTTCATCGTCAACACATACCATACGGTTATTGCACAATTTAGCGAGAGAAGGTCGAACAATCGTATGCACGATTCATCAGCCATCGGCCTCCATCTATGAGATGTTCGATCACGTGTACGCACTTGCGGAAGGTCATTGCGTTTATCAGGGATCAAATGCCAACACTATTCCTTATCTTGCATCGCTCGGTTTGCAATGTCCGCAGTATCATAGTGCACCCGATTATCTTTTGGAAGTGACGAATGGAGAATATGGAAACTTCACGTATCAACTTGCAAAAGCGGCAATAAATGATCAGTGGAGATCGTCAACAACGTCTGTGTACATACGAGAAGAATATGAGAATAGCTTAGATCGTGATCGTGATCGCATTGATGATAGAATCTCGAATGACACAGATGAGAAGCGAATAAGCGTTTACACGAAAACGAGCGATGAAATGTCAGCTAAATTCAGTTTAAAAGGCGGGGAACGTACGACACCTTCGGAATGGACACGACTCTGGGTTCTCATTGCTAGATGCAATGTTCTCTTATTTCGCGATTGGACTGTAACAAATTTGAAGTTTCTTCTTCACATTCTTTGTGGAATTTTAATTGGACTTTTGTTTGGTGATTCCGGTGTGAATGCTGATAAAAGCATTTCGAATGTTGGCTTTTTGCTTATAAATGGTGTTTATTTATGGTGAGTTTGTTTGATGTTTCAATTAACAAAAATAATTCTTTTTCTTTTGGTCATTTAGGTACACGACAATGATGCCGAGCGTGTTACGTTTTCCAGCCGAAATTTCGATACTTAAGAAAGAAGTTTTTAATAATTGGTACAAATTAAGGACTTATTATCTTGCTACGCTTATAACATCAACGCCTTTACATGTAATTAATTAATGTCGCTGAAATCTCTTTGACAAATCTCATTATTATTCATTTGATTTATTCAGGTGCTCAACACGTCTATTTACATATGTGCTGTTTACTTCCTAACAGAACAACCGCCTGATTCAACAACATTCTTCAAAGTTTTGTTCGTTTATATTTTAGTGACAATTGCTGCTGATGGTTTTGGCATTCTTTTAGGAACTTTGAATAATCCAGTTGTAAGATTAACTAATTTGACATTAAAATAATTTCTGTTTTTCACATTTTAATTGCCTTTAGAACGGAACATTCTTTGCTGCTGTGTTGTCATGTTTTATGATTGTTCTTTCGGGATTCTTGGTTCTCTTCAAACATATGCCGAAGATGCTGCAATTTATCAGCGACACAAGTATATTAAAATATTCTCTGGAAGCTTGTGTTGTTACTGTTTATGAGATCGATCGGAAAGATCTTCAATGTCCTGAAGATGTTCTTTATTGCCATTATCGGAAACCTGAAACTATTTTGAAAGAACTTGGCATGGAAAATGGAGATTACGTCTCAAATGTTATCAAACTTATTGCTCAACTTTTGTTCTTTAAAAGCATGTGTTACTTCACACTTCGTCGACGACTTTTAAAATCATAATTCTTGGAAATGCAATTTGAAATCAAGCATTGCAATGCCTACAAATAAATTTTAAGAAGAGTTATTATGGTTAAGAAATATTTTTTATACGTATAATGGGAAGGCTCGCAAATTATTTTTGCATACACGTGAAAGCGTGAAAAATTGAAAAGTTGAAATAAAAAAATGTGATATGTTAGTTTTAATGATTTAATTCTTATGTTTGTTTTCAATTTAGATTCGAATCAACAACCAGGATTTGATCTGTAAAAAGGAGATTGATTCATCGTATTGTTTTTCATTTAAAACACAAAACATGTCTCTTACTTGGTGAAATAATTTAATCATGTAATGAGTTACAATTTCGCCAAACGGTTGACGTTTTCTGATAGGAACAGTCCAAGAATCTCAGAATATGATGTAATAAAAATAGTTCATTCGCCCCATTTGATGACAAATATTAAAAGAAGCTGCTTAATATGAGAGATAAGATGAAACAATTTTAATGTTTATATTTGTGTCATTCACCTACTGACTCACATTTTATTCAAAACAAATTGTCTGAAAACAAAAATCTATTTAGGAACAATTCGTCAAGGTCTGATTAAGAAGAAATATTTATTAAATCATACAGAAGTACGTGTGTATATAAATGTTTTTATATATATTATTATACTTTCAATGGAATTGCTCAGAAATAATGGACATAAACACATGTTAACAGTTTAATTCTTTTATTCTTCAGATGTGACTAAGTGTTATTTAAATAATCGCAAATATTTGACTGCATCCATGTGTGATGAAGAAGAAGAAGATGAAGATCGCGAATAAATAAGAAAAAAAGGGAACAGAAAAAAACTGTTCAACAGAAGCTTTAATTTCAATTCATTTCATTGCGCTTTTATACGCTATTATCTCTTTTAAATTTTATTAATAGTTTCACAAACAATTAAGGCAATAATAAAAAAAATTAGCTTCATAGAGAATCTTTTGAGGTGAATTTAAATTACCTTTGTAAGTGATTATGATGAATGGATAAAATTACTTTAGATATAAAATAAGATCTAGAATGAATTAAATTCTGAATTGCTACTTTCTGAAACATCAAATCTATTTGAAAGTTTCCGTCAAAACTATTTTTACTATTCAGAATTTTTTAAAGTTTTAAGCTTATCTTATGAAAGGATTGTTCATGAGGTTGATTTTTAACAACTAAAACTTTTTCGAAATAAATTGAGCTTTAATGTTTAAAAATGTTTTAGATTCAGCGTAATCCACAATATGAATCAGTGTGATCCGTATAAAATTGAAAAAGTTTTTATTATCATCAGCAGATGGCAGTAGCATAGGGAAAAAGAATGTTTAATCACTTTAATAAACAGCATAAACTTATTCCTTACACTAACTAAATTCAAAGAAGAAATCTCAAGTACTCATTCATTTAGATTCAGTTCCTCAGAATTTAATTCATTTAAAAATTAATTTTAACGTAAACCATTTTTTGAAACGAAGTTCTATTCATTTTAGTGTAACATTACTTTTCAACACTCTTGAGAACCAAAACATTAAACAAAACAAAACAAAACAAAATCGCCACGCATGTAAAAATTAAAAATTTAAATATATCATTAGAATCATGGTCAGTAATCATGTTCAGACGCTGGCGAATTCAATTATTGGTACATCAATCTTAGCGATGCCGTTTTGTTTCGAAAAAGTAAGAATTTAACTTAATTTAATTGATTTTTAGAAGAAATAATAATTAATAATTTTAATTTGCCAGTGTGGCGTCATTTTATCCATTGTACTGTTAATCATCACCACAATCATCACAAGATGCTGTTGTCACTACCTCATAAAAGCAAGTATTGTGACGAGAAGAAGAAAAATTGAGTTGCTTGGCTTTCACATGTTCGGTCAGACAGGAAAGACGATGGTGGAACTTTCATGCATCGGATTCTTAATGGGAACATGTATCGCATTCCACGTAGTCATAGGCGATCTCAGTCCAATTATCGTTTCAAAAATTTTCAATATCCAAAGTTATAGTCACGACTCAGTTCGAAGATTTCTTATTATCATCATAACAATTTGTTGTGTTGTTCCTCTATCGTTCCAAAAGAGCATCGAATCGCTCGCTTTTGTATGTCGAGCATCAATAGGATTTTATATTTGCCTCACACTCAAAATTGTCTTCGAATCATTTGAACGCTTTGAAAGTGATTCAAATTGGGCATCCAATATCGATCTTTGGAAGCCTTCGGGAATTCTTCAATGCATTCCAATATTTTCAATGGCGATGTCATGTCAAATGCAGATTTTTGAAGTTTATGAAACGATGGGATTCTCAGGATCAATTGATCGAATGAGAACGACAGTTCATCAAGCAACATTCATTTGTTGCCTCGTTTATTGCACTGTTGGATTTTTTGGGTATTTGGCGTTTTATAACGAATCATTGCCTGGCAACATTTTGATGAAATTGCAACCTTCAGTGGCTAACGACGCAATCACCATTGGATTCATTCTTTCCATAGCTTGCAGCTTTCCTTTAGTCATCTTTCCATGTCGAACTGCTCTCGCTTCATTCCTTCATCCAAAAGGACATCACGCAGAAATCGCTGCTTATGTCCCTGACTCGAAATACAAACCCATCACATTATTCATCATAGTTTCAACAATGATTGTTGGAATTCTCATTCCTTCAGTTGAAGTCATCATTTCGTTGGTTGGCTCGACCATCGGTGTTTTTGTTTGTGTCATTTTTCCTGCAACTTGTTTTGTGAAAATCATGCAAAGAGATTCGATGGAGAAGAAATTTGCACAAGTGACGATTGTCATTGGATTTGTTATTATGATTTTAGGAACTTATGCGAATCTTAATGCAATCGACACAGCAAAATCGGGAAGTCATCTCGGTGATAAACCGTCAATAGTCGAATCAATTGCTGATCAACCGAAACCAGAATTTCTTCGAGATGATGAAAAGAAGACTTCTGATGTGAAGAGCATTGAGAAAGTAATTCCACCGCCAGATATCGTTAAAAATAAGAAAGGAAAAGAAATCGAAATAAAAATTTCTGAAGATGGAATTAAGAAGGAAGACCAAGAAATTGCTGTTGAAAAAACGAAAGATCCTCAAGTTGAAATTCGAGAGAAGAATGAAGAAATTGAAGTTTTGAAAGAAAGTAAAAATCAACTCGAAAAAGAAGTTAAGGAGATAAAAGAGGAATTGAAGAAGCAAAACAAGGAAACTCAAGATCTTGTCTTGCAAAAGATTGAAGAAATTGCTGAAAAAGTTGAGAAAATTGAAAAGATTTCAATTGAAAAAGAAGGAAATTCAGTGAAAGAACAAGAGAAGCCCACGATTGTTGAGAAGAAAATGGAAAATATAAATTTACCTGAAAAGAAGTCAGAACAGGTTGAAGACGTTAAAGAACAACCGAAGAAAGAAGAGAAAATTGTTGAACCAGCTCCAAATGATATTAAAGAAAGAGTTGATCCTATTGTGAAACTTATTCAATCAAAAGAGCCGCTTTCTTATCAACTTGGAGAGAAAGTTATGGAAGCTAAGAAAAGTAATTTGTCAAGTGCAGAAATTTTGAAAACTTTCGAAGGGCCAAAAGAAAAAGCGAAAGAAGCAGCTGAAGCACCAAAGCAAGATTCAGAAGAGAAGAAGAATGAAATGAGAAAGAAACGAGAATCGTCTGATTTTAAAGAAATTTCACTCGATCTTCTGAATGATGAACTGAAGTTGAAAAATCCTGAAATGAAATCAATGTTAAGTCGTGACTTGAAAGCAACTGACGAAGATGAAGCTTAAATTTTATTTGTTGAACTTCAATTCTGAACGAAACTTGTGATACAAAAGAAAAGTTTTAATAAAGAATATTTATGAAATCTCAATGATTTAATATCGTCGACGATCTCTCTCGTAGCTTCTGTCACGTCGGTATTGTCGATCATCATAACGAGCTCTTTCTGGCGATCTGCGACGTTCAGGAGATCTTCGCTTCTCTCGTCGATCCTCGCGATGTTTTCTGTCTCTTTCCGATGAACGATCTCTTCGATGTTTATCTTTCGATTTCTTGTATTTGTCATGGGAATTTGATCTACTTCGACGACGATAACTATCAGATTTGTTTGCATATTTGATTCGTTTGTCATCGTCGATGTCCATTTTCTTCTTTGGCTCATCATCTTCTGAACTCATGTCAATGTCTTGATCAAGATCATCGTCTAATAAAGATACTTTCGGGTCTAAATCTCCATTCTCTTCCAATACATTTCTTTTCTGTAAGCGAGGAAGAATAACATCGCAAACTCGCTCTTCTCGAAGTAAATCGTCAATAAACTCATCCATGTGAACGACTTCAAATTGGCCTGCTCTGTTCTGTCGACGAATCTTACGGTAGTCATTGTACAGTGGCTCTAAATATTTGTAACAGTCAACTGCTGATGCTGTGAGACGGAGATAAAAAGCTCCAAGAGCTCGAACATATTTGAACTCCTCATTTTTAATGAACTCAATGACGATATCTTTTTCCGGTTGAATTTGAAGAAATTTTAACACTAAACAAATAAAAGGTGTCGGTTTAATGTTGCCACCATAAACACCACCAATAAATCTTAATTCCATTGCTTTATCAACCATCAATTCAGCGGTTAAAGCGAAACAGCTTTCCTTCCAAAATTGACTGTCATAAATTCTCGATCTTATGATTTTCTCAATTAAATATTGCGGATTTGTTCCGTGTATATTTTTAGCATCCTTTAGTGTTCGATTTGCCATATTTTATGGTTTTATTTTGAGTACTTTAGTCACTATTTTATTTTTTTAAGTCAGGAAAAGTTCTGAAGTTTTATCGATTCGATTGTTTTACAACCGCGTGGTTTTTGTTTATGATGTCTCGAGATAATTGCCTCGTACCCCGACGGTTCGCGCGGATTTGACCTTCCATACAAAATATACATGACAGTAATTGATTCCGTGTGAACATTTCGATCGTAGCGCCGCCACTGGAACATGTTTTCATTTAAATGAGTTGAACAATTTATTGCTTGAGCTCGCTTTAAAATCTCTTTTTTAATTTTACTGAATAATATTATCATTCAGCTGTCATCGTTTTGTTAGAATACTAAACAACCAACAGATGAGAATGAAATCTGCTTCTAAACCAAGAATGAAAGTTTTACGCAAAGACGAAAAGTAATTTAAAGTTTTTAAATGAAAATTGTTCAAATTTATTAATTCTTTAATTTAATAGACAGCCAACTTTATTAAACTTCTTTAAAAAAATCAGCGGAGATTATTTCACTACACATAAGCAATCATCTTTACCAGCACAACGTCAAGAGGATTTGTCAATGAGTCAATTTCTAGAAGTGGATTTGGTAGAAGGAGATGACCCATTGAACGAATCTGACTTGAAACCAAAAGAAGGAATTGAGTTTAATTGCATAAGTGATCAAATTACAAGCATTTCTGAGCCAGGAGCTCTTGAAGCACTCATGAACAAAATTTATTCACCTGACCACAATGTACAGCAAATTAACATGGATAAGCAACTGGTGGCTGTTGCATCGGAAAGTGAGGAAGAAGAAAAGGAAGACACAATTTCTAAGTCAACAACTAAAACGAAATCAAAGAAGAAGCCAATTTGTCCTAAATACAAAATAATTGAGAGTTCGTTGTTTGCTGTCGACGCTTTTCGTTTTGGCGACATTTCATTTGTTGAACATTATTTCTTAACTCACTTCCATGCTGATCATTATATTGGTTTAAGGAAGAAGTTTAAGCACAAAATCTACCTTTCACAAATCACTGCCTTGCTGGTTCAACAATTTATTGGCGTCGCTGAAGAACAACTTCAAGTAGTTCATGTAAATGTTCCTTTTTTTATTGACGATGTTAAAATCACACCATTGGATGCAAATCATTGTCCTGGTGCTTTGTTATTTTTGTTTCAATTTCCTGATGGTCGAAATGTTCTTCACACTGGTGACTTTAGAGCCAACGACGAGATGGTGCAACTTCTTGAAGGGTGGAGCATAAAATTAGATTTAGTTTATTTGGACACAACTTATCTCAGCAGTAAGCGAAGGATGCCATCACAAGGCGAATCGATTGAATTTCTCTTGCAACATGTTCAAAAATATCTTGAAGAGAATATTGGGGAGAAATTTTTAATAGTTGTTGGTGCATATTTGATTGGCAAAGAAAAAGTTTGGATGTCGATAGTCAAAAGATTCAATTTCAAAGTTTATCTAGAGAAAGAGAGATTAAAAGCATTTAAAGCAGTTTGTTCATGTTCAGCTGAACATTTGGATGTTTATAAGAGATTTGTCACTGAAAATATTGAAGAAGCTGATGTCAGAGTTGTCAACATGGTTCAATTAAGTTACCCGGTAAGTTAACAAATTTCGCAATTGAAAGAAATTTAATTCAATTCTTCTTTTATTAACAGAATCTTAAAGAATTCCTTCGTGATAATCAAGACAATTTCAATACTCTCCTCGGTGTTGTGGCAAGTGGATGGGAGAATCAAAAATATGCATCTGGAAGAATTTCACTTCTTCATGTTCAATACTCAGAACATTCAAGTTATGGCGAATTGGAAACTTTCATATCAAGAACAAACCCGAAGAACATTATTTCAACAGTTCCTGTAAGAATGAATGCTGCAATAACACATGACATACCAAAAGACTGGACCTCAAATAATGTAATAGCCAACAAAAAAGTTAGTCAAAGAAAATTGACAAAAACAAATAAATGAATTTTAATTTTAAAATAAATGAATATTTAACGAATAAATTTTTTTTGAATATTTATACCCCCTTTAAGAAGTTAGCAAAGTAATAAAGAATTTACCCATAAAGCGCTTTTCTGAAATTTTATTGAAAATCAACATTGATTAATAATTATGGCTAAAAATACCAGTAGTTCCGCATTTCGAAAGATTGATGTCGATCAATACAATGAAGACAACTTCAAAGACGATGAACAAGAAAATCAACAATTGAGTGGAATTGATGAAGGAGCAATAAATCAACTTTTACTTCAACAAAAAAATGTCGATGCATTGAAGATTTGTCTTGAAAACGCCCCGCTTCTAAGCAAAAACCAACAGCTCAAAGATCAAGCACTTCAAATTACGCTGCGAGTGATGTTATCAATAAAACCATCACAAATTGATACTTGTCTTGATACTCTTGATCCAGACACCACCGACACATTAATGAAATATATTTACCGAGGATTCGAATTTCCATCGGATGGCTCAAGTGGACATTTATTGCAATGGCATGAAAAAGTATTTAGCAAATCAGGAGTTGGTTCAATTGTTCGTGTACTCACAGACACAGCAAGGGCGTAGACAGCATTCGTCACTTTCCGATGATTCATTGCAATTTTTTTTTATCTTTCAATGTGAATCAAATACATATAACCCAATGAATGTTTTACAATAAAAAAAAAGAGTATTAATTATGAGATTTTATTAAAATTTTCTATTCTAATGATAACAGTTTGAATTCGGGGATAATTTCTTTATCACGCATCCAAAGCGGACTTGTCAAAAGTTGAGTTTTTAAGTAATTTGAGAGTCTTAAACATTTTCCACTGCAGAAGTGTTTTCGATCAGAAAGATCATAAACTTTATTTGTTGCTGTTGAAATGTGGAATTGTTGTTTCGGAATTCTAAAATAAAAGATCGTGTAACAAATGGAAGCAAACAAGCAAAATATCAAGTAGAACTCACTCTTTGAAAACTTCTTTACATAAAGGATAACCACAGAGTTTCATAATAGCACGTTCTTCGACAATATCTTGGTAATGACATTGATTGATGTCTCGAAGCTAGAAATTTGGAAGAAAATTTCAAAACATCATCAAATTAATGAATCTTAATGAAATACCATCAATAGAAGTTCTTTTCCATCATCAAAAGGATCTAGAAGTCTCTCCACAATTGTCTGAGCTTTAGCATTGCATTCTTTCTTTTTTCGTAAGGCTTCCAGAAGTTGTTCTTGACTAGAAATTATTATAATAATTAAATGAATTTTTATCCACAATGTTTTTTGTTTACTTCATTTTTTGTAGTCTTTTGACGGCTGCAGCTCTTTTACTACGAGGTGATTTTGGTCTTGAAGTCACAGAAGGATTTGTTTCATCCATAATTAATGTTTTCGTTGTCGGATCCTTGACAACAAACTCCAATAAACGCTGAAAATAATTAAATAAACTAAATAAAACAACGAGTTCTTTCTTTCAACAGTTCTCTCCAAACTCTGTCAAATGACTGATTTATTTTCTCATTTTCATTTTATTTCTCTCTTAAATCTCTCTCTTAAATTTTCTCTTTTATCCTGTTCTACCTTGTGTTCTACTGCTAGTTCCCACATTCGTAAATTAACAAGTACAAAAAGGAGAGCTTCGATTTTGTATTTTTATTTTTAAATTAAAAGCATGAAGTTGGTTATGATTCTATTTAACTTAAATTTGAATTATTTTTAAACGTTACATTACAGAATGCAATAATTTTTTTTAATTTTCTAGATTAAAAATCATTTTTGTTTATTGTAGTGAAACTTTCTTTATGTATTGCTCAGCACCGGAGACATAAAAAGTATTTTTATCCTTCAAATCCCAACACATTGAGTAAATTATAGTTGTTGCAGTATGTTTGTGCAACAACTCCGGATCTCCACCACCTTTTGCTACAAAGATACTCGCAAGATTGTTCCGAGATGTCACACCAAAACGATTGTCGTCATTGAAGTGTATTCCCATTACATCTCGATCCGAAACTTTCTTTTTGTTGAGAATGTGGTTGGGCCGTCGTGGATCAATTGTCAAAACATTTCCAACATCATCTCCTAACATGACATACTCTCTATTTTCAGCTCGTTTTGTCCAGTACAAAGCTGTGAACCAAGTTTTATAGTCACGAAGAAGGCCTAAAGCAGGTTTTTCTTTTCTTAAATCCCATAACAAGCAGCTTTTATCTGTTGAACACGAAGCCCAAATTTTCGACGCAGAAGGATGAGATGAAACTCCAGTGATTGCACCTCCATGGGCATAGTTGAATGTTGAGCATGGGTAAAGTTCAGAAAACTCGTAATCATGCAAATTTAACGTTCCTTTCTCTGTTCCTGTTATTAATTTCGTTTCATCTTTAAGAGTATCGATGCATTTGACGTAACCAAATGTATTCTGTGTGTAGGTCTTGTAAGGTTGTTGACTGTTTTGGTCGTTAATGTCACTTTGCATTTGGTAAAGTTCCAACAAGCTATTTTGAGTTGCGACAATGAACTGATTAAAGAAAGAAAACCCCATTGTTATGATATGTTGGTTTAATTAAATATCATTATTGATCTTACCGTTTTGTTGTCTACAACTTTAAATCCAGTCACTGTGCTTGTACCCATGAAGCAAAACGAAACATTTTCTTTATCACGATTAGTAAATACATCAATATCTGTGGCACCTGTGATATTACCTTCCCATTCAATTCCAGCAAACTCATTTGATCCTACAACAAGGAACTTATCGAAGCATCTGATGAATGAATAAACAGGAAGGAATGGATGTTGAGGTCTTCTTTCAGTTCTTATTTTGTATTCGAAATGTCGTGTGTTGAGATTAGGATGCGTTGTATCATTTTCAAGTTGATCACAAGGAACGTGGTCTTGAAATACGTCTTGAGCTTGAAATACACGTGGCATGTAAAAATATTTGTCTTTGTCCATTGTTTACGAAATAATTGTTTTGCCGGCAACTTAGATTTAAGAAATATTTTTCAATGGGTAGAAAATTATCAAACAGAGGAATTCGTTTGAAATTTTAGTTTCCGTTAATATAAGATTAAAATAAAAACTCTACAACAGTTTCATGAAATAAAAAAATTCTTAGTATGTACCAGACGAATGATAATAAAGAAATGATTCTTTCGGAATATACGAGTAGAATGTTTATTTTTCAATTTTTAAATATACCTACTTAGCCCTAAATGTGAAAGTTTTTGATGTTTCTATAATTGTTGGAAAGAAAGAAATTTGTAAATGTAATTTAGATTAAATTCTAATATTTCGAGATCCTTACAACAGTTTCAATCATGAAAGAGAGTTTTTGGTACCAGACAAGAGTCAGAGAATTTGATTTATTCCAAGGGTGATTTTACTCATAAAAAAGTGGAGGGGATGAAGAATTGGAAGATGGAAATGATATGGAAAATTTCTCTCATGCTTTTTTCACATGATTCGAAAGGAAACTGCTCGTTCAATTTCAAATCTGATAGTATATCTATTGTTTCCATTAAGCAAGGAACTAAATGTTGTCCCGGCTTTTGTCGTAAATCAAAATTCTCAGAAAAAGAAGTCAAATAAAAATTTAATATCTTAAAACAAAGTTAATATTCCATTGATATTGAAGATCGATATCTTGATAAAATTTTGAATAAACATAGTTCAAGTAACACCTGATTCAAGTTCATGTTTTAAGTCAACATCGTGACATAATCTGATAAGGATTTGTTGTCAGGACAATTTCAATTGAAGTCTAAAATAGGATCGAGCGAACTCAATTCGATAATACACTCGACAGTGGCAAGAAAGTGAAAAAGAAGGAAAAACAGGAAAAAGGCATATATACAAATAACACAAAAAGTTTCCACTCTAGTAATTGCATAACAAATTCGAAGTCGGCCGAAAACGGTCTCGAAAGTTATTCAGAAGAAATATTGCCTTTGAAAAAGAAAAAAAAAAGGTTCAGAAGACGACGAAGAAAATAAAAGTCAAAAAGTTCGGCAAGGATTAAAGTTATATCAGTGCACGCTTTAATGCGAACATGTTGTGATTAAAAATAATAATTCCTTGTGCGGACTTGGCGCAGGAAAAAAAGAAACAATGAAACGAAAAATAATCAAGTGAAAGGTGGAAATAAATTTCTAGCCTAAAAGTGTCACTCCGGAAAGGAAAAAAATATCCTGATAATTTCTAATTAAAAACACAAATTATATTTATACACAAAAAAGAAACAACGAGTTTTTCCTAAAATTAACTTGCGGATTACATGAAAACCTCCGCTCAACACTAAATTTGCTAGAAAAACTAAAACCTTGAGAGAAAATCAAACTGAAATTTTTTTCACGATAAAAAAATTAAACTTAAAGCGAAAAGCGAGCGTAAAGTGTTTTCCATAATCTGTAAAAAAGAAAAACTCTTTAAACGTACGAAAAAACCTTTCGCAGTGGATTTTTTCCCATCAAGCCTAGAGGCAGAATAAAAACATAAAATAACACCCACACAAAGTATATCTACATGTGCAAAGTGATTTAAATAATATTAATTAAAATTAATGTTCCAGAAAGTAAAAGTTTTCATCGTTAAGCAAGAAAAGACGAGCCTAATTGTGTGATAAAATTTTTGTGCTGATTAATTCGCTTAAAGTGTCATTGGAATTAACACAAAGTAAAAAGGAGTGAAAGTATTTAATTCCATTAGAATATATAGAAGCGAAGAAGAAATCCGTGCAGTGCGAACTTATCAAGAGACGGAGAGTGTTAAAAACATAAATGTGATTCTCGTATTCCCATGGCAAGATAATAAGGCGATGGTTAAAAAGAAAAACTCAATTCGGGTCAGTGATTAAGGCAAATTATTTCTGTTTCTCGTATTTTTCCCTTCTAACTCACTCCGATAACTATTGGTTCGAGATTTGAATGAATCTTCTCGTTCTAGCCCACAGTTTTTCCCACCGCAATCCCTGAGGCAAATCCTTAGGTTCTTTAGGAGAAAATAGAAAAAGGATTCGTGAAGTGGGCCTTCCGGAAAAGTCATTTTCCTATCATTTCTACCGTAATACCATTTTTTTCTATTTGCTATCCACTTTTTCATTCATGATAGGACTTAGTGAAACGAATGGAACACCTTTTAATTACGCTATCCGGTAGTGCATATAAAGACGAATGAAAAATCATTCTCAATTATTTATTTTCCTTTTCTGTTAGTAAATCGTGAAAAACGGGAAGAAAAAGTGAAGAAAATTGTGAAACATTAACAATACTTGTTCATCATAAGTAAATATTTATTCAAACAATTTTCACGATTATCCAATCAATGGTCGTGTGACGAAATAAAAACTACAAAATAATCATTTATTAAATAAAAATTTTTCATTCTCGCCCGGATGATTTATGGTGACGAGAGAAAAAATCCATAAAAATGGAAATAAACAATTTAAATAATCGCTGGATCACAATGATTTCACATTGGATTATCATTTCAGGTATGTAAATTTTTTTTCTTTTTTTTTTTGTGAGGCTTCATCGTGAGGCTCACCTCAGAGCATATCCGTTTATAATACACGTTGCGTGTACAATGTGGGATGAGAAAACACCTGTCATTTTCAATTTTTATTGCCATCCTGTTTTCGGCTGGATTTTCCAGGACAACAACTACGAGAGTGATTTTATGTCACACACGTTTTAATTTTCTCACAATATCTTGTTGTCGTTGTCTTCGTCATCGTTGTTCACACCCAAAAGCTCTAAAAATTCATTCAACTCATAGACAAGCTAAACATGACATCGAAATGAATATGCGTACAACGACGATGTAACATGTAGTTAAAGTTAATTTATCATGAACAGATTTATTCAGTGAATGCCGTCAGATAGAGTAAGCAAAAGAAGAAGGAAAATCAGAATTATTACATGTGTCGTTCGATTCCGCTACATGATTATGAAATTTACGAGAGCTACCTAAGAGAATGTTGGATTTCCTGAGCATTAATGACTTGAGAAGATCTCAACAAATCCTTTGTTTATAGCTTAAACTCGCACGCATCTTACTTGCTTTCTTTCTTTAACGTATAACGAATCGTCTCGTGCTGCTGTTGAATCTTAATATAAAAAGTGTTGTGCATAAGCAGAAAAGAAGGAAGGAAAGGGAAAAAAGCAATATTCGAGATTACGAGAATCTCACATTGAAGTTAAGCTCTCAAATCGTTATCGTGTATGTCACAGATTCCTTCCTAACCAAATTAGGAAATTCCGTAAATGTTGCACGCGGAACGCCCAAACTGTTATGTAATAAGAACAGACATAAGATATTTATTTAATTTAAGGAAGCTTGAAAGCCATTCTAATTTTGTAAGTCACATCGAGGAATATTTTTTATTTGAGCATGTTTAGAAGAAATTTCCGGTATGATGAACGAAATTTATGGATGTCATGAAGTTTCCATCTCTTCGACGACGACCCATAGATTCGTTCGTGGGGAAATTTTCTTTTAGCTTCTTGCTATTGGTTTACGAGCGTGAAAAGAGAAGGAAAATAAAATCTCATAAAAGCTATTCAGATTGTGGAAAGAAGGAAATTTGATTGCGGTCGATTTCAATGTGAAATGTCGTCGCACGGACAGTTTCGAGTGCATAAAAATTTTAGCTTGACTATAAAAATGCTTTTTTAAATTCACGATCAAATACTTTCTACACAAAATATGAGAAATTTGTTTAACGCGACGATTGAAATAATATATTACAAATTTTTGGCTCGTGTCACTTTTTCTGCCTCGATTCCCATTTTCTGTTTTCTATGTTGTCGGTATGATAAGATGAATATTTTCTTTTATATTTATCATATCAAGAGTCAACGAGGCGAACAAGAAGTAAAAAAACAACAACATATATTCATATGCTGAAGGAGAATGGGAAAAAAAGTTCGAGTTGATGGAGTTGATGCATATTTAAGAGCTTCGAATTTATGTTTACGATTTGTGTGTTTATATTTCTTTGGAAAAAGTAAAAAAGGAAGGAAGGAAACTGAGAAGACAGAACTTCGCGGAGACCTTTATTCATTGTGAATAAATACAGGACAAAGATTTCTTTCTTGTAAAATTAAATTTCTTTACTTGATAAGGAATTTTGGTGATGTTGCTGAGGTGAACTTAAAATGTTCGTGTTGCATACATCGAAGGCGTCGATAGTTGTCCAAAAGTGCTCTTAAAGGGCCCTCAAAATTCGCACCGCCTTCGATGTATGCAACTCAATACAACACGAGCATCTCATACAAAAATACGAATTTTCGAGATGAGAATATATCAAGGAAAAGCATTTTAATGCTTAGTTCAGATGGGAAGATGAGAGATCGAAACAGCAAACGAGTGAAGAGAAAATAATGATAAATTATTCATATCACACAATTCAATAACTGATTTGATAAGCCAAATAGCATTCGAGAAGAAGCAGGCATGGAGAAAGCAGTACCGTGAACAAATAAAAGCAACCGAAACAGAATCGAAGAAAAAGAACAATTTCTTAAGGAAGAATTCGTTGCTGGTTGAACAAATAAATTTGTTGTTTGTATGCAAAACTTTCTAAGAGGGATGAAACCGGATGCAGGTTTATATTTTATTCTCTTTACCCATTGAACCGATTGATGTTTTCTGGGTTGTTTTTTTTTATTTGATTCTGCTGGAAGAATTCTCAATTTTCTTTTTAAAACTCAAATAACTTTACATCAAAATTAATTGATTTCATGATTGGATTCAACGTTATTCACCGTTGAAAGCGACACTTCATGAAAGTTTCACAACATTTCTTCTAAGCGTGCTTTTAATATCATGCTAACATTTTCCTGCTGGTTCCCATCACTCATCACACAATGAAACGATTTTCAAATATTTTTATGATAGAAAATTGAAAAGGCAAGAAAATAAAGAATAGAGAAAAAAAAGCCCTCTATGCTTTCATTCATACTAACGAGCTATATTCAGAAACAGAACAAGGAGAAGAAATCATTTTGGAGCTTAAAGCTTCGAAAAGAAAATGAGAATAAAAAGAAAAAAGAACTTTTCTTCTTTTGTATACTTCTTTTCCGCCCTAAAACAAGAACAAGTGCTTTAATCGCGCGACTGCTTTTGAATGATGTTAGGAAGGGGGTAGAAGGGCGACTTAATAGTATGAGTATACCAAATGGCGTACAAAACTTGAGTGACGCAGCGCCTAAATAACAAAGAGAATAATAAGATGATGGCGTGGGTACTGCTGTTCCTATTGACATTAAAATTCGTCTCGATAAGGCTCCAAGCAAGCGATATTCGAAATACTTTGACGAAGTGGGTGGAAGTGAGAAGAAGGAAATGTTTTTCTTATGACTAAACTTCAAAAATTAAGAAATTTTCGTTGTTGAGAAAAAGAAAAGAAAGCTGTCTAAAACTTGAATACAATAATAAAAGTTCTGCTTTTTTATCCCCAGCAATTACTGTTTGATCAAATAAAAAATGAAATGCTTGCAGTAAAAAGATTATTGATGAAAGCATTGGAAAATTCTTTACAGTTTTTCTTTAAAATCTTCCATAAAATTGTTTTTCAACATGAATTGAAATGGAAATGTTCAATTCAAAGTTCTGTTTTTCGTTGTGGTTTAGCTTAAATGTTTGTGTGGGTGAAATGGATATTTTTTTCCAGGAATCTAAAAATTTCTGCCTGTTGAAAGTTTGAGTTAAAAATAGAAAATTTTACGGAGCTGAAAACAATGTCAAAGAAGAGAAGTCGTTACTTTTGGGAATCAAAATAAAATTCTTTTCTTCTTTCCTTATCATTATTTTATTAAAAGACTTTAATGGAAAAATTATGCTTCTTTTCCATCTTCCTCCGCCACAACATTGAAACTTTTCTTACGACTGTTTCAGTGTTTCAGGATTATGTCAATTATTCCAATTAGGCAAGGAAAAAAAGGAAAAATTAAAAGGGAAAAGAAGATTCCTTCCTTTCTGAAAATTTTTCTTCTCTTGTCTCCGCTTTCAATTCCATTTTAATTCAAATTCATTAAAATCCATCTTGCTAAGAGAGAAGTTTGTTTGTACTTTAAAAGTGTCTACCGCATCATAAACCAGATCGAGAGCAAAGGAAGCATAGCTAATTGATTTCATTTGGCGGTTGATTAAGCTAAGAGACTTTTCCACTTTGAACTGTCTTTTCTTAAACGCTAAGTGCTTTTGATTCATAATTCTCAAATGTCTTTGACATTCATCAACGATTCAATGGCTTTTGAACTCAGATTAACCTCAAGCCAATATGTAAGTTTAACTTACTTTTAATGTGGTGCTTCCACTTCCACATCATCAAGCAGCCTAAAAGATTTTCTTCTCGTTTCTAATTCAAAAGTTTCGAATTAAAGTTTCAAGCAGGGCCTTTACTTGAGTTGAAAGAATTAAATCACTTGACTTACTCGTGTGACTTGACTTGAAGCAAATGCAAAACAAGTCAAGGCCTGGTGTCAAGCAATCATCATTAAGCTTCCATATTGCTGTTTCATTCTCCAAATACTTCTAAATCAAAAAGCTTATCAAGCAGCTAAACATTGAAAGTTTTTTGTCTTTGAAAATGAAATACTGAAGGGTTTCAATTCTTTATCCTTCTGGGAGTCATCTAGAAATATATAAAACAAAGAATTTATTTCAACAATAAATTAATTACTCCTAAGGTCATTAAAAGTTCATTAATTAAAATCTTAATTCCCGTTTCATTCATCAATTATACTCTTGTGTCTGACTAAAAACCTGAGAGAGCCGTCTAAGAAGAGACAGATGGCATTTCACCTTCAAGCGGATTGTTGGTAGAAGGAAAACTTTTGGCGCCAACTTGTCCGTCTTCTTTACTGTCACACGAAACAAACGAAGCGAGAGGAAAAATTGTGGAACTCAATTTCTCATTATTATTTAGTTTATTTTATCATATCATTTTTTATCTGCCCTAGTCTCTTTGGCTATTAATGCAAAAAGACTATGCTAGGATATTTTTTTATTCCCAATTAAGCATTCAATCAACTAATAATTATTGCTACGATATCGAATGATTGAATCAAAGCAACAACGTACACGCGGACGTTTTAATGCATTGGCAAAACGTTTCTCTATTTATCTCTGAAATAAACAAAGTTAAACAATAAACGGATTAAAAATTGTTCCACTAAAAGCTGTTAAATTAAACTTTTACGATAAAAGAAAATATGAAAATCCTTGCAATATGTAAATGAAAGTTAAATGCATTTAACAGTGAAATTTGCAGATTACAATAAAATTCTTTGCATTTTATGAAATTTCTTGATTACATGAAAAATGTTCTTCTAAATGAACAAACCAAATTTTCTTATACATTTTCCACATACAGCATGTAAATTTTTCATTGTATCAAAGCATACACCAAAAGCTTTCGTTTATTTTTCCCCTATCGTTTGTTTAAGCAAACAATGGTGAATATGATACGAGGAATTTATATAAGAATTAATAATAATAATTAAGCATTTTGAATATTTGTTCATAGAATTTTGTTATGCTTTTCCGGGTAGTGAAAAAGCGGAGCTTTCACATGAGTAGTTTATTTTTATTTTTTTATTATTGAGGACATTAGAGAAGGGAAAATATATCACCATGAAATATTCAAATATGGCTCGGTTGTTTGATGAAAATTAAATGCTTTGTGAAAAGGGATAAAAACGAATACCGTAATCGTTTCAGATGATAACGAAACTAGGAAACTTTGGATTGACATCTGAAATAACTACTTGAGTTGGAAAGTCAACTTCCCTTCCCTTCTAAGTTACATCCACCATCACTAGACAATAGTTTATTAAGTATGACAGATGACAGATTGTTAAGGAAAGACAAAGTTTTATTTCATTTTTTTTTTTGGGTAAGTTAGGAAGTTCAATGAGTTTGCGCTTTAAATAAACTTAGTGGAAGTCATAACGCGATTTGAATGGAGCCAGAAGATTTTTTATTACATGATTTTCTGTCATGCTATTTAAGAAAATTGTTTAATAATGAGATAATAGAGTTTTCGGAATTATTTCTTTCTTGTCTCAACTTCACGAGAATATTACCACTTGGAGACTTGAAATGATGCTGTGCTGCTTGGAAGACAATTAGAGAGATGAATTTATTAATTTGCCTTCATCCATTAACTAAATCCTCGTTTTTCTCTGACAACTGTTTTTACTTAGTTCACATAATTATATAAATCGCTTTGGACTTCTCTCATTACACATTTTCGCATCGAATTATTGTCCGCTTATTTCTTTCTTTTTGTTTTTTCTTTTTTCTTTTCCCCGCCATTTATTTCCTCTTGCAATATTAAATTCTTCATCTTAGAATGACAACAGCAAATGCGAAGTTTAAGAAAGACAGCGGACATAATTTAAGATGATGGCAAAAGAGAATTATTTGTGGAAGAAGTAGATAGAAATAAGAAACAATTAAGAAATATTTCTTGAAGGTTTACACAATAATTTTCGCTACAATTCACCCGCTTCTATTTTTCCATCATTGCAAGATTACTTAGATTCACGCTAAAGAATTTGAAGCGCAAAATTGTTTGTTCCACAAGCGAGTTTGTCACAAGAGAAAGAGATGTCTCTAGGGAATTAGACAAACAAGAAGACATCAACTGAAATTAAATCTGCTAAATGGCCTAATCTCACACAGTTTTACTACTTTCCGCTGATCCTATCTAGTCAGCCAGCCAACATTTGAAGCGTCGTGAATTTTCTCGTCATCATAGAAACGGAAATGAGTGAAAGAAGAAGCTTCAATGAAATTATTGCAACAAAAAAAAAAAATAAACACTCAGAAAGGTCATGGGAATGGTTATTGCGATGAATTTGAGACTGAGAGATTGTCTTATAAATAATTGAAAAAAAAAGAAAGATTAGCGATTGGAACATCTTCAAAGGTTCTAAAGAAATAAATTCTTTCTTAGAAAATCAGATATCTACCGTGAAATTCCATCAAAAAATAAGCAATGAATCAACTTAAATACGAATTCTCAAGACCCTTTAAAATTTAATCAAAACATCATCGTATCATTTTACACCAAATTACTTCTTAAAATTACACGAGAAAAGAATGTTTGTGGAGAGAAGGAAAAAAATAAAACGCAGAACGAACCAAAATTGATGAGCTGATGATGGCAATTATTATTAGATCATGGCAGCGAGACGACGAGAGTGTGGAAAACGGAAATGAATGCTTAAACAACGAGTAGATTCTACTTCTTTTCAGTCACTTTCGCTTGCTTACTTACTTATTTTACTTACCTTTTTTTACGACATCGAACCTCTCATTTTCTCACTCGCACTCCTATTACTTCCCACTTTATGTATCTTCGTTACCCTCGAACTTAAATATTCTCGCATTGTTTCAAGAAGTTCCCCTGAAATTTTGACTTGATGTGTTATAAAATCATTAACGAGTATAAAAATGATCTGAAAGGTGTAGGTTTTTATTAAGCCATCGCTTGCTTTACAATCGTCTTCACGTCTTTTCGTTTTTAAGGCAAGTTAAAAAATATTGTGAAACCTCGACGAAAATCGGAAGGGATCTTGATGTGATAATTTAACTTTAATGTCGCGTACCTTTTCTTTTAACGGCTGAATTCTTATCCCCGGGCAAAACCCTATCACAATACAAACAAAAGACATTAAATTTGAAAATAAAAATAAAAAAAAAGGAAAAACGATTTTCCTTGAGAGAGTTGAGAGAAAATGGAAATTTTTTCGCATGAAAAAAATGACACATCATAAGAAGTGTAGGTAGGTGATAAAGCGTTTTAGAAATGCTGAAAACGAAGAAAAATCAACCCAGTCATTTCATCGTCATCTCATATACTTACCTACTACACTTTTCATCATTTTTCCCTCGTTTCTTCTTGCTCTTCGTAGCCATCATCTGCAAGTAAGCTTCGAATGATGTTACATATCTACATACATCCATTCATATATGTTTTAAGCTAGAGACTTTGAATTAATGTAAATCGTGTATGCAAATTAAAGATCATTTACCCGGCTTAGGCAAGTGACTGTTGCGGAAAAAAATGTTCATAAATGGCACATAACTTGCGATCTCTAAAAAGATGAATTTGAATACATTTCTATGCCCAACACATGTACACATAATAGAAGGTATCCAAGAAACGTAAATAACAGTAAAATTTATGGAAATTCATTTTTCATCCTCAACTTACAATGAAGAATAAGAAGGAAAATATTTATTCTCACCCGGAAGAGTTGAAAAGTTGGGTAACGCATTATAGGCTTACTTTTAAATCAAAATTTATTAGATAAAGTTTGAAGCCAAAGGAATCTTCATTTTTTGTTGTTGATGTTGTTGTTTTGTCAAAGTTATTTAACAGCGCTTTTAGAATGTTTGTGAATGTTGTCGATTCTAGGATGAAGTCAAACAATCATCATTTTATTGAATAAACAGGTTCCATAATATACATTCGACCCTTAAACTTTTCTTTTATTTATAGCAATACCTCAAAGTCATAAAATCTACATGGCATCATTATTTAAGAAATTATAATAATTTTATGTGAGTGCATCGAGTCGAGCGAAGCTTCTTTTACCCAGTCAAAAGCATGGAAATGTGTCATGGTGGTTGATTTTGTCGCTATTTTTGCTTCCTTTAAATTTCATCTTTTTTTCCTCCATTCTTTAATATGAGTCATGTGGAAATAATAAATGATGAGAACTCCCCCCGTTTACCCAAATAAAAAAAGACTCTTTTTTATATTCTTTTGCTTGTAAATTTTTGTTTATCATTAACAATTGACTTAATAATCAAGAGTTGAACGATGAACGTTCGTTCGCTACAAAAAACAGCAAAAAATGAAAAAAGAGCTATCAAAATAGAGTTTGTAAGACGATGAAACAATTGAAAGGGAAAGAACACAAAAAAAATGTTCCCATCACTTTATATAAGACAACAAATTACTTTAACGCAAGATATCCAAACAATAAGCAGGTTTCTCATTGTCTCATGGGCTTCACTACGAACTTTTCTTAGTCTTTAACAACAGCAACACCACGACACTTGCTTCCTTCGAAACTGACTTCAAATCATTCTTATTAGCATTTCTTTAAGAGGTTTGTTCAACTCATGTTAATTTTTTGTTGTTGCTGTTGTTGTTTTTGTCATCTTATTACAAGAGTAACATCGCCACTTGCCGTTCTTGTGTACAGTAAACCTTCTTCTACCCGAATAATTAATGTCACAATTTGTGAGTTTGGTGTAAGAAAGCGAAAAAGAAACTTTCATAAGATTAATCATAAGGAAGTTACATTGTATAAACTGCTTCAAGAGGAATTAAAAAACAAAAACTAAAACAAGGGGAGGAATGAAACACTAAGAATGGTAATTAATGTCGTCTAATTAATGAATATATTTGCCAAGTGGGAAAAAAGCTGCATGTGCTGCTACGACGTTGAGACACGAAGAATAATTTAAACTGTATAAAGTATTATGATTGCCTTTTTTAAGTGTTATGATAGGGTAGAATTAATCATAATTTCCTTGTTTAGTCTTCTTGAACTTTTCTTTTTATTTTTCGTAGTTGTTGCTGGTTAAAGAGATTTGAAGTTTTTTATTCCAAAATCGCTTCGTTACATAAACACAAAAATAAAAAATGAAATTATTCATGTTGTTGTTCATTCATTCAAGATAGGAATGGTGAGTTGAAGAGATGTTGTTATGCTCTTTTGGGAAACAATAAAACGGTATTAAAATTTAATCTCGAGTTATAATGTAATATGAAATGTTTAAGGGCCATAAAAATGAAATTCTCGTAGGTAATTTTCATGTAATTTTCACATGCTGTATGGAGATGTAAGTCGCTATTTTATGACTCCTTGAAGTGAATCTAAAAGGAACGAATCTTGAGAAATTGTCGAATGCGTACTGTGAATCTTCCCATAGAGAACATATGAAATTCCATGGAGATGAAAAATTGCGTTGCTTTATATGAAAAGGTGTGGGCGATTTTCCATATCCTTCATCTTTTCTTATTTTTCTGATAAAAGAACCTTCGCTGGTTGAATAAATTTTTCCGAGATTGAAAATCTCTTTTTGAAGATCATAAGAATGATCCCAGAAAAGAAGTTTTTCTTTGCATAAATATAAGAAAAAAAAGTGATTCGTGTTAAATGATGATTTCGATCCACTTCTTAATGCTATCAATGTCAACAGATGCCTTTCAAGAAATCTCACGAGCGCTTTATGGCTGCTTGGGTTGCCTATTGAAAAGAAATGAGTATCAATAAGGAACATAATTTCTTATGAAGCACATAAATTTCCTAACCGTTGGTAATAAAAAAAATCGAACTTGTGTTACATAGAAATTCAGGAATCAAAAGGAGGGGAAAGTAAAGAAAAAAAAACAAATGAGAAACGATTTCTTCATTTAGAAATGAGGAAAAATAAAAAATAAATCCTAGAGACGGCAAAAGAAGAATTTTTATGAAAAAAATTTTCAATTGGAAGCAATAAAAAAATCATCATAATTCATTTATAAGTAAATCATCCATAAAAATCATCGACGTTATATGCTATTTCCTTTTATTATTCATCACTTTTTATAGCGCTCTCAGGGCCTTGATGTAAGTCACTAGCTAACAAAAGATCCAATTCACCAACAATGTACTTTATGATGAATTGGAAAATTGAAATTCTTCTAAACTTTGAAAGGGTTTCTTCTCATCTTTTGGAAAAGTCATTATTTGATACGATATATGAGCTTCATACATGTTATTATGCAAGTATTTCTTTTTCGGCTTTATCTGATAATGATTAGAAAGTGATGTGGGATAAAATAAGAAGAAAATTTTTCAATTCCAAGAGATTTCATTTTAAGCCAATATCAACATTTTGTCATGGTGAAATTTTCAAGCTGATATGTCTTTAAAAGATTCCAAGAAAAATCGATGACAAAGTTTTTCTTTTTGTTTTGAAGTAAAATCAGGATAAGAAACATTTCAATGAAAAAAAACTTAAAACTAAGTTCTTGACATCAGACGTCACCCTTACTCGGAAAAATCTCGACTTCATATCTATCTGAAAAACATTTAAATCAAACCCTCACAAATTCATCCTCTTAAGAGAGTTTTTCATCTTATTGGAAAGTAGTCTGATAAGATCCTATAAGGAGATTTGTCTGGGGACTAATTTTCTATAATTTGTGCCTCAAAATAGCACTGAAGCTTCGTTTGGAAATCCCTTTGATAGAAGCAGAAAGCAACCAGTCAGACATGAAAAACTCATACGCTTTATTGTATTTCCTTTTTGTCTTATCTCATTCTCATTTCGTTACTCAAGGACTCAATTTTCGAAGAACGTTGCTTACACTTTATATTCCCAAGCCTTAGAAAATGGGAAAACATCTTGTAAATAAATTTTAATGTACGTCTCGCATGTGTACATAATTTTCCTTAAATTTCTTTTTTCTACTTCGTGTTTGGCTTTTAAACGAGAAATGGCGCAAAGAAGAAAAAAAAATATATAAATAAAATGAAAAAAACAAGAGGATTTATCAGAGATTGCGGTATAAGGAAGAAAGTGGGGTATGTGTGTTCCTAATGCGATTTCTCTAGCATAAGATCTGAAAAGTTTTCAACCTGTATGAAGGTTCTTGACATAAACAAATAAAAAGAAGAACAAGAGAAAGAAAAGAAGCTTTCGGAAAAGTTTTGCCAATCATATTTATCTGCTGTTGGTGTTCGACAACATTCATTCATTCATTCGTTCATTCATCGGCTTATTCGTGAAAAATTATTTCATGTGAAGTAAAAGCGCTTTTCGACTTCTTCAAAATCCCTTCAAATTGCCATTTTTTCCTCTCTCTCTCGAAAGATTTCTACTTTTACGCTTCAAGTGTATGTTTTGTAACATCGTCTTGTATCATTGACGAAAGCAATTCTTTCAAAGTGATGTATTTGTTTATTCTTCCGCTCAATGTGTCGCGAGTCGCGACGATGTTGTGATTCTCTTTGGGATTGAGCATTGAATGTAGGAATTTTAGGATTCATAAAGATGTTGATGCTAAGTGCAATGCAATAAATACACGAAGGATATCAGTATAATGGAAACATAAACATTCTAGAGCACGATGAAATGGAAGAGATAAAATAAATACTCATATGAGAATTGTAAGCGGTAGCGAAAGTGAAGCCAGAAAAAGAAATCATTCATAATTTCTTCTTTATTCACTATAAATATTCTACGCGGAGGAATTCATAACTTACGAAGTCACTGGTGGAATTTATCTCTTTCCCATCAGTTCTCATTTGAATGGAAAACTTTTACTACCGTTGATAAAACATTTTTCTTCTCCACCCTTCATTCATGTTTACAGAATGTCTAGGTAATGTTGAAAGTGAAAATTGACTTACATTAAAGTAGTTTTTCATCACTTGTTTTTCATGTGAAGAAGACACGACATGGAAAATGGAAAACTTGCAAGTAAATAAGTAAGCAAGCAAACAAAAAAAGGGCGACGTGTTGTGTGGAGAAAAAGTTTCGCTATGATAAGGAAAATTTAATTTTAGCAAACATAAAATGCACTTATAATTAGTTTTTGTTGCTGTGTTTAATGCAATAACAAATGCGCTAGACTAATGAACATTAAATTTAATTTGTCAGGAACGATGGAGAAGTTAACGGGGAACGGATAACAAAAGGCGGTGAAAGCAAACAAGTGGTTGTAATTTGTGTGTTGGTTAGCTCGCTTATTTTTATTTTTTGTTTGCTTAATTTAGTAATTCGATTTTTACCCTCGTAACACATGACGACACCCACATTCTTACTCCTTTTAAATATTTACAAACACACACGCGTGGATGGAGATTGAAAGCGAAGGTTAAGTAGAAAGGCTTTTTCAAATGACAAAAATAGACGACGAGGTGCGCTCATTAATTAGAACATGTAGAATGTTGAATGAAATGACTGTTAGCACCAATTTGCTTCACATTCCGATTGTGAAATGATGTCATAAAATGTTGACGTCTACTAATGTCCATGCCATGGTCAACTGTAGAGTTATAAACGGACATGACATGAACGAATAATATGAAGACGAGAGAATCATAAATTTATAAGTATGTAAGCTTTGTTTTAGCCTTCATAGTATCTAAGTAGATATTTATTGCGAGGACTTGCTTAGGCTTTAATTTTAGGCATTACATAAATTAAATATGTTCTTATTTTCAACAGAAGATTGAAGTTTTAGTGAGTTTCTGTTGTTTCATGAATAATGAGCGAACATAATTATTAGCTGCCCCGTTTCTACTGTCTCTGCTTCCATGTCGTTAAGCATAACATAAAATAAATTGAAAAAAGTTCTTTTTTTTCTGTTGTCACATTCAAGGAATGAGAAATGCGAAAACTGTAAAATGTGAGGCTTTAGGATCAGAACTGCTTGGTTTGGGTCGTAAAAATATTTTATGTCTTCGGACCACCGCAAACAATAAAAAGTTTTTGAGTAAAGCACAGAAATTTGAGCAGTGAATTATTTCTGAAATTAACCTTTTTTTTTCATTTTGACAAATAAAAATATTTTTGTCTAGTTTGGGTCAGTTATGGAAAAGGCTTTTATATACATTCAGTCACAAAAAAGAACTTTTTGTATCATAATGGCTGTAATAAAATTGACGAATTTCAGGCAATGAAACTTCTGCAAATAAAATTCAAAACTGATAATTTTCTAAACATTTTCCTCAACATGAAGCTCGCACACAAAAGGGAAAAGAATAACGAAACACTTGTGGATAAGAAATAATAAAAGAAACTTGACTGACCAAAACAAACCGCGAAATGGAGGGAAGAACTGAAGAGTGATTGTTAAGAAACAAAAGAGTAGAAGAATAAAATCATAAAAACAAAACAGGTTGCGCATTTCGAAACGTTCTTTAGAATGATTGATGATAAAAGAAGAACTTCATTGCCATCGCGGTTAAAACGCGAGGATAATAAATTATATGCTTCCCTCATTTATGATTCTTTTCGCTTCCATCCTTGGTTCCATCGTTCTTTTTTGTAATCAAGTTTTGCATAATCGGATAATTTCAAATAAAAATGCCTTCATTTCAAGTCCATGTTTTTTGCAATTGCCGAAGGCGAAACGCATGCTAAATGTGCACAAGACGATTTATAATCGACGAGAGGAAAAGCAAAGTCAATTAGAAATTTTAATGGATTTAATAATCAGAGAGAATGTGAGTGGATATTGTCGGTGCTAACATAAATACTATGTAGAACTGAAGTTTATTGTTTCTATCGCAACTGTTGGTTTTTACTGCTTTCAAATATGCAATATTCATTTGTTAATTTTATTTATTCCCGTAATTTCCTTCTTTTCATTGGCTAACAATCTCACAATACGTATATCGATAGAAGAACATTTCAGAATCAAATTAAATCCAATACAATTATCTTAAGTATCTCTTGTAGCTTCTTCACAATCTTAATTCGATCTTTAGACGATGAATTTTGCCTGAAAAATAAATTTTTGGTTTTGTACCATTTCTAGCTTCTTTTAAACCTTTGTGGTTTTTATTGAAATACGATCCCACCTCCATATGATGTAATCTGAGCGAGCGAGAACATAAAAATTAATTAAAAACGAACAGAGAAAAGGTGAAATCTTAGATGACGATATTCCTGAACACCGGTGGTGTGTGTTTGATTCTTTTTTCTCTCGTTGAAGAAGCGTTTTGTGAAGGGATGGGCATCACGAATTCACTTCGAAAGTTGAAGATCTTTTTATATTCTCTCCTAATTATTATTTTCTTTCTCATCGTTACAACTTTGATTTTGTAAAATCCAACGTCAAGTCAAGATTTTTGAAGCAAAGTAGATATTTTATTTCGACGCGATCAGATAAATAAAATAATCCGAGCCTGAATTCTCTGATACCCTAAAAAAAAAAGGAACGAGATCTATTCATAAAGATGAAAATGAGCAATCAACCGAAATGTTGGGCAACTCGAAACATTCTTCTTTATTTTCTTTTGGATATGTTCCTATTAAACATTCACCGGGGCTTGTAAAGATAAACAACATAAGAACCATCTGCAGTTCGAAGGCGAGCAAGCAAGAATAAGGAAAATATTTACGTAGAAAAAAAGTTTATTTTTTTATAAACTCTTCGATTCTCTTTTCTTTTTATTTTGTTATGTTCACATACTGACATACCTTTTGTGAATATACAAAGAAGAAACTTGGATCTAACAGACGAACGAAAAATAAATCGTTGATGAGGTTACCAGAGCAACATTTAAGACGAAAACACGAGAGAAGTTAGGGAATCGATTTGATAAAGAACGGAAAATAACAATAACGAAAAGTAAACATCATTCTCCGGAAAAGATCCTTGAAGAAGATTTAGTTTAATCTAATGTCGTTTACCGAATATGACGTCTTAAAGATTTAATCAATTAAGGTTCGATTCAAATATTTAATCTTCTTTAATGAAAGATTTCATGAAACCCTTTTTAAAGTATCTTAAATAATTTTATTAATATTATCTAAGTAGATATCTTAGAGACAACATAGAATGTTAATTATGTACAGGTGAAGACAGTAAATAGTTAAAACATTTCGATGCGTAAGACTCACTAACATTACAATTCGAATTTAAATAAACGAAAGGAAAACAAACCCAAACAAAGTTTCGTCTTGCAATCGAAATTAATTGGAATGTTAGGAAGNATTTAAGCATTATTTGTAGAACACTCACTTCAATTTTCCCCGATTTTCCACATTTCCAAGATCGCATATTTTTGAGACGGGTATGAAGTACTTTAAGATTCATTTTCTTCCACCACAATGTTTCAACTATTTTTTCATTCGCGTAAAATGTTTATTCTAACTTCCGTCGATATGTTAAAATCAATAGAAGTTACATTATGAAGAAGTTTTTCAGTTTTATTTAATGACAAAGTGAAGTAAGGCTACTATCCCCATCACATGTTGGTCAAAAAAAAATCTTAAAAAATTAATATTTAATTTTTCAATACACAGGCTATTAGTCCCTACATATATGTTGTTAAAAAACCATACGCAGAAATTTTGATGTGTTGTCTTTTGATACCGACAACCATTTTTATGTATAAGGAGACATGAGCTACCAAATCATTAAATTCACATTGAAGTCGATGTGAAAAAAAATTGAATTTTTGCAGATAAACCATTGTTTGGATGCTCAAAATGATGGTAAAAATAAAAATTAAATAAAGCACAAAATGAACGAAAAATTAATTATTTGTTGAAATTCGTTTATAATTATGCGCGTCTGTAAGTTGATGTATTTTAAAAAAAATGCTCTAAAATGCAAATTTGTTTGAAATCTAAATCATCTCTTCTATGCATAAATGTGCATTGAAAATAGCTTCAAAGTTGCTAAAGAACTTTTTTCCTTAACGCACAGGAAAAAATTTTACGAGAGATTTTGTCTCTCGTTTATAATTCTGCGTGTCACTTTATGTACAGGTGAAGACAGTAAATAGTTAAAACATTTCGATGCGTAAGACTCACTAACATTAAGGGAATGTTACAATTTCAAGCGATTCATTGCAATATTAGCTGAAGTTTCCATCATCATGGAAACATCAGTAGGGTGTGGTACGAGTCTAGTCCTTAACTGAGACGAATAAAGACTCATCACGGGCAATGTTTGTTCTACAGACACACTTGCCGAGAACAGTTCGTTCTACCCATTTCTGATGATGATGATGATGACTCACTAACATTACAATTCGAATTTAAATAAACGAAAGGAAAACAAACCCAAACAAAGTTTCGTCTTGCAATCGAAATTAATTGGAATGTTAGGAAGAAAGAAGAAAGGAAAATCGTTGAAGAAATCAAAATAAAACTTAATGAAGCTTTTCATCTTTGTTCAGTGCGCCTTCATAAGAAACTAACAACAAACCCTATAAGAGTCGTCTATCTCTTCTCAATCAAACTAATATTTATTCAAATAACAACAAATCGAATTCGTATCCCAAAAGATGTACAAAGTTTAGGAATCTCTCGAAAGTCGATGAAGAAAATAAAAGAAGTCGAAAACAATAATGACGGCAATAGTATTCTGATGATAAGTTCTTTTACTCCCGCGTCGTCGTTTCATTCTTTTATTTTATTTTATTTTTTGTTCTTCCTTTTTTTGCCATCATAGGGCTACGTCACAAAATTTTCCCACTCGCTTGATAACGTTTTGTAATTTTGTCACGAAATGGTTTTTGAAGCAGCACAGGAAAGAAATTCTTGACGATTTCGTTTCTTTTTACTCGCTGTTTTGTTGCCGAAGAGCGCAAATTGCGTTTGTTATTAAACTTTATTATGTTTTTTTTCCTCTGTTTCGGTTGTTATTTTGTTATTTTGATTACCTGCAAAGCGAAAGACATTCTCGAGTGAATGATGGAGAAATTGTATGTGAAATTGTTTCTTTCTTTCTCTCTCTCTTTCCCTTTTTGTTTCTTACTTTTTTTGTGTGAAAACTTTGCGAAAAACTAACTTCACTGTCTCATTTCTTTCATTGAATGTCTGAACGTGATGAAAGCGGAAGTAGGCATACTCCCACCACAGTCAAATAATTTCCATCATCTCGCCTATAAAACATGCAAATCTAAAACGTTTTTGATGTTTTCTTGCGGTTTATTTATCGACCATGGATTTAGGATTCTTGCGGCTTACGCTCGACCAACTCATACTTATCTCTGAAGCTTAAAACAGAGAAACATGAATGTCGAATAAATATTAATGAATGGTCATTAAAACTGGGCCTCGACTTTCCATTCTAGCTAATTAAGTTTAGCGAAAAAGCTGGCAAAGAGAGAGAGACGAAAGAAAAAATTGTATTTTAATGGTTATTGTGGTTGTTATTTGATGAAGGGAATATGTACAATTTGAATGTCTGAAAGAAACTATTGAAATGTGTTCCCTTATTATATAGAAATATGTTTAAGTTGAACTTCATTTATGTCGGCAGTAATGATTGAAAAAGTTTCTCGACATCATTGCCACAATATTCGTCTAACGGAAGGAAATGTTCGAAGAAAACTTTTCGATTGTGGCTAAGTCATAAAGTCTAAGCACATTAATCGTCAAATTAATTAAACACTGAAAAACAATCAAACTGTCGACTTGTTGAAGCCACAAAGTGCGCTTGGCCATGACGAGACTCGTTGAAGCTTCTCAAGCGTTCATTTAATTCTTTTTTTATTGTAAACATGCATTGTGAATTAATATAAGTAAATCGCTGAAGTCAAGTCTTGCTTTCTTCAAAGTCGTCAGTTATTTTTTTTAAGTATTATGAGACTCCATCGTAAAACAAAACTTCAACAAACCGTGAAATGAAATCAACTTCCTTAGATATTGAAGTTTATTAAAAAGAGTGTCGTGGAATCTTGTTTCAAATTTAATATTAGTTAATTTTTATTCTTTTGTTTCATTCGTTATCTTTAACTCAGATTTGATTGTCTTCTTTGGGAAAATATATTTTTGACAATGAATTTAATTCATATTTAATTATCAATCTCATTTAGTCATTTCACATAACAGACACTTTGATGTTAAATATTTATGATTGTACAAAGCAAATGCATGGCGTTAAATAAATCAAAGATTGCACAACTTTATGATATGAAGACAAATGTTGAACATCAAACATTTGCTACACAGCAGTAAATAAATAAATGAAATAACAACATTGGATCGTTCGAGTGTCTCTAATTTCATTATGTATAAAGATTCGTCTCAATAACATTTTCCAAATCTCAATCAATCAAAAAATAGAAAGAAAGGAAATAAGAACTATCCGCTTCTTGATTTATCTTTTAAAACCAGTTTAAAAATCTCAAGTCATTGTTTGAATTAAAAGTTATTGCATCAAAATCTCTCCAACTTGATTGTCTGCTTTTATTTACACATTGATGTATCAAAATGTGTTCAAGAAACAAAGAGTTCATCAAGAGAATAAATAAAAGACAAGAGAGTGATGATAACGTAACTAAACAAACAAACTCCACACCAGGTAGATAAATTTTCTCTTTAAGACATCTTGATTTCGGAGCAATTGACAAGATAATGTGAAAAGTGAATTGAAGATGAATTTCGTTGGATCATGTGAGAGAAAAACCTTCGTCTGAAGTATTTTTCACTAAACATTATAATCCTATTCAACCCTCTCAAAGTGTTTATGTTTTCTCTGCCACTTTGGATTCTCCCTCTGGAAAATTCACAATTTTCTAATGTAAATTTATCTCGAGGCTTTCAATTCTGATGCTTGGGTGAAATGTTCACACCATCTTGGCTAAGGAAGGATGAGAAATGAAAAGCCTCCAAAGGCCTGTTGTCTCATAAAAGGAAATCTATAAATGCTGCATTAAATTTCTGCCCAAAAAAAAACTTTTCTACTCGTTTTGAAATGCGAGGCTTTTCGGCCCTTTAAGAAAGGTTCTGTTGAAGAGGGATTCAAAAATTTGCATATCATCAGAGATTTAAGATGTGGCAAATTATGGACGAAAAAAAGAGAAACGAGAAGTGAAATAAGATTGCCAAAAACAACCGTCCACATTTGAACCATGAAGCAGAAAGAGAAGCGAGAAAAATATTATTTATTAAAATCTGGGCAATCGTAAAATAATTGAAATGGAATTCTTGATATCCTCTTGTGAATTGCCTCAGCTTTGCGTCTTAAACATTTAGATATATTTAAACATCGGAGAAGAAAACGAAGGAAAAAAATAATAATAAAGCAAATTAGAGTCTCAAACTCTCAGAGTGTGCTCAAGATTTTTGATGATTTGCCTCATAGCTCTCATCCTCGATGAAAAGTTTTAATATTTTTTTTCTTACATTTCTTGTATTCTTCTTCCTCGTGCTCTGATATAAACAAGGCACTATTCAGGTCAAAATGGCTGATGGATTTAAATAGTTTTTGTCTTCTTCTAATTCTCTGATACTCTGGCATATGTTTTGAAGCAATAATAATGCTTGGCAGGTAAGCCTTGCTCTGCTTTTCTTCATCTCTTTTTGTTCTTCCTTATTTGAGTTTTGTTAGATTCGGGAGTTATTGAACAATGACGTTTAACTTCATATCTCATCTTCAAAGAATTTCTGTTTTGAATTACCTTCAACTTTCATTGAGGCTTCACAAAAAAGTTCAACTTATTGAGTCTTCTTTTCGCATAGTGTCAAGTCATGCAGAGTAACAAAACCTTCAAATTTTACCCAGAAAGCAGCAGCGTCTCGGTCTTCTTTCGAAACTTTAACTGCTGCTTTCTGATGGTTGTGTTTGTGTAAACGACGAATGCAATAAACGAAGGTAAAAAAAATTTCAAGACCACAAGAAAATAAGACAGAAAAGCAAACAGGTAGGAATGAAGAAGAAGACAAAGTTCAAAATAAGATTTTTATAAGATGGAAAAGTATGTTTAATAATTTCGTATCTTCACTCTGAAATCTCGAGCATGCTACTTTTTTGTTTTACAAAATTCATCGTGAAAATTGCGCTAACTTGTTTTGTCTGATCTGAAGTTCAGACACGAGAGAGAAGAGCGATGATAAAAGTCTTTAGTGTCAGACGAAAATCTTTGTTAATAAAACTACTTTGTTTGCAAAAATGAAAAGACTCAAACAATGTTGAATTTTGCATTTAAAATGTTCATTTTCAAGTTTCAAGTTTCGCTCAATTATTGATCGAAAAATAAAAACGAAAAGAAAGAAAAAGACGATGAAGTAGATAATAAAAAACCTGAAGATTGAATGATACTATGACCACCTGCTTGAATGTTTTCGCCGTTTAAGAAATGAAAAAGAATTGAAATGTTGAGTTCCCTTTTTATATTTTTGTTGCGAAAACATAATTTCGTATTCTCTTTCTTCCATTCGTTCTATCTGCAGACGTTGTTAACTTTACTTAATGAGAAATATGTTGAAGAAGATTTTGTTTTGCCCTGTGCCTCGCAACATGATCATTTGATTCTCTTTTCAAATTGATTGTGGTGAAATTATACGTCTTTGTGTTTGGTATCGATACTAATTTATGCAAAGCGCGCAAAAACCAGCTTCATGTAATGAAATAGCAACGTTACCTTCGTCCCAACAAGAAAGATGCCTTTTTAAAAACATAAGGAAGCATGGCGAACGAACATTTCGTGAAAGGTAATTAGATGGAAGCGATGATTACAGGTAGAAAAAAAAGGAAGAAATTATTATTTAGTTTTCTTTATTTTTATTTCTTCCACTTCGTCGACTTCGTTGCATTTTAAATTATTCTTTTTGGAATGGGAATGACGTTAGTTCTTCAAATTGGATTTAAATTCGACTCTTATACATAATCGTAAAGTGCTATAAACAGTCGTCCCAAATTACAGTTAGCATAGACAGAAATGAGTGATAGAGTGAAGAATGAAAAGAAATTTGATTTAATAGAACGAGTTTTTAGTTTTGTTGTTTCGTTTGAAGTATTCTTATTTGGTTAATTTTCTCATGCCTCCCTCGATAAAAATCTCATTTGTCCATTCGTCTATTGTCCAAATTTCAAGAGAAGAATTGTTGATAATCTGACGGGTACGGAGGCTACCAGTTTTCTGACTTTAAATGTGGCAGCTGACGAAACATTTTTTTGTCGTATGTGGGCCACTTCTTCAACAAGTTGCTTCACATTAAGCCTTTCAAATGTGATGTTATTCACTTTTCTCTTTTAGAAAAGTCTTTCTGGCTTTTAACTTTTTATAATTTTGATCGGGTCCCCTTCATTATCATACACATTCACATAATTAACTACGAGAAAATACATTAAAAACTCTTCAACCTATAAATTGTTATTCGATCAAAAGTTTTCCGCTTCACTGACATGAAATGAGGGATCGGACTTGCTGACTCGACTAAAATGCTTAACTTTAACGAAAGAAAGGCAAGTGCAGTCGATTGAAATCGCTCCAATTTCACCTTTTTTTTTGTGCTTCGCAATCACAAAATTACTTCTCAAGTCGCAATGTGAAAATTGTAATTTAAATAGCTGCTTTACTTGATCTTGTCTAGCGAGCGTGATAATCTCTTCTGTGACTATTCTTTGCCTATCGTTTCGCTTTTCTTTTAAAGTTAAAAAATCATTTTGAAATTAGATACAGAGAAGAGACGTTCTTCACTTTATCTTTTGTTCCAAGTCCAGAATGAATAGAAGATTAATCATGATAATGGATTGGTCTATTCATGACTCTAACACTGTGTCTGCTGATGTCGGAGATGATGAACCTATTGTTTAAATTAATTATTCTGTAACGAATTTTCACTTCTCTTCAATAATAATTTTTTTTTTCTTGTTATTGCTTTGTTCTATGCTTTGCTTCTTGTGTCTTGATATGATTCTTCTCAGACGATTTACTTAATGGCTTCATAATGGTTTTTGGCTGTAAAAATTGAGTGAGTTTTTGCCGCTGCTGTTGCTGATGCTTCGCCTAATTAGAAAAATTGTTCCTGAAGAAAGGAACTACGAAGAAAATGAAGCATAAACGTAGAAAGTTAGGAAGTTCACTCAATGAAAATTGCAGTTTAAATCTATTTTTTTAAAAGCCATAGCAACTACCTGATAATGACATAAACTTTCAAGTTTTTCTTTATCCTTCATTCACTGCTTGCACCTGAAGTTTTCAGCTTTCTTTTCTTATTCTTTTAAAAACTTTTTCTTGAGAAATGTTTAAGGTGAGCAGTCATGAATGAAAATTCTGAATCATTCAAGTTTTCATGTCTTCAAAATTGGTTTAATTTCTGCCTCAAAATATAATTAAATTATTAAATCTTATACTTCTTTTGAACTACTTTATTTATCTAAATGTCTTAAACATTTTTCTATAGAAAACTCCAAGCACTCTCGATTTTAACTTCGCTTGCTGTTTTAAATGTTGTCAATTATTTACGGTTGATTGTGCTGTTGAATAAAATGAAATGTTTTCTATTTTTTGCTCACAAAAGAGAACGAAATGAATTAAGATAAATGCTTCTTACCATTATTCACTATCTGACGACGAAAGCATTGAACAATGGCTTGCTTAAAGAAAAATTATCTTGGAAAATTTTATTTAGCGACACAAATGAAATGAAAAATTCTCCCGCAACAATGGCAGAGTATTAAAAAATTCTTTTTTCTCGATTGTTATTTATGTGGAAATTGCATATTTTGCCTTATCGCTTGGTTTTTTAATTGAGAACATGCATCGATTGTAGAAACAAGTTACAACAGAGTCAAATCGTTGACTCACTCTCATCTACCAAGGGAATGGATTCGTAACGGACTTTAACTTTCCATCGTTTTAACTTTTCAATTTCATACTCAGCTAGTAAGTTCACTGTAGAAATCGCTTGTAACTAATAAATATAATGCATTAAAACAAAGCAACAAAAATACATGGAAACAACATAAAAATTGAAAGTACAATTACGAATTAATAACAATAATCATAAAAGTAGCAGAAAAAAACTTTGTTACAAAAAATTTGCTTGAAACTTCATCGACTTTATGGCAACTGTTCTGTTCTCTCTACATAAAACAAGCAAAGCTTTTGAAACTTCATCTGGTGCACGTGCTTTATGTGATATATAGCTCATGCTTGTCTTACCCAGTTGAGTTTTATGGATCAAGGTAAAGTCGTTTTCGTTTCCCACTCACTGATCTTTCAAAGAGCCTGTGCTCTGTAAAAGGCAGCACTTAGATTCGTTTGTATTTTTATTTGCACAATATTCTGCTTCTAAATAATGCCTAATGTCTCTCTTTTTGTGTCATGTTGATTATTCAAGTCTATTAATTTTTACTCTAAAAACAAAACTTTTATTTTTCATCTCTTCTGAAGTTACGCTTTGTCCCTTAAAAAGGTTTCCTTCTGTCTTAAATTATTTTCTTTTTCTTTCTTCATCCATGCCAGAATAAAAATGAGAAAAAAAAATTAAAAAGAGGATCATCCTAGAGCGAAATATACTCAGTAGAGGGTTGAATGAAAAGGGTCAAACGAGCCATGGAAAAATCTGTGAATTTAATAAAATGCTCTGTAAAGTAAGAACGCTTTACATTCTTACTCGACTGGATAATCTCTGAAATATAAACTTGCCTAAAAAAGCAGGAAAAAACCCTAAATTGTGATTATGTCTAAGCGCTTTTACTATTTTTTCCTCTTCCCACACACACTCACACAATATGTGGACAAGAAAGCTTAATTAAAACTCATTTACAAATATGACTTTCGTTTCGAAATTTAATTCCTGGTTGTTCATTTTCAATTAGAACTGATTTGCCTCTAAAAAAGCTGTTTATAAAAATGGGAGTTGTCAATACATGAACGAACAACTTCAACATAAATAATCTTTAGCATGACTAAGCATAATTTCCTTTGTGATGTTACATTTAAATATGCCCCATGAAGCTTAGAAAAATTTACTTTTCTGTAATTATTTGCTCATGAGCGAAAAAAGGGTTTGGAATTATTCTAATATGAAATCTAATATTAAGGCCCAAATCACCTTGCAGTGTTGTATTATACTTACATGAGAAAAAAGGAAAAAATATCGTAAAATCTCACAATCTGTGTGGAAAATCCGGAATAAGAATCTTCGAAGCAATTAAGTTCATCTGTTACTGGTAATTGGTATCAATTTATTATGCATGTAGCATTCAAGCAAACAAGCATGGCAATAGAAAACAAAACAAAATGTGATATTTGCTACTTAACAATGTAAGGAAATTTGTGTTGAATCGTGCACAGATAGGATGAAGAATCAACAGTAAACATAATTTCCATACGAACATGTTTACTGTTTCATCATTCGCATCTCTCATCCCTTCACAGCCTACCGGGCGCTCTCTTAACAAGCTACGCAACGGGGTGGCAAATTCCAATGAAATAAGATTAAACGATCAACTTTAGGAGGCATCTAATGAAAGATTCTTTCTTTCTGTCTTTGCACAGATCTTGTAGAAAATGAATTTTTTTTTTATTTCGAGCATCGCTTCGCATAATAAATTAAAATTAAAGTTTAAAAAATACATCTACGATTAAAAGCATGCTTACGAAGATTGAATAAGGGAGAAATTTAAGAAACGAAGTGTGTGTGAGTGTTTAATTAATGATAAGAAGTGATAAGACTTTAAGACAGTGCCGATGCTTTTAATGGAGAATGATTTCTATGGATTAACGAAACGTGTCATTGAGTTTCTTTTAAAAGAGTTAAAGTGGATGTTTTGAAAGACTTCAGCTCTGCTTTAATATCAAGGAAAATATTTCTTTCTTCTTCTCGATTGACTTGAGGTCAACTAAGACAATAATCGCTAACCATCAGATGTTTTCGGCACTATTTATCCCTTGGTATATCTCTTTAATAGAGAAAAGCGAAAGAATGAGTGAGAAATCTAATTTCAGAGCAATGTTATGTTATTAAGTTTCCGTAACTGTCCATTTAATTCAATTTTACCCATCATCAAGCAGTTTTTGAAATTATCATGATTGCGATGGGGATGATCCTTTTTATTCCAAAAGCTACCGCTGTGTTGCAGTCGTTTCTCCAAAATTCTTCCTTTTTTTCCTCCCACATCGTTTCATTTCTTCTGTGGTATGACACAATAATTTCTTGACAAACTAAATTTTATTCTGAAAGTCAAAGCAAATAACCCTCAATTATGATATAAAATTAATCTACAAAGGCCTTGGCTAAAGCACATCCCTATTAAAGCAAGTTAATAGTGTTAAGGACGAAATTGCTATCATTATAATTCTCAATTTTATTTCTCTTTTTCATCATGAAAATCTTCAAAGCATTTATGAACTTTGTGGCCTTTTCATCATCCCCTAACAGTGCATCCCTGTTTAACACCTTTAAATTATAGTTTTCAAAATGATTCAAAACAGGAACGAATTAAAAAGAATTGAATAAAAAAAGAAATGTTGCAACGTGGATGGATCGAAGCATGCATAAGGCAAATTGTTATCCTAAGAATATTTAAAAATAAAAATGATTCATATTCATTATAAATGTATGTATGTATGTGCATATATCAAAACATGAAAATAAAAGAAATAAAAACTGGAACATTTGTTGAACACAGATTGCAGATGCATTAAAATTTCTTTGCTTCTATCTTTTCATGTGGTGAATATAAGATGAGAAGGCTAAGATGACATTAGTAAGCTATTGTGATGTTCATCCTTTTACTGATTAAATATCCTTTCACGAGTAATTTATGCCTCGAAGGATTTCTATGCTTTACCTACACATTTGCTATTTTAAATGCATCAGATGCAAAAATGCATAAATTTCTAGCGAAACTCTCTTTTTTTCTACCTTTACATTTTCTGTGGCTTTATGCAAAACAGAAATACCCATAAAATGTAATGCTAAAGAAACACGTTTTTCTTGTTTATGGAGAAGAGAAGCAAATGTGGATTTGGGCAAAGCACATTATTCGACTTGATTCACTTCACTTCTCTCTATAAATTTTTTTCTTCTCTCGTTAAAGTTGATCTTTAATGTGAGGAGTAAGAAAGATCGTTGCTTTTTTTCGTGTATATGAATTAAGAGAGTTTGTGGTTGTGTTTAAATTGCATCTTGATAATCTCAATACCAAGAAAACTCACATAAATTTTTTATCGAAGTTCAAACTCAGACGATGTTAAGATCACAAAACAACTTCTTAAGCGCTGAACATTTTTTGTTTTCTTTAGAGTCACAAACACATAAGAAATGAACTCAAAATTTTGTGGAGGGGCGATGGTAGTGAAAGAAAGAGAATGAGCAATAGAAGCGGGAAAACCATCGAACGAAACAGACGTGTACGTGTTAAAGATTTTTTTATTTTTCTGTCGGTTAATTTTTGCTTGAGCGAATCTTTTATAATTTTAAATTGGAAAACATTTTCTTAAACGGTTTTGTGATCTTCAATCAGAAAAAAAGAAAAACGAAAAATTAAAGCAAATTAAAGTGAAAATTAATGAAAGGAATAAACAAAACATCTGATGGATAATTGTGGCCGATAAGTGTAGCGAAAGATTTCGTTAGGCTGGTGAAGGTAGAAAAAGTGTCTCACCTTGTGGCACTAAAAAGTTGTTAAAGCGGCCACAGCAAAAAAAAGTAAAAAGTAAAATTATTGGAAATGTGCTGACATCCAAGAAAGAGAAAAGGAAAAATAACAACGGTTAATGCAATTACATATATCTTGAGTTCAAAGTAAAAGAGAAAAAATTACAAAACGAAAAGTTTTATATGACGACATAAAACGAATCATTTTAATTAAGTGTCACGTTTCATATATTTACACCTGAAATTTTCAGTATAAAAAATGAAATCGCATTGATAGCAAAATAAAAAGAAAGAAAAAATAAATTTACGAGAAAGAAAAAATTGCACTAAACAGCAAAAAAATATATAAAAAAAAATTCTTTGATAAGCGCGAAGCTGAATCTAGGAAAAGTTTTTTTTATGTGATGAATTTCATGATTGTAGAGCTCAATGTTGCCTTCCGTGTCGAAAGTGTTGTTTGAACAGAACGGTGCAATAAAGCAAGATTTTATTATTTGATAGCATTATTTCCCTCAAGAATAAGGAGAAAAGAAGCATTTGTTACAGTGTTAAATTAAATAAGAAGTAAATTGAATCTTCAAAAATTGTAATCAGTTATAAACAGAAAGAACAACAAGAAAAGACGTTTCGATTTGGGATTAGCAACTCTCAATTCCCACACAAAATGGATTTACTCAGACGGATTAAAATTCTTTTAATAATACTATACGGTAAGTTCAGCAAGATGACGTTTATTCCCAACTGATTGCAAGTGAAATAAACCGCGATAAACCAACAAACATGCATAAACTTTCACATATCCAAATCTTTATTGAAGCGGAAAGTTATTTTTAACTTCAATAACATTGCTTTCGAAGTTCCTTCATCTGAAAGAATTTGATTTGCTTTCCTCTGTATTGCTTCTTATAAGGATTAAATAAAATATGAAATTATTTTCGAACGAGTATCCTGGTAACCGATATTGCTGAAGCACTCGCTGCTTTCTTAAGAACACTTGAAAAAACCAGGCCATCCATTCATCTTAGAAAAGAAGGAATGAAATAAATATTTCTTGCTTCTTCGATTCATTAATCATCAGGGAGAGAAAAATTGTTCACAAATTTATTTTGCATAGGCTAGGGGATCAGGCAAGCGCTGATCTACCACAACAATTATTTTGCGAAAAATATAAATAAATTCTGCCAAAGTATGCTTCATCACCCTAAATCCTACAAAAGTTTCTAACACAACACTCGCTCTTGTACACAAACAAGATATCAGATGGTTTTGCTCGAAAAACATAAACAGACAAAATAAAAATTGTTTTGCCGTTTCTTTGATTTCATTTCTCTACTCGTTGGCTTCTCGAATGGCTTCCTTTTCCTGCCTTATAACATTCGTGTGAGCTTGTACACAACTTAAATAATGAAAACCTTTTGGATTGATGAATACTTAATAGACTTTATCGCGAAACGACTTTGTCTGTATTCAGTTCTTATGTTGACTGTACAAGGAGGTTAATCCAAGCCCAGGTGCTCGCTCACGTGTTATTATTGACTCAAGACTTATTTTTCCACTGTGAATTCGAAATTTGAAATCTATTTATTGAAACATTTCTCGATAGAATTATTGATACATGTTGCAATTGCTCGAAATGGAACCAGCAACAGCACTACGGGAAACATAAAAAAATGTTACACATTGTAAAACTTATTTTAATGACTCTTCCATGTAGTCTATCGTACATTGACTATTTGATTGATTTATAAAAGCGTCGATAAATGTTTTTCGATTCAATTTAGTTCTTCTTTCATCCATCTGTTTTGGCTCGCGATGGGGAAGCTATTTAATTGGATTCTTTGCGTACATTCTTTTATTTCTTGCGTTTTTCGATGTCGAAGGGTTGGAATGAAAAGCAATGATCGACGTTCAAAAACTTGATATAATGTTTGCGGAAATCAAGTTAAAGTTGAATGCCAATTGTAGCACATTCCAACTCGTTCATCGGCCACTTCTTTCCTTTCTGTTTCTTGCTTCCTTTAACTCTCACAAAGGTCGCTAATTAAATTAAGCTTAATTAAAACATTGTGTGTGAAAATCGATTCTCGTGATTGCTAAAGTATACATTGGCATGTTGTATGGTTGAATAGCCAACAAATGTCTAAATAAATATGAGATCGAATTTAGCAACTTGTGAAAATATTTTAAGCATCGATGAGAAACAGAAATCTAAATTTCAGAATTGTTGTTCATATTGACTGTGTAGATTTCGAACAACTTAAAATAGAAGATTCAAAAATTGTTTAAGCTGAATAAATTTCAAGTGCTTTTGACTGTTCAGTCAGTAACGCATACAATCATTAGATATTCAGGTTTGCTAATTTTATTAATGACAAACGTAAATGTTTACATTTCACTCGAACTCTTTGAACTGATTTGGAATGCGAACATTGTTTAATGTTAAAATCCTCGGGTTTGAGAATGTGCTTCAAATCTGGGAATAATAATTCGCCAATAAAATCAGAGTACTCTGATGTTTCGTAATTTTCCCAGTGGGAAGCATCAAAATAGAAAAATTTTGTTTCAGCAAAAAGGAAAAAAACGTTTGCTAAAAATATTTTTTATTCTTTGATTTCGCAAATGTGAAATTTAAATTCAATTCCCGTAACTACGGTGTTCACAACCCCATAAAAAATTAAAGCGCTTAAGCGTAAAGTGATGGCATTTGGCAAACAAATCGGGAACATTTTCTGGAAAAAATCATAAAACTCGTCTTGTGAAAATGTTTTGGCAGTAAAAAAAATAAAAATTTGTTTAAGTTGAAAGAAAATTCATTGAGATAATGATGATTTTTCGATGAACTCGAAATGTTAATGAGGAACTTCTTTTAAAGAAACGAAGGAAAGATGAGAAATAAGCGATATGAGGGTTCATGATGAAACAAGCTGCCGGGGTATAATGGAGTTTTACAACAGCATAAAATATCGTTTATTACTCGTACGAGTGAGGCTCACTTCACATATCATCTGGCAATGCATCCTTTGAGTCTTCACTCGTCTTTATCCTTTTTACGATACAAACTTCTTGTTGAGAATGACAGTTAACTTGATACATATACAAGAGTTAACAGATTTTTGTTCGCCTACGCATTTTGAACACTTGAACTAAGTTTATAATAAAGAAAAAAATTCCCTTAAAGGCACGACGATAATTTGGGAGAAATGAAATATTTTCAGTTTTCTGTTTAGAACATCAAATGTTCCCTTGTTTCTCTCTTTTTTTTCATTATTATTAAACAAGAACATGAAAAGCAATCTCGTGTATTTATAAATTCAAACAAAAAAAGAAGAATTTTGTCTCGTTTGTTTCCCTCGTTTTCATTTAAAAAAGTTTTGATATTAAGAACGATTTTGTTTTATTACTTTCTACGTTTCCAGAGATCGATTTTCGTCTTTTGTCTAGTTTATGACCCAAGCGAGATCTCAAAACAACTGATATAAGATGTAGCATTAAAACATATTAAGCTCAATAAAAAGATATTCAAAACATTTTATGTTAATAAAATACCTTTTTTCGACTTTGCCTCTAATATATGACACAACATAAGTTTAAAATTTTATTGTTCTTCTTTCTTTTCTACTTATTTGGGTAACAGCGGGGACCAAGAAATAATTCAGAAAATTAATCAAACAGACTAAAAAACCTTTTTTTTTGTCTATTTTCTCGAGAGTAGAGAAATTCTGGTTCATGTGGAAATTTATGAGCTACTCAAATGATTCGTTCTTGTTACAGTATCCAAAGACTCGTCACACCGCAGGAAATACCTGATAAAAGGCGATTCATTTCTCTTTTTTTTCACTAATTTTATGTTTATAGCCTCTGTCGAATGGATCGTTTTTTGTTGTATTTAACAACCAAAGAACGATTAAGAAAGAACACAAAAATGTCCAAGAATTCTTTTCCTAAGACAATTAAACGTTTGCGTTTGTTTGTCGTCTTTAAAAGGAAATTTATTTGAAAGGAATCGAATCAACAATGTATGGTGATCGTTAGATTTTGTTGTTGAAAAATTCGAGAGAATTTTTATGGATGGCATTCACATCTTCTTTGTTTTTGAAGAACGTTGTGCTGATGTTATGTCATCAAAGATTTTATTTTAATTGTCTGAACATAAAATCATGTTGCATTCACTGAGACTGCCTTTATAGATGCATAACTTCAACTTGGGTGAATCATTGTATTCATTTCTTCTCTATTTGTCATCAAACTAATGTTACATTACTTCATAAATAATCCCTTGCGAGCAAATTTCTAAATCTTTTATTTTTATAAAAGAATTTTATGAGCTTCGATGGCTTTTGTGGAAAAATTAGTTGCCCGTTTGTCTTCTTCTTTCTTTCTGCTCTTCCTCATCTCATTGTTATATCATAAACAGTTGAGAAAAATATAAAATAATATTGCAAAGAACAAGCACAAAGTCAGAGCATGAAAGGAAAAGAGAAATTCATAAAATGTTGTCTCTAATAAAAAGGTACATATCGAGGTCCTTTTATATCACCCCCAATTGTTTCACTTTTTCAAAAGTTTAAAAGCAAAGTTTACCTGCTGCATCAACACACACACACACATTCACCAAAAAAGAAAGAAACAACCGCCCTTGGAAAGAAAATCTATTATTTTGCCAAGGGAGATGAAATGGAAACATAGAAAAACGAAAATAGTCCCTGACCGTTGTGCGAGCAGCAGCAAAAAGTATCATTTATTATATTTATGCTCGTTATTGGTTGATTTTTTTTTACAGTTCCCCGAAGTGCTCGTGTAGATCAGTAGAAAAATTCCATCCTTTTTATTGTGTTCTTCACGTCGCACTCGTAACACAAAAGATTTCTCTTGCCTTGTTTTTTTCCCTGCTTCACTGAGCTCGTGAGATTTTTTTATTTATTTTTATTGAAAAGTGTTCTCAACCCATATAATATGAAAACAAAATCGAAAAAGAAATTCCAATGCTTGAAGCGAAAATCCTTAGCTTGATGAACAATTGAGCTCACAAAAATTGCAATGCATTGAATGGCAAATATGTACCTGGTTCAGTAAAAGATAACCGAACGAAACTTTTAAATCACTTCGATGTGAAAGGCAAGTGAACATATTCAGTTTGCATACCAAGACGATCTTGTAGACAATATTGCAATCACTCTTTCCATTTAACAAACTTGAAAAAGTTTCAAAGTGAAGCATCTTTTGGGTGACACTTGGAGTACATTTTTTGTTTTCTAAGTCGCTTTGGGACATTCCACTGAACTCTTTTTCCATGCTTTTTCTCTCCTTATGTCGATTAAAAAACTTTTTCCCAGTTCAACAACTTACAGTTGTTGAAATTGAAAAATCTGTTGTGAAATTTACAACTTTCATAAGCAAGCAGCACATGGTGTTTGAGTTTGAAAGTAAATTTTCTACATTCATGCTTGCTAAAGAGCAATGTAAATTGCGCTTACATGTATGATCATTACATCTATAAAACAAGTTTTTCAACCGTTATTTTTGCAAAGTAATTTCTCCCTTATTGCACTTGCACATACATCCACACTAATTCATTTATATCCGCGTGATATTACGTAAACATGCTTTCTAAGCTTAAACTATTTGTTACAGCTTAAACTTATGCAAGCAGCAGTTAAAATAATAATCTACTAGAACACAAATATGACAATACAACTTCGAGCCTTTCATGCTATAGATTTAGTTCTTTTTGTTCGAAAACTCGTACAAGAAAAATATTTCTCTCGTTGCCATTTAACACATTTTCGGATTATCCTGTTATTGTGCCTCGCTTTCCATTCCGTTCTCCAGATTTCGTAAACGGGCTTTTCTTTATGTGTTGCAACATCACACCTCCGGGGCATGTTGATGTTTGAATAGAAATTGGGTATTTTCATATAGGATTTCTCGGAATATTAAACTCGAAAAAGATGCGAACAATGGCGAACGGTTGAAGCTAGAAAGGGAGCTAAAGGTGAACAGATAATAGGGAATAACATGTTCATCTGAAATCTGGCGAAAACAGACGAAAAAGGAGAACAAAAAAAAATTGTTTTCTTCCTTAACTGAAAAACCAAGCATCGTTTCCTTCTTAACCAGCTTCACTTTCGATAGGTTGGCTGAAGGCAATTAGAAATTTGATTAATATTCAACGAAAAACATTTCGCTTAAAGGCTCAACACAGTATTCAACTTGTCTTCATTAAACTTGTTTTTTCTCCCTCTCGTTATCGTAAATATTATTCGTAGCTTTCTTAATTCCGCTCGAATAGCAAGCGAGAAAATAAGACAATAAATTCAGGCGTTTCCAAGGGCTTCTTAAACACCGGCAACAGGCAAAAGCAAAGAGCTTTCAATTTACATTTTAGATGAATTTGAAATTAATTATTTTTAAAATATATACGCATTGCTTGTAGCACTCTCGTGTTGATAATATTCTCGCGGTTGATTCGGCTAACCAAGCAAATCTGTGTAGTTTTTCAGCTGCTAAATATTTCAGTTCCCGTCAAGCTCTTCAACTGATTTGTTTTCTAAACTCACATAGTTTGTTAAGCCATGCAAAAAATTGTTCCATTCATTATCAAAACAATGTTGTTAAAGCTTATTTTATACGCATTAGTTGAGTTATTTTTTTTTTCACTTTATTTTGATAAAATATGTGACGAGAATGAAATTTCTTACAACAAAATCAACACATTTATGGTGATAACAAAAAAGGGAAACAACATCGAGAAATTGTTTTCAAAGTGGTTTGGATTGACGACACTAAACAAATGATCAAGGGCCGTTGATAGATCCATTCTTATGGCTATCTCTTCATTGTGCAAACATTTATTCCAACTTGGGTCCCTTTTTTTCTGTCGATTGTTCATTTTCATTCGCTCATGTCGGCCTTTTCTATTTCCACCCAATTATTGGATGGTTCAACTTCTACGACAAAGGCAAATTAAATTCCTAACAATTTCAAAAAGATAGTTTTGTGAGCGTATCAAGATGATTTGTGTCTGAAAATTCTCATCATGTGTGACAAATGTTATGGATATTTCCTAATGGCATAAAAATGGAAGTACAAACAAGATGAATTTCTCAATTTTTTTGTTCTGTGGTTTTTAGGAATGAGTGGAAGTCCATTAGAATGATGACCGATTTCAGAAGGATTCATAGAGAAAGCGAATGTTTCGTGATGGGCTTGTCATAGGACTCATATCCTTCTTTTAAATGACATGACAACTCATACAAAGACGTGAAATGTTAAATAAACCGGTTTCCCATTCGATGCCCATTTATTGTGAAAACAAATGAATATTTTGATGACATGTGACAATCTATCGATTTACTTTTGGATTGTTGATTTTAGATTCTATTCTTAAATATTCTTTCCCTCCTGTAGCTTTGGATACATAAAATGTTTATAATCTGAAGCATCATGCGTGTTCAGTCAGTAAAGAAACGAATGAAGGAGGAAGAAAAAAAATCCCGGCTTTAGTCTTAAGCAAGTGACATTCAACTTGTTTTCTTCTTCCCTTCGTCTTCATGTCATGTTGGTAGATGGAGGAGGATTTGTTGATGTTGTTAATGTTTCGATAATGCGTTGTATGCTCTAGTATCATCCGGATTTTTGTTTTCTTTTTACTAGACTCGCTTCATGCGTTTTTATTATCTTCGATCAACAAAAGCTCAAGCATATAATGTTTTTTCAAGACAAAATTGCTTGCCTTTATGAAGCTCCTTTGATACAATATTTAACCTTTAATGTAAACGGATGAGGGCGGAGATTGGGCATGAAATTGTGCGAAAGTGATGTCAAATATCTATTGAGTTAAGTGTAATCTCTAGGGCATAACATTGACGTTAGCATTTTGGGGAGTTAAACTTCTTAAAGAGATCAAAGCATTGAATTATTGCTGAAGCATGTAAAAATGAAGTCGTGTGCTAAAAATATGAATCTAACTCATTGACTTCATAAAATTATCGATAACAGAAGCTCCCCCAAAAAAAGAATGAAAGAAACTTACTCTTATGCGTAGGTTTTTGTTTACATATGTGATGACTTGATGATGTTCTCTTCCATTCACAAAAGCATTCTTTTGAAGATTGTTTTCGTTTCATGTATCATGCATTATTACATTTTATTCTTTTCCTTACGTTCCCTCATGATGCTTTGTCGTCGTTTTACGACAGCAGATGAGATAGAAAGAAGAAATATTCAAAAATATTCTTGCATTGTTCACCCGTGAGGAAAGATGTCATCAACTTGATTCTTGACACCAAAATGTGTCTCATTTTCCGCACAAGTTGAGTTACAAAAAAAAAAACATGTTTATTCCTAAATAACACTGAATTTTCAATTGATATTTCAGCTTTCTCAATTTTAAAAGAAATAAAAAGAAGGAAAAGAAATGAAACGCAAAGGAATTGAGAAAAATTAAGATAAAAGATTCAGAGAGAAGAAAAGCTGTCAACGTAAGAAAATAACAAAAAAATTGTTGACTTTTTAGCTTCACAATTCAGAGGAAAGTTGTCGACATTTTAATCAACAATCACTTAGTTTCGCATTATTTTGCTAACTTTAAAAGTTTCTTGAAAGGTTACGATAAGAAAGTATCACAATGTCCATTCCCTTAAACAACAAAAAAGTTTCTTGTCGATTGTGACTTTACGGTTGGGCTGGTTTCTTTATACTTACATTGAGAGTGAACTTATTCGAGCGAAAGACGTTTTAATAGAAACATAAGAAAATATCGTGTTGTTTAAGTACTTCTCTGATCTCCAATGAGAACCAAAACTTTATTTATTTTATTATTTTCAATGTGGCTTGCTTGGGTGTAACAAACCGGTTCCCACTATTCAAGAAACATTGTAATGTGTTGAGATTTAACATTTGCTTTATATTTTTGTCTCAAACATTATTTACACACAGCTTCACACTGATCCATTTAAGTCAATCGGCGTTCGATTCTTTTAGGACATTACATTAGTAAAGATCGATGACTTGAAACGATTGACTTTTCTCGGTTCTTTAGAAAGGGTTCATTCTCCGTATCTCCACTATCACTTATCGTCAAATGGTCTGGCAATCAATTTTCCCTTTTCCTTTAAAGAGAATGCGACAAACATGGGGAGAAAGTAAATTTCTCATGATGCATACACGAAGCGAAACGAAACGAAACGAACACTTGAGAAAGATATTAAATTTCTTGAAATGTAAGCTAAATTTCAATCCATTTAGTCGACACTTCACTGCCATGTGCAGATTGAAAATCCAACGGAAAAATTGAGTTGCGCTGAATTTGATTCTTCTGCAGTATTGCAGCCTGCATGACTCGTCTTGTCTTTTTGGACGGCAATGGGACTGGAATATTTAATTTCATAACTCATGAAAGGGTGTAGTCAGCTTAACGACAATTTCGTGACATAAACTTGAAACTTGTTTAAAGAAAGGAAGAAAACGAAAAAAAAACTTGCTTTGAAACTTCAAACTTTTAAAGTCTCGAGAGAAGTTTTATCGTGAATTCTTTTCCTTGAAAACATATTCTGATTCATTCTAACTCAAATGTGTGTTCGCATTATAAAGTCAACACATTGAATTTGAATATTCAGCAAGATTGTATAAAACCGTCGCAAAAATATTTTCGCTGAAACGAGAGAAACTAAGTCAAACTAAAATAATGTGTACACATTGAACTCGCATTCCACGAAAGGAATATTTAGAAAAAACAAAATTTGTATGTAAATAAAGCAATTGGATCCCAGTCAAATCATCGGAATGTCCCACATTCGCTTGATTTCAAAAACCTCGCAAACATCTGTTGCAAAACATCTCTGAATAATTATCATTTTAATCATTTGTCGGTTTAATTTTTAATACTTAGCAATGTCGATTTTTTTAAGTTGAAAATGAAGAATTGTAAACATAAAATTTGCGGAATTTTATTCATTTTTTTTCTCGAAATCAGCAAAAAAAGAAATTAATTTTTTCTCTTCCAAAACGCATCGTGCTTGACTTCTGCTTTTTAACAACGTTTTTAAACATTCATAAGGTATTGGGATGAAGCACGTTCCCCACCAAATACACCGCAAAACATGCAAAGCAGTGCAAAAGGCACTGACTGCGGTGGCCTTTAGTTTTCAGCTCAATCATGAGTTTTTGCTCTTTGTTTGTATTTCAGAAGTTGAAAATATTTTCTGCCATTGTTGCTGCAAATATAAGCAATTTTCGTATTTTCATCGCTCTGTTGCATTACAAATTGAATTAAATAAAGCCCGTTTGAATTGCACAAATAATTATCTTTTTCTCCTATTCATTTAAAGTTCGTAAATTGCATTTACTTAATTTTAAAACTACTTGCAAATAAGTGAAATAAAAAAGCAAATAGGATTGAAGAGGATTTGGTGAATATTTTTATTTTATTTCCAGTGATTTCCATTTCTTTTTACATAATTTAATTCACTGGTTTTTATTCTATGTTTTGAGGAATGATAAATTACACTGCACAACAAGGTTCATCCCTTTTTCACGACGTTCGCTGTTGTTTTTTACTTCATTTATTTAGACTTCTCAACTTCTTCTCGACATTCACGCCACACGAAATTAAAATATTTTTCAAGCCTCGTCTGTGTGATGATACGAAAAAAGGGAGAATGAGAAATGGATTTGAAAGGAAATTAGAATTATGTTGCAAGCAAGAATATTCCTGGACGATCCTCGTCAAGACAATTGAAGTTAGGGAGAAGGAAAATCAGTAACAGTAACAGCAGCTATTCGCTTCGCTTCAGTCGTATTCTAATCTTGCAACATGCTTTAGCCTACCTCTCTCTCCCTTCCTTTCTTTCATTCTTATTTAACCCATTAATTAAAAAAGCAACACTGCTTAGCATCCGCCTTATGCATAAAGGAGAACCTTTGAGACATTTCATCTCCCTGAATCTTTTAATGTGATTTCATGAATGAAAAATCTCTTCACGCTTACTTCACGTTTGCCTGTTCCCTCCCTCTCATCAGCAGAAATGTTCAGGCTTATTTTTTCCTGCCTGTGTACCGTGCCTTCTTCTCACTCATAATGAGTGTAGAGTTCGCGCGCGATTTTTAGCGCTTTCATACCAAAACAAGATTTTTACTCCTCATCCCGTATGCTGTCAGTGAATTTGAAATTTATTACACCAAGGGTGTTTGGTTTTTGTTTAAAATACATTTTAACCCTCTTCAAAGTGTCAACCAAGAATATAAACGTTCACTGGTTGATTTCTGCTAACACTCTCCGCAATTTTATTTAATTCTGTCACGGTGCATACCGTGGAAATTTTTACACAATGCACTGGCTAATGCTTAGACTTACACTTGACATCTAAATAATTCCACCCTTGCTGTCGACAATCAGCCATGCTGCGAGCGGATTTCGATTGTCTTCGCCCCGCACGAGATATGATTATGAGGATGAAACAGTTTTAAAAGTGTAATAAAAATAAATATCGCAATTAAGAGCAAAAAGTCTCCGAGCGCCGTGCCGTGTCTTTTTCACAGAGAGGGAAAAAAAAGAAGAAATTAAGAGGAAAGAAAGAAATCCGAGTCTGGTAATTGTAAAAATCCCAATGGAGTCATTTAATAATTTCCAACACTCTTCTTTCATTATAATGCGCTAGAGTCTGCAGCATTGATCAATTAAACAGGCCATGAATGAGAGAGAAAAAGAATTTTCCATGCTTTTCATCGATGATTAAGTTTCATTCGTTTTAATGTAGCTTGAGCCATGAATTTATTTAATCGAGCTGTAATCACCCTCGATGACAATCAACGCAATAAAAAATTCTTTAACGGAGAATATTCTTTCGCAATAAATCATAAATGGTTGAGTCAATATAGCACGCTGGGAACTTGAGCATGCTTTAAGGGACATGTGAAAGATGATGCGAGATTCAAAGACTTGAGAATGAAATGAAGGGTGAAGAAAAATGGAAAAACCATTAAAGCAGGATGAACGTTTCAAGTGTTATCCAACATGGAAATGTAATTAACGAAAATGCGAGACCACATCACGATATTTCAACTGACAGTGTCATGACAGTCAGCAAAGGAAATGAAATCTAAAGATTTCAATGCTCAATTTAACGAAAGGATTATTTTATTTAATCTCAAATAGTTTGTTATTTAAGGTTACGTCGGGGTGATTGAGGTCGATTTCGTTGTCTGTTGTTACATTTAATTCGTCAAAATCACGCACATATCGAATTGGTTTGTAATATTGCTTTTTTTACACTTTCCTCTCAACTCCACTTCGATTTGAAAAGTAAGATTGGGGGGGCCTTGATTGCATACCGCGCCAAACAATGGGTTCGGTTTGTTTCAAATTACGACACGAAAATTGACTTCGACTCCAATCCCAGATAAATTGTCGGTAAAAAAAATATATCAAAATAGATTTCTTTACTTTGACTAACAAATGGTGTCAAATTAACCTTATACCATGTCACCATATGTTTCTTCAAGGTTCCATTCGCAGTCAAATTGAATTGAATTGAGAACATGACAAATTTCCGACCTTGGAAATTTGAGACAAATTTTTGTTTGGTATGTCGTCGTTCTTTGCTTGTTGCATTTTCAAGTATCTTGATATTTTGTTTCTGTTCTTTCTTAATGAGATGTTCGTTTGGGATCATTTGAGAATTCTAATTAAGAGTCACATGGTTTAAAACAAGAACGAGAAACGACCCAAGCATGATACTTATTATAGAAATAAAGCCAAACCGCAAACGATATTCTGGAAGAAGAAGAAAAGATATTTTAATTTTTTTAAATTAGATTTTCTCGGGAATGTTGTGAAAGAAGGCACGATAAACAAATGTGTAATTTGGAGTAATTATCGGAATGTTCGTTTCAACCTACTATACACCACAATAAAAAGCTGAGAAATCTTGAAAGAAAATTTGTTCAAATTAAAGACGTTTCTTCCTTTCCTGCAACTTTTGTATAAAATATTTAATTTCGCTTTGAAGTTTCTCTTTATTCTCAACTCTTTCTCAATCTTCACTTTAAATGCATATCAACATGGTAATTGCATTTGAGATGAGTAGAGCAGAGCGAATAAAAATGTTCTGAAAGATGTTTCGTGTTGGAGATTGGAGTGTAATTTAATTTAATTTTTCTTTTTTATTTAGTATGTAAGATTGTGGTAATTTGCAGTGAACTTTTACTGAGAAGGCAAAGATTTGTGTTGTTTATGATGGTATTTTGAAAGATTTCAATTGCAATTCTCTCAGATATATTTATGTACATGTTATGCAAGATGCTCGAATGAAATGAAGAAAGTAGATTTCTAAACTTTAATAAAATCAAGAAATTAAATTATTTTGAACTGACCGCAGCATTGCAATGGAAAATTAATGTCAGTGCTAGTTTATTTAAACATACAAAGGTACATTATTTATTTAACCTGAATAGAACTTTACATAAATATTAATGTTGTATCAGACTTACAATTTAAATTGAAGCTTATGTTTATATTTAGAAATGTTCAGAACAGAAACATTTTCTGAATTGAAGTAATTTCATAATTTCTTTCTTTCGTCATTATAATCAATCAAAGATACTCTCAAGATATTCTCGGAAATGAATTTCTTAACATTATTATTTAAAAACAGAAATAAACTGTAGATAATGATAAAAAATACTTGACATGACAAAAAAAGCGTCTTCCATCAAATTGAAAGTAATAAGAAAATAATAACTGAAGTTTTTCCGTTCCTTAAAGTCATGCCTAAGAGGCAATACTTAATGTGAAAGACTATCATCATTTCAATGTTGAAAATGACAAGAAGGAGAAAAATAGAATTGCTCGAAGCGAATTGGTTCTGGCTGACTATTGCGTACCAATGAAACCTTTCATTCACAATTCATAGTCATGTCTCGGAGAAAATTTTTAATGAACTTGTTAAAATTATGAAAATTATTTTAAGCATCTGGTGGTTGAATTCAATCTACAATCTAAAATTTCAATTCACTTCTTAGATAATTTCTATTGAAATGGTCACCCGAAGAAAGAAATAAAGAAACAAAGTAGAATAAGAACTACTTACTCAAAGTCACAGTTAAAATTGTAAGAAAATAATGAAGGAGAAAATAAAGTTTGGTGAAGTTGATAGTTTCGAGAACATGAAATTGAAAGACGGTAGATAAAAGTTACTAATGACAGAAAGTTTTGATGTTTCTTCTCCGATTTATTCTTTCAATTGCCATAATTTCCAGCAACGACGCTCACAAAAAATAATAATGTAAAAAATAGACTCAATCAGAAAAGTCATCGCAGTTCTTTTGATTCATTCACAAGAAGTCATGTTCATACAATAGAAACTATAACAATGATTCATTTCAACTCAAGCCACTTTTCTCATAAGTTGTTGTGACATTTTCTGTTTAAATTGTAGTAGAAGCAAAAAAAGAACCGCTTAATAATTTTATTTGAATAGTTTTGATGGTGCGAAAACTAACAATTAACAAAATGGCAACGAACGACACTTGTCGAGAAAAAAATTGTAAAGAGAGCTTTGCAGTGAAATAATATTTAGAGAGCTAATAACAGAGTAGAAACGCGACAATGAAAGCGAGTTCTTTAATTACAAGGAATCTTAAAGAATAACAAAAGGCTAACAAAGCATGAATGGGCGCTTTGAAGTTTATACTGGCACAACATCCTTTCATAACCTCACGTTAGCTTCCGTCTTTGATGAGAAGCGTGAACGGATAATTGAAGGAAATGATTATACTGGTGTTTCACATTCATTAAAGGATGAAATTACACTGAAATTTCGGCAACACCAGTAGTTTAAAAAGGAATTAAGTCGCCTATTGAAGGGAAATGCATATTTTAACAATATTCTACAGTATTTAATTATTCATTCGAGTTGATCTTTAAAAAGTATTTGATGTATTTCAGGAAATAATCGGGATTTCGAGACTATCAAAAGCATTACTCATTTTATAATTACGGGGCTAGAAACAAAAAGGTCAGAATGGAATTATCGCCCATTGAAACTATAGCATATATTAATCCCATGACAAGCCTGGCAACGATTGAAAATTTAATTCATATTCTCTCTCCATTCAATGGTTATCAACTTTGGAACTGTTTCAATTCTTCTGTTCATTAATTGAGATTTTCGGGATCCGCACAGTACCTTTTTAGTCATGATGAGTCCATTATGTGAGTCATTATTGAACGGATGCATGTCGTTATCCATCAAAACAGAGCTGAAAATATAAACTCTTGTGCACGAAAGCATCGCGACTGTCGGGGGATTAAATAGAATTCAACGAAATTGGACAATCCATGAGTGAATTACACACAACATAACAATAATAGACATGAGCTATAATTTAGCTCCAGATTGAGTTTAGATTCAATTTTTAACCAGCAATTGTGTAAAAACATTCCCCAAACAAAAAATCGATTTCAAAAATAAAACTTTTATTTTAGTTATTTTTTTTGTTTGATTTGAAATTGAACAAAGCGGCATTTTATTTGTTTTCAGAGGATTCGAATTCGATTTTCCTTCATAAGTGTTTAGTTAGAAAATTAAAAGTTTTTTGCGGGCATTGATTGGATGTGTTGTTTGCACGAAACTTAGCAGTTACTCACGTTCGAATAATGCGAGAAATGACGAGGAATAATAAAAATAAAAAAGCGAGAGTGTAACTGAATAATGTAAACATCAAGGGAAGTAAATCAAAGTTACATAAACAAAGCATTCTTCTCGTGCACCTCATACCGAGCTTTACTTATTTGTTATTCATTTAAAAATGTTTTCGTTTTTATGGAGGCAAGTCTCGACTATGATTACCACAAAACTATGATTGAAGTTTTGTTGAAGAAATCATATTGTACATGAAACCAGTCGGAAGCCCCTACGCTGCAATCTCATCTACCTTTTCAAGCATGTTTTAATTTGTTTTTTTTTTATGTTTAGTTTTTGGAGCAACTGAAACTACATCACAGTTCATATTTATGTAGTTCAAGCGAAAGAAAAAACCAATTTCATTTCTGACAAACGGTTATTGGCTGTGTCGAGGATTATTCTCTTCTACAATTTCATTCACAAGCATCATTGACATGAGCTTTAGTCTCATTCATTTTTTCCTATCATTCGGCTGGTTACGATCTTGAACTACTCGTACGAAGTGGTGAAAGCTTTTGAACTGAAATATTATGAATGACAAGATTGTGAATGTGATTTGCGTTCGATGGTGAAAAGCTTTCTATGGTCGAATGGGAATGAAAATGGTAAGAACGAGACCGAGACGTAAATAATTTTTTATGAACCTGCCAACGCAAGCAACAGAAAGGATCACAATTTCACGTACAATCTATAAATTTATGAGGCTTAATACTCAGCTTCCTTAACCCATGTCCCTAATTTAGCATTTTTTTCCTCCTCGGCTGGTGCTTAAATCCAAATCTCTCCCATCCATCAACCGATATTGATTAGACTTTAGGCCTTTCCAGTTCCTTTTTTCCTTTCGATTCCTCTACTTGACTCATAGTTTTTCTCGTTTATGGAGTCAGGGTGGTTGAGTATTTTCTTTTGTCGTATATTTTGTCGCTGATGCTGCTGCTTTTAAGCTATCCAATTCATGTGCCATTTGCAATTTATGCCGAATGAGTTATTTGTATTTTATGTACATAAACATGACTCTATAACCGGATAATTCAAGACACATTTGGAGAGGAAAAAAAGCATTTTATGTATAACGAATGAGCGTGCAAAGTATTGTTTCGCGTTTGTGTAATCATAACGATGTCGACGATTCTTTTGGGTCGACAATCTTATTTCGATTTTGATTTTATTCATAAACAAAAAAATGCTCAAAAGCCGACATGACGTGCCCTGGTGTTGTTTACCCAACGGCAAATTGACTGCAGCATATTTTCCGAGTATCGTAATTTGCTCATATTGCGTTCACAGCACTTGATTTCAGTCAAAACATTAAGATCAATATTGCGTAAAACAAATACGAAAAGAAATTGAGCTCTTGAGCGTAAATAAAAAATACTTCGACAAGGAAACTTTATTTAAAAATATTTCCAAGAACTGTTCATATCTGATGCAAAGGGTGTTGCTTAAAAACTTACGAATGTAATTAAGCTTGGAATGGGAGAGAAACAGTACAATAATAAAAGTTAAAACAAGAGATGAAAAAATCTGTGTGCAACAATTTAATTTAATAAGCCACCAGCATTATGTGCCCATAATGTAGCATAATTTGGTATTTGTTTCGTATGTTGAAAGCGCAGATGGAAGAAATTTTTGTTTTACAGTGAAACATCTAAGAATTTAATTGTTTTTTTTTGTCTTAGATGAAGCTTCCTTGTGTTCATTCAATCCTCATCTGAGTTTCTTCAAAGTAGAAGCTTCGGAATGATTTCATTTCGTCTACGAAAGTGTAGAAAAAAAATAGAAAAACTCAAAGCGATGTTAATAGAATTTCCATCGTAAAGAATAGCACAGAGAAAAAAATATATGCGATGCTTCAAATGAAATTCCATCATTGTAATGATGACTGTAAACGAGCACTACAATTTGCTAAGCGAAATTCCTTTCATTCATTGTTCTTTCCCTCGTCGGCTTCCTAAATAGCAAATGCAAAAAATAAGCGAAAAGAGAGAAATTAAATTAAATGAATGAGAATAAGGAAAGAAAATCACGGTGAAATAAAATAGGTTTGCGAGGGTGGTTAAACAGATTCTGACAAAAAGAGAGGCATGAAGTTGAGATTTTCTACAGAAATGAGAAGAAAAACGACGATAATTTAGTTTTATTAAAACAGATTATTCAATTGCCATAAGTAAAAGCTGCTTTAACTTTTTCTTTTTTTTTTGTGGTGAGTGTCTGCAAAGATATGGAAAAGTTTTCTTAGCTTTTCTATCCGAAATGGCGAAACAAGTGTCATTCTTGATTTATGGTAAAATTGTGCATAAATTTGTTTGCTTAATTTTCTTAAATGGAATGTCAGGTAGCAACAGAGACGAGGGTGGAGAAAGTTGGGAAGCTAAATCTTTCGTCTACACAAGAGAGCTGCTCCTTATAATGTTCGGTTTTCTTTCCCTTGCCCCCAAACATTCTGAATTGCGATTGTTCTCTTACGGGACCGCTGCTAGAGTGCACAGCAATTAGTGAAATTGAAAAAGTTAAAAAAATTCTCATTCATCGTTTTTGGTAGAGTTTTATTTTTTGTTATTAACAAGCAAAATATTTATTCAATTCCATAAAATGTTTTGCAACAGTTTGGAAAGTAAAGCGCAATTAGTCGTTTAACATAATGACATTCCTACAAGTTCATATAATTGAAGTAAAATAAAAGTTTTTCTCATAAGATAGTAAAGTTTGAAAATTATTTTTTATTTTCTTTCCAGATATTCAAGTTTATATTTTTCTCATAACAAAACGTTCTGACCCATTGCTTTGTGCATTAACGTAATTAAAAGTTTTCGAACTGTTTTTATGAAGTAAGAAATTTAATAAAATGAAATCTGTTTTGAGGTTTCGCAAACCTTACGACGTATTTAAGAGGGAAAATCCTTAATGCTAATAATCTCTACCTGAGCTTTAAGAGAAAACATAAATGTATTCACTTTCTTTCAATTTTCCCTTAAATCAATTTAATAATAGCATCAATTGAAACTTTAGAAATCACTCCAACTACTAACGATGTGAAGAAAAAAAAAGCAACGTTTTCATTATTGCGCAGAAATGAATTAACGTTGAGAACAAAAACATTTATGATTTCATTATTTTCCACTCTTATGATTCCGCTTTGTTATCGCAATGTATAAAATTCGATATTAATTAGTCGCTTTATTGTTGTTGCCGGCTGCTTTTGCTCAGTTTCCTCCACGGTACTATGAATAAACTTCAACGATCTCTTAAAACATTAAGAGCTGAAACTTTATTCAATTGTTGCGCTTAACAATGAAATCAAACATTTTGTGTGAGAAAAAAAAGCAGCGCTGAGAGTTTATGCAAAAATGATGTTTTCGCCTCACATTATTTCTTATTGCCTCACTTTGAATCCATTTAGATATTAAATTCTTTTATTTGTTTGACAATCTCAAGACAAAGATGTGAACAAAATTGAATCTAATTCGTAAAAATTTATCTTTATCTTTACAGTTTTAGTAATAGTGACGACAGCAAATGGTGATGACACTTCAATTGACACACGTGATGGTGAAGATCTGATGCTTCAGTGTCGCTTCAGTCCCGATTATTCAAACCGAGGATTCATCTATTATTGGGCTCGCAGTTCACCACGCTTTGAAAATGTTGCCGTCGATGAGAAATCTTTAAGTTCCACTTACAAGTGAGTAATTGAGTATAATTATGAAGCGTTTGCGAAAACGAGAAAAATCGTTGGCAATGTCAATTACACAAATAGACGATGTCATTATTCTAATGACTACAACAACCACTTTCAATTCAATAATTTTTGATGGTCTTTTATTTCTGCTATGCTTCACCAAAAAAAAGAGAAAAAAGTTTCTTTCATTGCCACTAATTATGTAATTTCGGCTCATTTCCCTCTCAAATAGCACAAATTTTAAAATTTTCATGAAAGCTTATTGAGATTCTTATCTAGATGGATGCTGGAAAATTGTTTGAAACTTCATGAAGCACACACTTTTATGTAATTAGTTAATTGTAACAATGGAACATTTCATGCTGTCTCTTTTTCTGTGACAGTAAATTTTTCAGTGTAAGGTTTCACAAAGTAATTTTATTCCCTTTAATTCTCGACTCCCCCGTCGACAATGATAAACTATGAAGTGGTTTCAGTAGATAACTTACATCTAATTAGCTAAACTATTCAGTTCATTAAAATCTTTTATTGCTTCAACAGAGTTGATTACCGACCCGACAAAGGAATTTACGATCTTCGCATCACAAATGCATCATACAGTCGCGACAACGGACGTTTTGAATGTCGAATCAAAGCACAGGGAACAGGCGATGATGTTCACCAACAGTATTACAATTTAACAGTTCTTACCCCACCCCAACCACCACTTGTAGCACCGGGCAGTATTGTCGTCGCCACTGAAGAGAAGAAGCAAGAGTTGACATGTAGCAGCGTGGGAGGTTCACCCGATCCAACAATCACGTAAATAGTTTTTCTTATTCTCTTTTCAATTTGTACAAAAAACATCCCCAAATCAAATGTCTGTCGTCTCCACGTGATTCCCTAAGAGAATTCACTCACAAAATTATGTTTTTTTTACTTACCTTTCTGTTTTATTTTTTTCTCATGCCATTCGCTTGCTTAATTTAATCAGATGGTACCGTGATGGAAGTCCGACACCCCTTCAAGCTATCGTAAATCGTGGGGGATCAAAAGATCACCAAACGACAAGTACATTGACCATTACACCGACGAAGGATGATGATGGTGCACGCTTTCGATGCGTTGTTTACAACAGAGCTATGAAGGAAGGAGAGAAATACGAAACAACAGTTACTCTAAGCGTTAACTGTGAGTACTTTTATCATCTATTATTATTGTCAATATCAGGTTAATTGCGAGTTAGAATCACGTCCATTTATTGAGTATCCGTTGCACTCACATCTCAACGGAGCTTTTACACCGTTTAATGAAACTTCCTTCATGTTTGTAACTCGAGTTACCAAACGAGATTCATTTATGTTGGCTTAGAAATTCTTTATTACGTATCTTGTTAGTAGAATGAAATCAGCTTGATTTTTCTTTATGTATAATCTCGGACCTTTAATCGAGCTCTTAGCCGATTTCTATGCAAACATACATTAATAATATAATTATTTATGTTTCTTCCATCTTTGTACATATAACGGGTTATTTTTTTCATACTTTTTCTTACTTCTTTCGTCTTTATAAACTATCTTTCTGTTTTGAAAAGAATATGAAAAGAAAATAAGAGAAGTTGTGAAAAATTTACAATTGAATTGTTATAGATATTTACGAGAAAGAGGAAAACCAAACTAAGAACAAGAAGTAGAAAGCAATTGTTGAATTGAAAGAAGTTAAAAATGATCCTAAGAAAACATTTTATAAACTAAAAATTGTCTCTTGGCACAAGGCACACCTTTGGCAAAAGAAAAAGAGAAGCGAAAAAATAAGCAATCAAAAGAATGAAGTGAAGATAGATTGTCAACAGTTACGTGGTAGAAACAAATGCTGCTAAATAATTTCACAATCGAAGGCCATGAAAAATAAAAATAAAATGAAATAATGGCAACTAATAAATTCTTGGTAGATATTATGAATATTGCAACAAATAGCAATTTAGCAAAGCAAAGCGAACGAAATTTTATCATCGCAATCACAAACACAATGACCGTTCGCTGTTGACGTGTAATTTGCTAAACGGCAGTGTACGTGTTTAATAAACAGCTCTCAAGGGTAAGAGAAGCGAGAATAAAAATGAACGCTTAATGAAATTATAATTAACTTTTCAGCTGTAAAGAAAAGAGACGAAAGCAGCAAACGTTGTCTTTGATTTCATAAACAGCGCACCGTTTTAGAGTAAGAAAATTATCATTAGATGTTTATTTATCATTCGACCTGTCTGCTGTTTCACTCACAGGTCGTAGTCGTTTCTCTATGGCTTTTGGCGTGAAATTAAAATTTTCAACATCGAGAATGATTGCTCAATGTTCTCCTTGGTTCTGGAAAGCAGACGATGAGAGACAAAAGGCGAGAAATTAAATTGTTATTGCCGTGACTTATTCAATGGACACTATTTAATGATTATGTATGAAGGAGATTCATTTGCGATGAACTTAAATAAATGTATCATTCTTGATTCTTCATCCTTCATCACTTTATAAGCATCATTTCATGTCTCATTTGAACGATGATTTTTAAACTTTTATTTTTCCTTCCTCTTCTTCCAAAAATGTATAACAAAGAGTGCGAGACAGATCATTAGACGAGGCCATTGTAAATCAAATCATCTGAAATTATGGTGTTGATATTTATTTCTCTGAAAATAAAACTCGACGATTTCATGAATCGAATTCAACTGTCTGTGGATAAATAAAAATATCAAAATATGGTTTCATGGATTATTGAGCCCATGATTAAGTCGTCTCATGTTCACTTGATATTCAAAAGAAAAACATTCCGTTGATGTTTGGGCGCGCGAGGGTCAGGGCGAATGAAATAAATAAATAAAACGTTCAGGGAGACATCAAGTGAAGTATAAATGAGCATAAAAATTAATAGAAAGCTTCTAACACAGCGAAAGCATTCAATAAACTCGCAAAGCATAATATGCCTCCAAATGAATGATTTAACGAAGACTCTTATTCTCATTATATTCAGAATCAAATAAATGAATGAAAAAGCATTATTGGGTAATGAGACGCGAAGAATCTCTTTTTATTTCTTTTTCTCACTTTTATTTCCCTGAAAAATTTCTCACTCACTTAAAGTTCTTTGGGAATCCACGCCGAAGCTCATAAAAATGAAAGCCTTTGGTGTGAAAACGAATCAATCAGATTGAATAGACTTCAATTCTCAATAACTTCATTGAGTTAAAGAAACACTTAAAGAGACGAGCAAGCAAAGGCATCGAAAATAGCAATTTTTCAATCTTGCCTGTAGCATTTTTATTTCTGTGTTGTGTTTGGAATGTAGTAAAAATTCAAACGGCTAACGTTGTAAAGTAAACTAACCAAGGTTAACCGCATTTTAGCTTTTTCATTTCAAAAGCGGTATCTACCTTTGTTTCACATCTATTCAGATGAGAGAAATAAAAAGATATGTGAATAAGCAAACAGCGAATGCTGATTTCGAATGCTCGGCTATAAACTTTTCTCTTTGCTTAGGTTAAAGGTAAAAGAAAAAGCGGAAATTAAACTAAGCGACAGGAAATCGAATTAAAAATTTTTCACAATAGCGTTTCACCGTCATGATGACCTGTAAGAGAGGAAAGAAAAAAAAACACGAGAAGTTATCTTGATGATGAATTTTAACTTTAGCGTCAATCGAATAGCCTGGCCAGATATTTCATCATGAACCGCATGTCGCGGTTTCTTTTTCTCTACAATGTTTCAAGCGAAATATCAACAGAAGTAAACTTGTATAAGTTTACATAATATAAGGTGCAGGTATTGTTTGGCACAAAAATCATGTAGATAATTACAGCCAATGAAATCGCGAACGAAGCAGAACATGAAACGTCATTCTGAGAACATTTTAAATTCGTCTGCTGATTCATTTTCACAAGAGAATTTCCTAGGAAATTACTAATGGCTTAAATCTTAGATATGATTACGTCATTATTTATAATCTTCAAAACAAATTTCATCATTATGAGCTTTAAATGACTACTGAATGAATATGGAATAAATTTTTTGATTGTTTTCAATTATTTGTGAAATAAAAGCCAAGCAAATGAGTTTTTCATATGTTGCGCAACGTTCATATATCCATTTATTCACGTACTTTATGGAACATTCCTGACTTTATTTTAATAATTTTCTTTCTCCCCAAAGATTCGCCAGCAGAAAATAAAAACTAAATTGCATTCAACTGAAAATAAAAACCTCAAACGAGAAGTTACCTGAACATTCCAATGGCTTTTTATTATGCAACAATTTAAAATGAAAATTCATTCACTAACTCAATGTACACATATCGTTGGTATCTCAGTAAGCCCGCACCACAGAATCCAATTCGAAAAAAAAACGATTTCAATTTCGCTCTTAAGCTATTTTTTTTGTTCTGTTCTCTTCCTCAACGAATTTGACGTTGATGGATTTTGCAGCAGCAGTAGAAAAGCTCTAAATTCCACTTAACTACCATAAAAAATGGTGAAAGTAAGTACCGAAAAAACCTCCGTCTATAAACGACCGTTTACACTCGCAAATAATAAAGTTGATGCGTGATGGCGAGGGAGTAACCGCATGTGGGACTATTCTCGTCTGAACATAAGCATTCTAAAGCTCACATATTGTTGCTCTAACATTTGCTACACTCGATATAACTTTTTTTTCTATAAGAAAATTGACAAGAAAAAAACTCCGTAAAAAAAATGTTTCGACACGAAAATGAATTTTGGCAAAATATAAAAAGAGTTTTGTTTGATTAGAAAAAAAAAAGAAAAAGGTCATAGTAACATTAAAAAGAATCATAAAGTCGAGTGCCACGAAACGTGAATGCTTCTAGACACGAATTTCAAGCTACATATGTCGACTATGTATGCCACAAAAAAGCGAGCGTTGGAATGTCATGTTTTTCACGAAGTAGATAAGCAATCAGTATGTCTTTGATCATAAACCTGTATAATGTTCATTAAATTTAATTACGACAATATTGCTCAATTGTGCTGTTAGCAATGAACGAGCAGAATAGCTAACACCACCGCATTCAACTGCATAATGGCAACAAAAAAACAAACAAAAAAGGAATAAAAATAAAAATCTCGTCTTCATAAAACCAAAGCGTGAAATCTCGACAGCATCATGTCTGATGGAATGTTTATGTGATGTGTATTTAAGGCCCAACTGAGAGCTTGGATGCGAGCTTGAATGATGCGTTTTTATGTTTAACGATGATGAAGCTCGAAATGGAAGAAAAAAAAAAAGTGAGCGGTGTCAAAACACCAGAGACGCAAAAAAAAATTTAGACAAAAATCCATTTGATACGAGCATAAATCATAAAGCACCATAAAAATACACACGCAAAACATACACACATGATTGTGTCTCTGAGGAATAAAAAAAATCACCACATGATGAATGGGACGTGTTACCGAATGTTGATGGCTAAAGAAGCGAAAGACAATAGTCGAGATTGAAGTGAGAAAGAAGAAGAGATTCACTCAAATATCAAGTAAATGAAGAAAATTGTGGGAAAAAGAGATGATTGCCATATCTCATCTGCACCTTCTTCTGTGTTAATACCAATTTGTCTACTTATGATGAACTTTTAAGCTGGTTTCATAAAAAAAGAGTTGCAAACATTTCATTGCAACATTAAAAATTGATTTACAAATTCCTCGTGAAAATAGAAGATAAAATTCTTCAGATAATTGTAACGTGATAAAAGATTTTCCACGATATCTCAACTTTTCACTGAAACATAAAACTTTTTTTTTCATCAAAATGAAATTTGAATGTTTTTCATTCCCCTTTCGAAATGACGATTGAAATAGTGATGCTCACATGTAACTTCACAACGATGCGTGAAACGTAAAAGGTTGGGAAAAACGGTTTTGAAATGGAAATTCATGAAAATCCCCTCCAGTTTTTCATCATCTACCTTGAATCAATTTCAATCAATTCAGTTGAGTGCGTTCGAATGCTAAGGCAAATATTGAAACATTCTCGAAATGTGATGATTTGAGCGCGGAATAAAGAGCACCGACAATCTGGTGCAGATAGCGGGCGAATTCCGCTCAAAGGTAGTTTTGTGAGATTTCTGATGTCGACGTTTTTCGTCGTTGTCAGCATATGGAGAACAACAAAAACACTTGACGATAAACGCATACAAAAAAAGCGAACCTTTGTTTATCTTTTTCACGTAATCTGATGATACGAATTGAGTGTCGTGAAGTGAAAGCATTTCCAATTTCAAATAGCAATCAGAATATCTCATTGAAAAATTACTGTTTTCATGTTACTTTTAACTGCAAAAATAAGAGTTGGCATGGGCAGCCACAACCCCAATCCTAATGCTAAATTTTCAACATCAAATCATATGTCCAACGACTGAAACATTTCCAATGAGATTCAATTCAATATCAAAAATAAATATTATTAAAAGGGTTTTCTCTAAACCCATCTCAAACATTCATTGCACTCACATGCAATTCAATTGGTTATGAATATTAAAGCTTTGAAAAAAATCTAATACTGCATAATGCTTTGAATTCATATTTTGATTGAGCACAAAAAAAATTCAATTAATCAAAATTGATGTTTTCAATGTTTACTCGTTTTGCCGATAGCTGATTGAAAATTTATGAATTGGTATTTTATGTTTTCATGTGTAGTTACAACGTACGCCATGTTTCGAACTTCCTAACATTTCCCATAAAATCATAAAACTTTTAAAGAAAATATCTAAAATACGAAAATCTCGATTAAAGCATTGAAAATATTTTAAAATTATTATTTTAATCCAACACTTCCTAAACATTTTTAAGTCTTTTGTGGAAAATTACATGTTGTGAATTATTTGGATATTTTTATCTTTCACATTCATCTCTTGAGAAAGAAGAAGCCAAATTTCTCTATTTTCACAGACAAATTCAACCTCAACTAGAAGTTTGCAAAATTATTTTCTAAATTTGGTTTCCTGCTTTTTCCTGTTCTTCCTGTTGTGAGAATAAGTAGATTCATTATGCGTTTAACAAATTGAATAATCATGAATGCATGAAATAATGTTTTGAGCTTACACAACAACTTAAAATGTCGAGATATTTAACAAAGCAAAAAAAGGAAGAGAAACTCAGGAAGAATTTTCTCGTGGCTTTCATGGTTTCAGGCTGAAAGAGAAAATAAATCGCTCGTTTTATTTTTCTCCCTCTCGGATCTCCTTTGTGGTATTTAATGTTAACACACATAAAACGAGAAAAAATGTCTATCTCGAGCCCATCTTCATCACTTCTCTTGTAAGTATCATATCCGAGACAAATGATGATGAAAAAAGAATTATTTGATGATGCGACTGACCAGATCCGCAACGATTATCGTCATCCTATTGTTGGATGAGATTCATGGCCACTGATGTTGATATTGTCGTTGCCCACAAAAATAGCACATCATTGCCAACTTCCGTATTCTGGTCATATTTTCTTCTCTTTTTGTAGGTCGTCAGTGATAAATTGTACTTGCTTTCTACTGTCTCAAGCAAAAAAGAAGTTTATGATTTACATGGATAAGTCTTGCTGTGGAGCCTCAAAAACTTTTACAGAACTCCTGGCAAACGATCAATTTTTATTTTTTTATTATTTTCATTTCTGAAAATTCCTTCCAATGTTGTAAACAATTTTTCAACTTTTCGGCCACACACTAATGGTTTTTCTGTTACATTTTTGTTCGGAAGGTATCGAGATATTTAGTAAAGTAAGAAAAATCAATTTATTGAACCTGAAAGACCGGAAATATTTTCTCTGGCTGTCATCTTGTCAGGGGTTGCATTTTTCCAACCAGAACTGAGGAAAATGATAAACTAGGCATAATCAATCATCGGCAAAGTGGAGAAATGAGCTGGGATTTTAATGAATCGAAGAATTCAAACGAGACCTCTTAACACACAGCTGACTAAGAGGAGTGTGAGTTGGAAATTAGAAGCGAAGAACAACAAAAAAATATACATGAAGTTCACGTTGATGGCGTCTGAGCTGGTGGATTTAAGACGTACAATGAAAATGATGATGGACCATCAGACCCATTATACATGAATAATGATTTCGCTTAAAATAATCGGGAGAAATGAAGTGAGTTGTGAGCACAAGAGAAAAATTATTGGGTTAATAAGCTCTCAGTTGGATCATCGTAATGCCCTCGCTTGTGTACTTGAAGATCGAAGAGAATAAAAGTTAAATTGCCTGAAATAATCGGCGGCCTAGGGCAATGAACAATGTATCAAGTCAATTGGAAAAAAATAATCGAAACAAACTTTCAATGCGGTTGAAGCTCGGAAAATTTCATAAATTACTGTTTTCCCCAAGCGAATTTTAATCAAATTATTTTCTTATAAAGAAAGGTGAGAAATTCAACTGTAGTCTGTCTGATAACTATGACCTTAATTCTATTGCGCAAATCTAAAAAAGAAAACCGCTTGCGCCACTTAAAACTTTCTCTAAATGATCAATTTAACAAAATTTCATAAGCAGATACAATGTTGATTGAACACAATGTTGAGCATAAATAATCACAATAATCACCTTCATTCTTTACTGTTCTTCAAAATCAAATGAAATGAATGAAAGCAACGAAAAGTTAAAGCGCGGCAAACATTTTAAAATCATTACCTGAAATGATGCCCAATTCATAGTCAAACAAAACAAGCAAAACACTTTGTAATCTTTCTTGCCGCAGTTTTTTCGTTTTTGTTATTGGAAGATTCAATTACAATCTTCTTCTTCCTTCAACTTTAAGAGTTTAAAGCATCGTAAAAATTTACATCACATTCTCGTTTCTTGTTACTTCACACGACACATCGTTGATAGATTTGGAAAATCATTTATAGATGTGCGATTTTTAATGTGCCATTCCCTGAATAAGATTATCGTTAAATCGATTTGAAGCGATAATTATCACAACATGAGCTCTGATACTCAAGAAAATGATTTTCCGTTCTAGTTCGTTCTCTTTCCATCTTTCCATTCATTTCTCTTTTGAATGATTCATATTAAATATACGCTTGGATTTCCAAAGTGTTGCTGCATCAGAGGAGAGGTTTAACGAGCTTCCATTCACTGCCGTCTCCTCCGAGATTGTCGATTTAACATTGAAATCCTTCGGAACTTTTATCCCAAAGGGATTTAACCCCTGAAAAACTCTCAATTGTGGATTACCTACCATCATTTGCGGGGCTTTTTCAAATCACTTAGGGATACTTTTTTCACCTAATGAAAATCCCGAAAAATCATGCTTACAGTTATGTGACTTTTCACGCTTCAACATCAACAACCCTCAGACTTCACTTTTGATCTTTCAGTTTATTCCTTCTTAATGTATATGTTTGTATATATACAAGTAACCCTGACTCATGGTCTTTCATAAAGCCACAAGATTACTGATGAGAAGGATTAGAGCTTCACAGTTGGTGAGTAAATGAAAGACTGAGACTGTCAAAAGAATACACCGCAGTAGCCCAATCATCAACACGTGGGCAATGAAGAACATTATACGAAAATCCATAAATAAATTGAAGTCAACGATCCCCGCCTGCATACCTTTCTCCAATTTTTATACAATATATTTTTTTAGTCTGACTTTCTATTCTTTTGATTGTCATCGTCATATTAATTGCACAATCAAATACACACACACATACATTTATTGGAAAAAAAATATTTGCTGATGGCTCGGATGTCAACACGTTAAGGAAATTGTTTTTAGTGTTTATTTCCTTTCTCACTATCGTCCCTTCACATCTACGCACATGTATTTGGTCCATCAGAATCTTACAACAAAAAATCAAATGCTTCGTTTTATTATGTTCATTAACATGCGTTAAATTTACATTGCAGAATAAAATTCCTATTAATGTGAATCGTGTTAATAAGATGAAATCAAAACAGATTTGAGGGATGAGGAAAATGTTTTAATGCGAGTGAAAGTAATGCGATCCTTTGTTTAGCCAGAGCTATCAGTAATTTCCATCACGATGGAAATTTTGAGGTATTCTTTCATTGAAAATTCCGCCTACCTTGTCGTATTACGTCGTATATTGCTCCATCCTCTGTAAGAAGCTTTCTGCCTTAAAACAGCCACACAATAGAACCAAAAACCGACATAATGAATGTTTATTTTTTTCTGTTTTAGCTTTGAATGCCAACAACACGAACATTAAAGGAAACGAGAAAAAGATCTTCTTATGTTGTTTGTCATCGAGCGCCCAGCTCCATTATGTTGTCTAAAGTTGGAGATGGAACAAAAAAAAACATAAAGAGAGAAAGAAAATGTTGTTCATGTTCTTTTTCAACGTTTGTTGATTCTTAGATTGTTTCTACTTTATTATGTTCGTTACTAGGTTCGTTATATTAAAGCATGACTCTTGATAGAATGGGTGAATTAAATTTGAGGTTTTTATGCTGTTTACGCTTTGCTTTCCTATTCTCTATAGCTACTTGCTCGGCTTCATTCCAACTTCTGCTCATCGCTTAGTTGCAATGATGTATCAACATAAAAATGTTCTTATATCATTTCGTTTTCTTCTCTTCATCTTTCCTTTTTTGTTGTCTTCAGTTCGTGTTGAAGACATTTTGATTTGATAAAATATTATTGTCGGTTTTTAGAGTGAACGAAAGAATAGCAACAAACAGAAATAATATAAAAAGTGATAGAGCGAATGTAATGAAAAGTTTCAAGAGCGAAAATTACCCGGGTTGGTGTTTGTATCCGTCTAATGTTGTCATTGTTTGCTGGTTGGACAATGTTACGATTGTAAATCACTGGTAGTCGCCATCCACCGTCACGTTTCAAAGTTAGAAAGAATATGGAGCATGAAAAATGATTCGACACAAAAGGAAACTGTGTAAGAAGTGACGACGAGATAGACCCTCAATCAAAGTTAATGTTGTGAAATAAAAGCAAAGAAAATATCTGACAAAAAAATAAAATCTTCGTGATGTTCTTTCGAGCGTGAAATTTGAAACACAAACATCATATTTATTTAGCTTGTAGCGATTTAATCAAATTTTTGCATTTATTAATTGTGAATTGTCAAATGGAAGCGAGAGATAAGAAAGAAAAGTTTTTAAAAATCAAATAATTGAAGAAAATTGATTTTATAAGTAAAAGAATTGCGAATCATAAACAAAAGAACTTGAGTCGTGAAAATTTGATAAAGCTTCTCAAACAACACAATGAAATCTTTTGCTAAATGATGTTTCGGAGAAAGTTCCTTCGGGAAATTTATTTGAAAATTTTCTTCATTTCAAAGTTTAAGGAAGAGAAAAATGAGAAGCAAATAGCATAGCATTTGATATTGAATCAAAAAAAAATCTCAATGTATACAGTTTTTTTCTGTCGTTCATTCATTCGAAGACTCATTAGGAAAGGAAACGAAATTAAAGAAAAAAAGTTTATTTTTCCTCTGCAAATGTTCGGTTTAATCATTTCAAATTAGAAAATTTCTTTGCGCTGTTTCTTGTTGATTTGTGAGAAAAAGTCAAGATTCTTTCCTCGTAGCTTGCCTCGCTCGGTTGAAAAAGTTTTCTTTCAAAAATAAATTTTTACAGAGTTCAAATATCGTTGAAGAGTTTTATGTGTTTAAGAAGAATTTTTGAAAGTCATTGCAACATCATTAGCTTTAAGTACATTGCAGTGTGTATCAAAAAGAATATTAATTGATAATTATTACTTGTGCAAGCATTTATTTAAGTGAAACTTAGTAAATCGAAATTTAAGCTCAATAAAACTAATTATAGAACTTCAGTTAACATAAGAGAGCATCATACATACTCAAAACAGCTTCAAATCACTCTTATGTGCTTAAACTAAGAAGTTGAAAGCATATTGACGATGCTGCAAATGCATTAAATAAAGGGAGAAATCGCAAATGCGATTACCGTCCATGATGATATTAGGATCAAGAAGGGATTTACGATTCTTTTNATAAAACTATCTAATTATAGAACTTCAGTTAACATAAGAGAGCATCATACATACTCAAAACAGCTTCAAATCACTCTTATGTGCTTAAACTAAGAAGTTGAAAGCATATTGACGATGAAATGCTGCAAATGCATTAAATAAAGGGAGAAATCGCAAATGCGATTACCGTCCATGATGATATTAGGATCAAGAAGGGATTTACGATTCTTTTCTTTTACTCCGAACTGGTCTCTTAGAATATCTAAGCCTTTAAGACTCAATCAGCATTTCAAACCTCGCATTTACAAGTAATCACATTTCCTAGAAGCATACATTCTGGATTTGACTTTTTACTGCTTTGAAATAAATATCTTTAATTTCCTTAAGGTTCGTAAAAAAATATAAATGAGATAAATAGCTAAAGCTAGTCTTGAGCAACGAGATGAAAAATCATAAATAGGAAAAAGGAAAAATTCATATGAAATAAATAATTTTCTCTATATTCCTTTAATAAATTCACTTTTCTGGGTGCGGTAAGAAAAATGATAGAAATATGAAATGAAAATGCATAGAAAAATCGTAAGCAATTCTTTTTCAAGCGAGAAATGGGAAATAAAAATATTAATGGATTTCCGGTTTGCTATGAAATGAAACTTTATCCAGCTCTCGACATGCTTTAAGCATATTTTACTGTTTTTCTTGTTTTTGTTTTGAGTTGAGGATAACCAGAGTAAAAGCTGGGATAAAAGCATACGGTGGGAAATACACATCCCAATGTCCAAGTGCTGGATCAAAAGGATCGTTCTTCATTAGAGAGGGGATTCAACAAATTTGAAACAAGATTTAAGAAAGAAAAACAAAACATCGGGAAAGCTCTTAAACTTTTTAATGTTTTTAAAGTTGAACTTTTCACTTAAAACAATTTCAACTGCATCAGTTCAGAAAGGAAGTTAAGTGTGCGAGGTTTCTGCCTTCCTTAACCAACAACATGTTTCTCGTACATTCGGCTTGGAACGCGAGCGAATACCAAAAATTTAATGATTTATATTGAGTAGTCGAGTCAACTATTTTGCAATATGTGAGCTTAAAGTATGAAAGTACATAAAGGGATTGGAATTCCCACGAAAATAACAAAAAAAAATCGAAGGAATTTCGTCTGAGGCAATTTGCAAAAAGCTTTTTTTAATTCCTGTGATTTAAGTTTGGTTTTATTTATGTACTTTGTCGTTTCTGTGCTCATTTTTTTCTACTTATTTATTAAAGCCAGAAAGTTTTATAGTTAAATAACAAGAATATAAGGATAGAGATTTGTCGTTGATAAACAGCAAATAGAATGTTTTGCAATACAAATGCGACTTCCCCAGACGATTAAAAACTACAACCGAAGATATATTGCTCGCTTTTTCCGCGATTGTTGCAATAAAAAATAAAATCACTGAAAAATAAAGAAGTCAATAAGAGAAAATGTGAACAACCACACATAGTTATAAATCTATGATAAACATGATGGGGGCGCGTCGTTTGGAATATAATTCAGTTCGCAATGGACAAATGGACTCGACTAAGCATGACTTAATTAACATAATACGGTAGGAAGTTCTGATAGTTTGATAGAAAGCTATTTGCAGTTCCACATTTCCCATTACGTTCAATCAAAAGCGGAAGCCGTGAAAGAAAGTTCGAGCAAAGGGAATAAGAAAGAAAGAAAATCCGAAAGTATTTCAAGCGAAATCATTTAACATTATTGTTCACCATTAACCCCCATAAAACCGCCACGGTTTGAACCTGTAAATAAGCTTTTTCGTAGTCGTAGGCGTATGGAAGAGAAGAAGAAAACTTTGAATTAAAAACTCGTTCATTTTCTTCAACAACTTTCCTCGTTCTATCCAAAGAGTGATGGTTGAAAGGGTGGGAGAGTAGAAAAAAGCTCGTAAAGAAAATGCGGCACATGAAAGGCAATAAATTTGTTTTCCTTCAAGACATTTCTTTTTTCACTCTCGCTCTCTTTTCTTTGTCGAGACAAACACACACAGGAAAGAAAAAGTCATCAGTGAAATGGCAAGCAAACGAAAAAAAGAAAAAAGCAAACTTTTGATTGTTATTTGGCATATATTAATTACATTTCTTAATGGTTTTTTTTATTTCTTGCATATTACCAATCTTTGTAGGTTGTCATACTTATAGAGCTCTGCATTCGACTTGTGAACTTAATTTGAAAGCTAAGTAAACTCTGACAAAGCTTCGATAGTTGATTATTTCACGTTGAAGTTAATTACATTCATATCTACGAATACAGCATGGCAACCATCGATATTTAAAGCGAATAGAGATCATTTACATGTTTGACAACAGCAAAATAACATTTTTCACATCTTTTGAAACTTTCGTCTTTTATAAAGAAATAAAATCTAACTTTCCTTGAAAAAATCGTAAAACTAGAAAACATTATGTTGATGATTAATTGCTTTGAAGGCGCTTTAAATTTTACTTATCAGCTAACATAAAACTTAATGGCGAGTTTTCTTTTATACGTTTAAGCAAGCTAAGTAAAATCTTTAACGTCACATGAGGTTTTCAGATTTTGGATGGCATTAAAACGTCAAGTGAGTGATTTGTAGAATTCGTTTTCAATCTACATTATTCCTTCAAGCTCAACATCGCTTTTATAACTTTCCGGTACTTTATTGACGTTTATTGACGTTGAAAAACATATCATTTCACTGGCTATTTAATGCAAATAGACAAAAAGAAAGATTATGGTGCCTCAGAACCATCAGATAAATGTTCATTCGTGTTTATTTTTAAAACGTCGAGAAAGCCTCTGTCAGATTTTTGTTATTCTTTTCCCAATTCAATATCTTTTGTTTTGAAACCATATTGTGGAGATTCTTCTTGTGTTCTGATTTTGTTTCAAGCTAATAAAAAATTTATTTTTAGAATCCAGAAAACAAGATTCTAGTTTTCCCCGGGTAAAGAAATTTAAATTCCTAAAGTGACGAAACAAAAGATGAAGAAAATTTAATTAAATTGCTTAGATTTTCCATGCACAATTACAACGAAGTAAGAAAAGTTTCTTATTAGAAAAACATTTTCTGAACAATCTGAAGGTTGAATTTACATCTAAGGAATATTTTATTGAAAGTTTTCCAACCTTAGCAATTGCATTCTGCTTAAAATTTTCGATTTGAAAACTCTCCTCTTTAATATTTTCCCTTTAAAACCATTACGAAAACAGATTCGGGAAATTCCATCACAAATTGTTCTACTATATAATCATAACATTAACAAAGCGTTCGACTTTTTTGTCTTGATGTAAATATTATCGTCTGAAAACGATTTTAGTATCGCTAAAAGAATGTTCTGTGGTTGGGGAAAATTTATAAAATAAACTTTTGGTTATTTAAGCACTATCTGTGCGATCAATGAACTTAACTGGCCACATTTTCGCTATTAAGAATTCACAGATGATATTAAAAACTAAAAAAATATGGATTTTAATTAACCTAATTTTTCTCTATGAAACTTTTTTAGTTATTGCTGTCGTTATATGCTCGTATCGTTGCAGAGTTTATTTATATTTTTCTCCATTATTTGTCATAAATCCATTGCATACTCACAACAAGGACTTTATTTCTAGTCCCCAGGAATAAACTAACAGATGAGTTTAATTGCTATTTTTAAATGTTTCACGCTTGTCTGATGTGCATTCTGTTTTCAAACAACAATGTTGTACATTGTTGTACTCGACGTAGCAACTAACCATTCTCTAAGCGACACGACAGCTCTAAATGGGTGCAGACAATAATCTAAGTGTTTACAAACTTCCTTTTCTATGTTCCACCATCAGCCTTTCCTAAGTCAATCTTTTAACAACGAAGAAAGAAATTTTAATTTATAAAAACTTGCAATATATTTTCACAAACGGTGTTGTGTCTCATCATGTTGTAGTTTATTTCTTTCTATAGTGTTGTGTGATTTAAATTAAATGGAAATGAATATTAAATTTCCCATTAAATAAATATTTAAAAGCCTCCAACCAAAAACTTCTTTTTACTCGACATATTGGACGCTAACATCCTCGTCATGAATATTTTGTCTAGCTCGATGATACCAACGGAAAATACAGCAAATGAGAAAAATTGTTCAACCCTCGAAATGCCGTCAAAGTAAGCAACAAGACATTGAAACTTAATTTAACGATGCGGATTCTTCCACTCATGTAAACAAATCGCTTGTTTTGAATAATTCGCACAGATGAATGAACAATCCCCTGCTAATTTTCCGTAACTTCCTAGTCGTCTTTTCTCGTTCATTTATTGAAGTTTCTTTAATTATACAAGACATTTTCTTCCGTTTGATAAACTTCATGATTGCTTTCCGTTTTCTAAGTGATTTTTTAAGCTTTTTCTTGTTGTGCTGTGGATGTTTTTGAAAGTTATAAAGTTTCCTTCAACTCATGAGATGACTTACATTAAGAGGATCATTTTGTGTATAAATTTACTCAATATTCAGCAAGCAGGCATAACTGACTGAAAGTTTTTCCTCTTTCTCAACGCTTATTTTAATGTCTAATACGAAACATTAGAAGTGGTTTTAATTTCCCGAATATTTTCCCCGCAACTTTCCATCTTTATACATTGAGTCATCTCGATTTTCTAGAGTAGCTTGTTGTTGCGGCACACTTAAGGGGAGCCATGTGGTTTCATCAAACATTGTTGAAGTCAAGTATTGGAAGAACATACTCAGAAATATGAAATCAGAATGATTAAGATTTTGAGGAATTGCATGTACATGTGTGTGCCATTCAGATGATGCCATAAACACAACAAAATAATAATGAACCCGAATCGAAATAGATGAAGAAGGAAAAGAAAAAGAAAACTAATAAATAATCATTTTTCACTGTATCTCTAGCGTATGCATATAAACAACATCTAAATTAAGATTGTAATAACTTTCCAGATGAAAAATACGATTGAGAATGAGGAACAAAATATGAATAAATATTTTTTTTTCCTGTTCTCCCCAATTTAGAATGTTAATGCTGCTGTGTTTCGTATCGTGTATATTTATGTTTTCAAATAATAATCTCAATCTGGAGAGTTATGACGAATGATGATTAAAAGTTTAAACATTCGATGCAGAGATTGAAAGTTCAAGACGTCGAAGAATTGAGGATAATAATAAAAAATCATGAATAAAGAAACATAAAAGAACACTATTTGAAGATTATAATATATTTTCAAAGTAACAAGAGAGACAATGGAAACTGTTAAGCAACAAATAACATAAATACGAGTGAGATTGTTACGGACAAAACGTATTCTTGGCATATGTAGCGTTTTAATTCTTGAAAGCTTCACAGATTGATTAAAATCGCTTACTTTTAATCAAGCAAATAACAAAAGATCTCCTTAATTTAGAATTCAATAAAGATTATTTCAAAGCGCGCTGATTTTGTTTATGGGAAAACGAACTCGACTTAGAATTTTACGGTTAATCTTCTTATGATAAATTCTCTTTGCCAAAAGGTGATCAATAATCATTTCCATCTCTCAGTTGACATTATTTATAAGTTGGAAGTAAATACTAACCTTTGTAGTTGGAAAAACATCTTTTGAGTTTGAGTAAAATTATTTATTAAGAAAACTTTCAACAATTTCATTGAATTTTCAATTTTCCGTTCGAAGTGACACGATTAAGTGAAAGATTTTTGCCACCTTTTAACATAACAGAATGGAAAATAACTTTGAAAATAGTCACAAAAAACCTGAGTTAATATTTATTCTCATCTCGAGTGACTAAGTAAGTGTTATTCTTATTTCTCTTCGCTTCCAAGGCATTTAAACTTCAAAATTGGGGAAGAGAAAAAAAACAAAAAAAAATTTATGGATGAATCTCTCGTCGTTTCTAAATCACCAAACTAATTAATTAATTCCGTTCTCCACACAACCTTAAATTAAACCTTCTTTCCACTCAATGCGGCGCTATGTAAACAGATTAACTAAGCATCTCGTCTCTTGTATAAGTCCATTTTGTTCGTTTGTTGTTCATTTGAGTTTTCCTTCTTTTTATGATTTGAGTTCATTAAAGGATTAATCAGTAGAAAAGTTAATTTCTAAGCATATTGCTTGAGGGGTAAAGATAGAAACAAACGCTGAATTAATAAATCTTTCATGCATAACTAAAAAGCATGCTTAAGTTTTTAATTTTTCTATCAGTAATTTTCATCTCGAGTTTGCATTAAAAGACTTCAAAGGGCATAGCAAATGTATGAGGGAAGAACGATAAATGGAATAAAAAGTTTTAAATTAAAGGCAAATAAGATTTGAAATCACATCAACTAAGCAAACTTGAAGCTTTAAGATGACAAATGCGATGACAGAAGTATGCCAATTCTATATATTTTCCCCCGCAGCGCTGTCAAACGATTTATGATGGCAAAATTGTAATATGCCAAGAGAATGTGTGTTTGTCTGGAAACTTGTACAACAAGAAACTTATCGTTCTTATAAGAGTACAAAGAATCATGTAAACGATGACAAGAGAAGAAATTTTTTCAATCGAATATCAACAATCAAAGCCACATATGATGCTGCAAGAGAGAAAGTAGGACTTCCCAACAATTTCTCGCTTTGATATCTTTTCATAAGAAATTCGTTCCAGCTTCTCTTGATGACTGTGTGATAAAAATAAATTTATGACGCGAGCTGACTTTTCTGCGAGCCCTGTCCATTGTCCGAAAGTTTCATGTTTGTGTGAAAACATCTTGGATGTGGTGGACGATCGTTAAAACTGGTTTCTTTCTTTCTTTTTTATGTCTTTTCTTCATCACCATCAACGTTGGCCGGCTTTTAAAACCGTTGCTATTTAATGCGGACTTTCAATTTGTATTTTGTAAGCCCAAAAATTCGTACGAGGCCTTAAGCGATTACACACGATCTTTTCATATTGCTGTTGTTGTTGTCATCTCAGCGGTGTTTTCACATTTTTTTATTTCTTTCTTTCGTCTTCTTCCTCTTGACCGAGTCTGTCCAAAAAACTTTATGTTGATGGAAAGAGATTGGGAAAAGGCAAACCATCAACACATCGTCTGAAATGAGATTCAACTTATCATGATAAGTAGCGTCATTTGAATTCTTCTGAATAATAAAATTATAATGTGAATTTTAACTCGACTAAATTTTAACTTCAAGGCATGGAAATCGCCTATTTTCTTGTCCCCATGAATAATCCTATGTTGTCGAAACACAATTAAGCACAAACCAAACCCCAATGGAATCAGAAATCGTAAAAATTGTAAACTCGAATGATCTATTTAAAGATGAAATTTAAATCGTTTGAACATGAATTGTGACGACAAGAGAATGAAATAAAAAAATAGTTGTTAAAGATATGAGATAACGCCATGCTGAGAAAGTAGCTTTCAGTTCTTTTCTTCTTTTCGCTTACTAAACCCTCCAGACATTATCTTGCCTTTTCAAGTAAAAGCAATTTTCATTCAATCGACAAATGAATTATCGTATCGACTTCTTTCGAACTAACAATTTTTCTTCTTCGATATGCTTTAAGTGTGAATTTAATAGAATATTGAGTCAATATTGTCTGTAATATTGACTCAAATGAGATTAAGATAAATAGAGTTTTCAAAGGTTTTTTTATTCGTTCGTTCCTTCCTTTAGAACGAATTGCTGTGGCGATTGAATGTTCGTAGTTCATAGCAAGATAGAATATTACTGAAAGTCTGACTGAAAAAGAGAAAAATGTGTGGTTCATAGCAAGACAGATAGTTTTTGTTTAAAAGTCTTAAAAGACGAATGAATACTGAAACTAGTGAAGATAAAAAGTATAAAATCAACTGCTAATGACTGACCGATAATCTATTTCTCAAATGTTTCTCTTACCTCGACCACGAGCTGAAACAAAAAAAAATCTGAAAGAGGAAAAAAAAGCCGAAGAAGCATAAAAAATTCTATTTATTGAACGATCCGTCACTCTAAATAACCCGATGGATGTTTATTGCTTCGGTGCACAGTAGACATTCCAATTTGAGCCTCATTGATTGATAGCACAAGTTAAAAAGAAGAAAGAAATGTTGAAGCTATTAAAAGTGATTTTTTTTTTAATTTTTATGTATAATGCGACAAGGTATCTGAAGAAGAAAGAAAACGAGATCTAAGATATGAATAATACATGATCAGTTAATGAACTGTGATCGGAGATTTCTTTAAGCGTCTTAGAAGAAAAGCGATGCCTATAATTAAGTAACTAAATAAGCAACTTCTCTCGATTTCTTTTCCTTTTATAAATCAAATCCAATTTTCATCGGAGTTTTATCCAACTCTATTTAAACAAAGATTGCGAAGTTTTAAATTGTCAGTTCTTCTTATGCCTAAGACTAAACCAGATCCAATTATAAAAAGTTTATTTAATGAACTGCGAAAGATCGCAAAACTGAAAATTGTTTTTGACATCTTTTAAAATAAATGAAGCAGATATCTCAAGAAAATGATTTCTCGTTTAAATTTCTAGTTTTCCGTAAACAACTAATAGAAAAGACGGTTGAATAATAAAGCAAACCTGTCACGTTTGAAACTTTCTCGCTCTCCCAACTCACCTGTCTCGATCCAAAGGAAGTATTTCTTGTTTTTAAAACTGTTTTCTCTTCTTCGTTTGGTTCATGTTCACTGATTAGGCGAAACGGGACCATAGTGTCTCAGTCGCTTTTGAGTTGTTTTTACGACTCACTCCTAATCTGATGATGTTCACTGATTTTAATGCAAAATTCAATTAAAAGCTTTTTCTTGTCTGCTATGGGAATGATGGGCACATGAAAACATGTTACAAAATTAATTATAATTTCCATGTTGATTAAACATTGCTTCCCTAACTGCCTTTGCTATGCTTTTCCATTGTTATCAATCTCGTTCACTCGCTTTTCTTTTGTTGCACAGCAACAACTATAAATACTCGCGATTGTGTTGTCGTCTGAGTCCTTCATCTTCATATTATCTCAAGTGAAATATTAAATTCTCTCATGTTGTTTCTCGTCTTCTTGAAACTTCAGTTCCAATTATTTTCCATCACCTTCATCCATCCCTTCACTTGACAAAACAATAAGAAGAAAAATTTCAAAAATTTCTCTCAAGCTCATTTTTCACTTCAAAAACAATTTAAATTTCTCAATTATAAACATTACGAAGACATTATTTAGAATAGCAATAGCATAAAAGTTTACACGGGGATGAATGTTTAACCATTAACATGATGCATTATATTTTTATGACACCAAGTGCTTTTTCTCATTTTGCACCAGACATTAATTTTCCCAGTGTACGACGAACTTCATTGTTCTTAGATCTGCCCTGTCTATGAGTAAAGCGTCCTACGAGAGCTTCATCAGCCAGTAGAATGAAAGAGTTGTTGATAACAACGATTCAACACTTCCATAAAGAAGGAATTTTTCACTCACAGTTCTCAAGAGACAATAACGTCAACGATGGGGTTGAATGTTATCCTTGAGATTTCATACTTACTACAGCACCAGAAACAACGGAAATCAGATGGTGAATAATGAGAAGAATGATAGGAAAACTCATTTGAATGAATAAGTCAAGTATATGGGAATCTTTAAGACAAACTGTGATGATGATCTATTCATAATTATCAATTTTCTCAGAAATCATTTGAATAATTCTCCCACATAACATTTTCGGCGAATTGTGTGGAAATTACAGTCTTAATGTTAATGGGAGAAAAGCTGATTTAAATTTCAGTAAATGCACACTTTAACGTTGTTTCAATGACGAAACAGTAACTAAGAGATACGCATTTCCAAGTCGTACATTGTATGAAACGAAAACAAATAATTTCGGTAAAAAATGGCACAAAAGAATTTAAATTTTATAAAGATAACGTTTGATACGCGAAACGTGTGGGTTGGAAGAATATTTCTTTTATTGCCAAACAAAAGTATTCTTTACGATTCTCAGTCTTCGTTTTTCCACGCGGGGCTGATTTTGGTTTTCTGATAGTTGTTTACTTCATTATTTTGCATACATTTCGATAAAAATGGAAGAAAATTCTCTTCATGGGGATTCCCGAGGAAATGGAAAAAATCTTACACAATAACATTGTGTTTTATTACATTTTTAATGTTGTTGGGCAGTTGCATAAACATCAAAGAGAAGAGAATATTGCGTGGGTGTATAGAGAAGATTGGAGATTTAAAAATTTAATCCACAATGAAATTTTGAGAAGCAGTAGATTTGTAAATGTTGCTTACAAGCTCAGATCAAATTTATTTCTTTTTCTTCTCTTTTTATTGGAGTTTATGGTTCATGTAGATTTTTTTTTATATTTTCATTGTATTATCTTATTCTTGTTTTCGAAAAGATGTGAAGTAAGAAAGGAAAATCAAGACAAACAAAATGATCTGATTAATAATTTTCATTTCTCACTCTGTTGTTTATAATTTATGCTGAGTCGCTCTGAATCCACATCTACACAATAGTGCCTGCTTAATTCTTTACATTGCTCTCCTCGTTGCCTTTTTTTTTCGGGAACAATATTTACATAAAAATATGTACATACTTAATATCTACAAAAAGCGAGGCATTTACACATTCTTCACGTCCAATAAATGTAGATTAGGCTTCAAAATTGTCTTCCATTTTGAAAAAAATTATAAAAATTTGGAAGAAGCCGCTTCGGACGCTATCACATCGCGTCCATACTAATTAAGTGCCCAATTTTATTGAACCAGTGAAGACAGAAAAGAATTTCAAAACCATGATTGCCATTCCAATGAGAGCTGTTGTATTGGAAAAAAAAGTTATAACATTACTGTTGATAAAAAATGAAAGATAAGACATTAAAAGTTTTCAACACCGTGGCCTCAGAATCCAATCTAAGAAAGAAATCATGCGGCCGGGTGTAGTACACGGAATCTACATAAGAAAAGATAGAAGAAAGAAAATGAAGGCTTTAGAAGGCATTATAATTATTACCTTGTCATTTTGTATCATTATTAAACATCATTAAACTTCTTCTTAATGATATTCCAAAGAAGCGAAAGAAACGACGAATGCGAGAGAAAAGAAACGGTCACAAACGTTTGTGTGTGTCTACTTGCGTGTATGTTTGTCGTTTGTCGATCTTGCGAGGCCTCTTGTGGTGTAACAAGTTATGGTGATGATCGAAGAAAGGCAATGAGCCTTTGAGTTCGTTGAACCTTAACACGATATCTTTTTGGTACGTTTTCAAGTTTTGTTCTTCGTGTCGAGTAGGAAGAAGAAATGTAAAGCGCGCAAAGATGGTCGAAGATGAAAATGAGAAGAAAAAAAAAGACCAGAAGATGAACGAAGATTCTAAAGATTCCTTCATTCTTATTCCACGAAAAAGAAAAAGAATCATATAAAAGTTGTTTTTCAATCATCGGATAACAAAAATGGGAACAAGAAAGCATCGTGTAACAACAATGATATTTAAGAAATGTCCGAAATTAAAATACGAGTAGTCTACGAGAAGACAAGACGGTTCTTCCTTCAACTCGACGGAGTAGCACGAATTGAAAGAGAAAAAAACCATGAAACGACAAAATTCAATTGAGTTTGTTGAGTGAATTGAAAAAAAAACTCCTTCTGACGTTTCTACAGTCTCATGATTATAATTAAATGTCCATCTTGTTCCTTTCGATTCTTGAAATGTGCCCCCGTAAAAAATATAAAATTAAAGAAGAATGAATTGTCAGATGTGAAGAAAAAGAACAAGACTTCTGTTATTGATGTGATTGGTGGGGGTGACCAGGTGAAAATTAAGTCGAAATGTTATTTAATGACTTGTGAAAATACTCAGCAATAAAGAGTTAAGTGAAGCGTAGCGTTCATGGTTGTTAACCTGAGATTCCTAGTTCACTTCCTATCGTAGACTGAGAACATTTCATAGATTTTCAAACCTTTACTTTAATGACTTCTTAATGGTTTGATTAGTCAATTTGTAGTCTAACATCTGGTCGTCCAAGCGTTAAAGTTATAGAACCAAAAAAGAAACAATAAGAAAGGAAAATTGTAGACGGTCGATTTCACTGTTAAAAAGAAGTAAAACAAATAAAGTAAAAAAAAGAACAAAAAACAAATAATTACAAACGAATCGACCGAAACAAATAACATGTATAATGGGTATGAATAATTCTAATGTTCTTCATGAAGAACCATCCACAGAAGAAAACTAAAAGAACAAAAAAAAATCTCCGGAAAGAGGAATGAAAAGGAAAATTCGAATAAGCGGAGAATCGCTTCACCACCTCATTGCACCCGGTTTGTCTTTCTTAGCACCGGCAGCCCAAAATCAACGGCAAAGACAGATAGAGAAGGGAAGAGGAAAAAACTTTAATATTCTTGCTTTCTTCATTTCACGTCTTGTCATCGCTTTAATGTGATGTGTACTTTTCGCTTCAGTCACAGAGCGGACTGATTTGAAATGATTATTATGGTCATTGTTCCAAATAGCATTGACCAAGAATCTTGACTGCTTCTCCTTTTTTTTTTTGGTTTCACGTTCATTTTCATAATGTGGCGGAACTAAGAGCACGTCTGACAATGATTTTCTCATCCGATATTAAAGTTCTTTGAAATGTTAGCAAAGTGAAAGAAGGAGAAAAATTGATTATCATCGATGAAGATAAATTTATCTGGTCGATATGTGCAATTATTGTGTTGGATGGAGATGTGTGAAAGTACTTTGAGTGGTGAGAGATCGCAAGAGATGTCAGAGAATACTTTTCATTCAATAAAAGCGACTAGTCACGAACGCAGCATAAAATTAATAGCTTTAGCTTTGCTCTTTGGATTTCTGCCTCTATCATTAGAAGTGAAGATGTATGAATGCTGGGCAAGCAGCGCGGCTCAACAATTTGCAATGAAAGTTTTATTGATTTTCCTGGGGACAAAGAAAAAGTCTAAACTGTCGTTGAAACTGCCCAGTAAAAGGGTTAATGGCAATACTTCACATTTATAGCACTTTCCATCATTTCTTCCCTTTTCCCAAGCGGTTTGAGAGGTTTTTTATTAACCGTTTTACTGCCGCATTGAGCATAGAGAAGATGAAAAAGTTTTTAAATCATTTGATATAAAAAGGGGAGAAAAATGTCATTAAAGATTGAAAATCTCGGGGACAGTAAAATTAAATAAACATCAAATGCGACGTTCGTTTCGTTATGCCTCGAAAGGTTAAGCAACGGAAAGAAGTTAAAACGAAAGTATTAAAAAACTTCTGCTTCTGATAGAAATTCTGAGAAAGACAAAAAGCAGCGAAACGAAAGGTGACGCTTGCTGATGAGATTTTATTTGTTTTTTTAAGAAAAAAGTAAAAAAGGCTCGAGAAAACGAAAAAGAATCGATGAGAAGAAAGAAGTTTTTCAAGTTTTCGAATCTCAAATTTCGCCTCGCTATTGGGTTCTTGATCTCTCATCCAATATGATGCTTGATGAACCAGAATTGTAGGTTTTTTAATGTCTTTTACAAGACGACGATCATATAAAATAATAAACATACATAACGGCACATCCGGCATATCGAATATTTATTTTCTCTTCGTTTCTCGACGTCGTTTGTCTTGAGATTTTCGAAGCAGATTTTTTTTATTTTCTTTAACGAAAAAGAATTTCACTCCCGAAATATTCACCTAAAATGAAGATGATAATGTTGCTGTTTTTTTAACATACATTTAAGTGTCGTCGACAATGCTTTTTTATTTATTTATTCAACCGAAATGAATATCTTTCTTCCAAACATTGCCATTGCTGTTTTAAAAGAATATTTTTCAAATAAAAATAGAAAGAAAAAGATAAATTAATTTCAATTTAATTCTCTTCTCGCCTGAATGGACCCATGAATCATGTCATCACAATTAACAGGAAGGTTTTAGAGTCTTGCATCAAAGGCAAACATAAAAAAATCTTGAACTCATAAGCATTACTTAATATCAACATTTCAATTATGAAATCCACTCTTACTTATTTATCTTTCGACATTTCGATCTGAAAATTGTAGAATTGAAAAATTCTAAATCAAACATACGATTGGACTTTCGAGATTATTATACTGTTGAATAAACAACGATGCATTATCGACTCGATGGATGATAATGCAACATTTTGAAAAGTCAATTTTTCATATTTTCATTTCTATTTTCTGATCCGAAAAGTAAAAATTTTATTTCAACGTGTGACAGCTTGCGAAATGATAAATCAAGAAAAGTGAAACAAAAATTTTCTTCTGTAAATAAACAGAAAGCAATCAAATGATTTTAGAATTTTATTTTCTCGAAAGAGTTAACAAGATTTTTCAAGCATTTATTGAATTAAATACATCCAGAAAAATGGGAAAAGATGCTTGCTGGATAAATAGAAAATTGTAAATATTTTCAGAACGGTAAAAGCATAAGCTTTTGACGACGGGAGTTGATTTTCAAATCTATCTCGATATTTTCTATTTAAATAAGAACTCAATCCGTTCCATGAGATTGATGTCTCGGCTTGGCAGGGTGTCGACGACTCAGTTAATCTTTAAATGCGTTTCTCATGAAAAAGTATTTTATATGTTCTGAAAAGTTGAACTCAGAGGCACCCAGTCAAAGAGAACTGTGCAGAAACCAGATGTATCGCAAAAGAGTTGAATGTTAAACATAAAAGAGAACTTCACAGCTTCATATAACCGGTTTTCGTGGGTGAAATGCATCATTCAAGTATAAAGCACTTGTGGAAGCATTTATTGCTCTCTCACTCACTCACTCATTCACTCTTTCTCATGTTATTTGTCAGTATGAAACATTAAGAAACCTTGGATAGCAAGCGAGGGATTAATCAGTTGAGAATGTTGAGAATTTTCTATTTCAACAGTAAACGTGACTCTGTTGATAACAAACAAAAGCCGAGAAGGAAGCAATCGAATTGAGATGCGAGCATATTGTGTAGAAAAAAAGTTGAATTGAATGAAGAAAGAAGAAAAATGAGTTCACTAAACGGTTAAAACCAGATCACAACATCCCCAGCGTGCAAATGTAACGCTTATTGCTATCGATGTGAAGAATGACGAAGTTGATGCAGAGCTTTTCGAGTTTCGTTTTATTTTCTGCTGGTGAACGTTTTAACAAATAAATAACTTGCTCAATGCTGCGTTTTTAGTTGCACAATAACAGTAAGAAATGAGAGAGAAAAAATCGTTAAAAAAACAGTCTTGAAGCATAAAAAGGAGCAACGGCAAGAAAAATATATAAAAATTACGAAGCACAGAGTGCAGAAAATCACTTCATTTCATTAAAGAATAAAAACATAAAGCAAAAGGAAAAAAAATATAAAGATTAAGGCAAGGAGCACAAGAGCTGTGGGCGATGTAGAAAAATATTATTATGTCTGAAAGACATGAGAAGCAAGAACAAGAAGAAAAAAGGAAAAATATTTATAAATTAATTCTGAAGAGTGCGCTTGGGTGGCTAAGTAAATGACGTTAATAAGATTTTTCTTTTTATGCGATGGTGTAAACATGACTTGAAGCGGAAAAGCCAAATAATTATTTGATGAAAATCCTTTTCTAGAGATTAATATTTTTAATCATCTCTTTTTCTTCTTGTTCATTCATATCATGTTGGTGTTGACATCACACACGAATAGCTTTCATTTGAAAGGATTTATGATGAAAGATTTCTTATGAAGATTCCAAAACTTTTCTCCATTCCAAATTTTCTGTCCTAAGAAACATAATAACTTCGATAGCTCTAAGATATTTAAAAGAGTTAATTTGATTATTAAATCGAGAGAATGTTCACAAGATACTCAACTTGTTCTTTTAATATTCAATGCAGAAAAATTTTCTTCTTCATTTGAATATTTTTAGCTGATCGACAATTTTTTAGGAAATTAATTCAAGTCGGGAAGACTTTTTAATGAAAGTATCAAGTGGAAGAAGGAAAATTCCATTTATTATGGTGAGGGACGAGCATAAAGTGATGAAATGATATTTCCTACCGTTTATGGTTCAAATAGGGCATCGTCCTTTTTCTCAAAGTCCTTTTTTGCGTTATCTTGCCGCACATAAAATGACTAATGATTTAATATGTTGTCGAGTGAAGTACACTGGGTCATCGTTGAGGGCAGTTAATCTAAACACCATCAGATGTCATGTTTAACAGAGTAGAACACATGTTGACAAATCTATGGGCGGCTTGTTATGTTTTAAAATTTGTACAAGGAGAAAAATGAAATTGTAGAGTTGAATGTGGAATGAGCTGAGGTTACGGGGAAATGCACAAGATATGACGTTTTCATAAACTGCCAACCATCAATTTATCTCGGGTTTCTGCCAAGAGAAAGGAAATCTAGAACGAACATTAAACCTACATTAAAAGAAAAGTTATCAGTATCATCGCTCTTACTTAGATGGTTGCTAGAAGCACGAAAAACTTTGAAATTAAATCCTTCTGCAATTTTTCAAATCGAATAATTTTTCCGTCGCTATGTTTCAAAATCTAATTGCTTTTCTTCGTTTCCTTTCAGATTATCCACGTGTTGACATCGGTCCAGAGAATCCATTACGTGTTGAACGTGACGGCACCGCAAAATTAGAGTGTAATGTCGACGCCAAGCCCAAAGTTAGCAATGTACGATGGACGAGAAACGGTCGCTTTATCAGCTCATCGTTCACTCATACAATTCATCGTGTTTCAGTGCAAGATGCTGGCGAATATGAATGCGCAGCTGATAATGGTTTGGGTCGTACGGGATCACAAAAAATTCTTCTAGACGTTCTTTATGCTCCCGTTGTGGTGATTGAAACGAAAACTCGTGAAGCTGAAGAACGTGAGAGCATTAATATCAAGTGCAATGTGACATCGAATCCACCACCTGTTGAAATTGAATGGTTGAAAGAAGGAAATCCCAGTTTTCGTCATTCGGGCGCTGTCCTTGCAATCTCTGATATTAAAGCTGAACACGCTGGAACTTATGTTTGTCGAGGTATCAACAACATGCGGCCCTATGGTGGAAAAGCTGCTGAAAGAATTGGCAACACAACAGTCGCTGTTCTTGTCCGTCATCGACCTGGAAAAGCTGTCATCACACCAAACAAACCTGTGGTACATGTTGGAAGTGGCGTCACGCTTACTTGTTCAGCTAATCCTCCTGGTTGGCCCGTGCCTCAATTCCGTTGGTTCCGTGACGTCGAAGGCGAAATATCAACACAAACAATTCTCGCTCAGGGTTCACAGTTTGTCATTCCACGAGCTCATTTAGGTAGCGAAGGTCGCTATCACTGTCATGCTGCGAATGAGTTAGGACATGGAGAAATGGCGACAATTACTTTAGAAGTTCATCAACCACCACAGTTCTTAGCTAAACTTCAACAGCATTTAACTCGACGTGTCGGCGATAGCGATTTCAGTGTATCATGCAGTGCTAAAGGAAAGCCAAAACCTTCAGTGAAATGGTTTAAAGATGGTCGTGAGCTTGCAAGTGAGACAAACTTTTATGAAATCACAACATCTCCAAATGAAGGTCCTAATGGAATGGTCACTGTGCAAAGTAATTTGAAGTTCTTCGGTAAAATGCGACCAAATAGTAATCAATTGTTGCCTAATGACCGTGGCGTCTATTCGTGTGTTTACCAAAACGAAGTTAATATGAACAATTCAACGATGAATCTTAAAATTGAACACGAGCCAATTGTGTTGCATCAGTACAATAAAGTGGCTGCAGATATTCGCGAAACAGCAGAAGTTGTTTGCAAAGTTCAAGCTTATCCAAAGCCTGACTTCCAATGGACATTTGGCACCAACACTGCCCCGATTTCCATGAATTCTGATTCGCATTACGAAATCAATACGTCGTCAGATAGCAATGATATCTATACAAGTATTTTAAAGATACATAACGTTCGTCACAACGACTACGGCGAGTATAATTGTCGTGCATCAAATTCTCTGGAAACCATTAGAGCACCAATTCGATTACAGCCTAAAGGCTCACCTGAAAAGCCAACGAACCTTGATGCTGCAGAAGCCGGATCAAATTTCATTTCTCTAAATTGGACTCCTGGATTTGATGGTGGCTTAAGTAACACAAAATTCTTTGTTTTGTACCGTAAAGTTTCAATTCCAAGTAATGAAGTTAATGGCGATTGTGGAACACAATACACAAGTTCACCTGATTGGTCTGAATTTGATTGCCATCGTGATTTTCCTTGCAACATCACGCCATTAGATCAACATTCTAGTTACGTTTTCAAGGTGAAGGCACTTAATACAAAAGGCAACAGCGAATACTCAAATGAAATTACAAGAACCACAAAAGTCAGTAAAATCCCTTCAGCACTTCATGTCTCATATGATCCATCGACAAAGATGTTAGGCGTCAATGTTGGCCAAACATGTCTCGCTTTAATCGCTGTTGTTGAGACAGTTGTTCATGGTGACACTCATATGCCCGAATGGCATATTGTCGATCAAATTCCCCTTCATGCTTCAGGATCAGCGTCGACATACAAAGAATCTGTCGTCGAGAATATTATTGTGCCACGTCGAAGTGGAAATGTCGCTCGTTCTCTCGAGGATGAAGAAGATTTCACAATGGCTTTAGAAGATGATTCAATGCCTCGTGTACGCGTCAAGTTGTGTCTTCGAGGCAATCCCGAACATTGCGGTGATTATATTGATGCTGAAAGTGAGTTTAACTTTTAATAATTAAGTGAAAATTAGGTCAATGATGATTATCATGATGATTAGCAAGAAAATTTTATTCAAAAGCTTGTGACATCATCAAAGCATCGTCGTTGCCTTATTAATTATTTATGAAACTTTAATAACTTAATTATTTTCTCATTAACTTTTTCGACAGTTGGTCCATCATATATTCAGGATGTACCCACAATCGCTATGCCTACATTAATTGCTATCGTAGTATCGTGCATCGTGTTTGCTTTGTTCATTGGATTGTTGTTGATGTTCTGCAAATGCAAGCGAAAGCAAACAAAGAAGAGTGTCCAAGCGAAGGATTATGAAATGGATTCAGTGAGACCATCGATTGTAGCACAACAAACCCAGGCACCACCACCATATTATCCAGCAAGTGGCTTGGAAAATAAAGCTTTGGAACATTCGATGGATCTCGCACTCGCGATGGAAGACCAAAAGACTGCAATTTACGCGACACAAAATGGCTATGGCTATGGCAGTGGGATGCAAGTACCATCACATAATATACCTGCAGAATGTAAGTAAAACTTAAACGTTATCTCATGCTCATCTAAATAATTAGCTTGGAAATAATTTTCCGCTTTGCTTCTCTGAGACTGCAAAGAAAAAAATTTATTGCTCAAAGTTTAAATTTATAAAAATTTCCCTTCCCTTAATGCTTACCGCTAACCTGAAGGACTAGAAAAACCTATTAAATCATCATCAGGTAATAAAAAAAACTGTAGAAAGGGAAGAACAATTAAATATCTGACGCTTCTCGTGGAGCTGAAAGTGTCGGGAGAATAACCAACATCGACTACACTTTTTCCCTTTTTTTTTTTTAAATTGACGCTAATCTGAGAAACGTGTGCCAATTTGTGCTACATTCCATCCACTCACTACAACCATCTTTGAAAAGCATTTTAGCAGCTTTTGCTTAGTTTTCTCATTCAACGTTTCATTGTTTCAGTCTTTAATCCTTCAGCTAGTTTTTTTTAACTTCTCAACCAACACTCGTATGGATTTAATTTCATTATGTTTTATATGCTACACAGATGTGACTTCGTATTTTTTGTTCTGTTTTTCTCTTGTCGTCAGAGATGCCTCTTAAAGTCTCTCTGGGGATAGCCAGACAGCAGGCAAGATGGATTGCCAAAATATTTTTTCCTGAGGGGATGGTTAGAAAGCCCGCAAAAGATTTTGTTTTTAATTCCACTTTAACCGCAACAGAGAAATATTAAATTCCATTCCCCGAAATTGTCTACCAATTGATATGAAGCTTTGTTTATCTCCGTCTCGTGCAACCCCCAAAAAAAAAAAAAATTCATTATATGTGAAACATTTTCCGTTTAAATTGTATCGTTTCTTAAGCAGCAAGCCCCACTGGCTTTGCTTCTTTTTTGGTTTTCACGATGAATTCGCATTTCTTGACTCATGTTTCATGTATGAACATCGATGGGTGATATTTTTACGACAATTTTGACACTCAATAAGTTTTAAGGAATGCCTATACAATTTTATTGTTGAAGCTTACAACACGATACGACACATTCGATAAAAGCATTGTCATCTGAAAAATTATGCAGAATTTTTTTTACTTCTTAAACACTATTTCATGTGCCATAAATTACAATAATCCCCAAAGATATTTAAAGTAATTTTCACCCAAAAAACATGAGATTGAAAACTTTATTTAATTATCATAAAATATGATTTTCAATTCATTTCGAAAGTTGAATGTAAAAGTTTCATATTTCCAAAAGTTACAAAAAAAAATCTTTTTTTTTCATTTACCATTTTCTAGGGGTTAACATGGGATACATGGAAAACAGTTATTCAAATTCTAACAACGGCGGCAGTGTTAACTCCCAAGACTCGCTTTATCAAATGAAAATGTCAGCAGCTGCTGGTAATTCGGGAAATCTCATTTCACAACATCATCAGTACGTTGAGCGTCAGCCATCGTATGGCTACGACCCTTTGACCCATGGTGGGTACGGAACGGTCGACGATTATGCAACCTATCCTCATTTGGCGACGACACCATCACAACAGATGATTGCGGACGATTATCATAATCAAATGATGATGGCTCAACAGACGCCATCAAGACAAGACTATTGTACGGATCCTTATGCAGCTGTACATAAACCAAATAAAAAACGACTGGATCCCCATATGGGTGAGTCTTTCATCTTCAACCTTTTCAATTTATATTTTTAATTGGAATTTTTTTTCTTCTCTTTCATTAGAATCACCTTATCATGATGTCAGTGGCTTACCTGATCCATACATGGAACAAATGCAAATGAGTGAAGATCAAATTGATCATCCAAACAAGCAACCTCAACAACAACACATGTCGCTTGGATATGACGAGACACTCGAGAGTGGTTATTCCACACCAAATTCACGAAATCGTCGTGTCATACGTGAGATAATTGTCTGAGACCAACCACGGGTGCGTTTCGCCGATGGAACGTGCCAATAGCAATCATTATCAAAATATTAAATTAAATAATCAAGTCTAAACAATCCACCCATACTCATTTTATCGTAAAATCGATCTTTGAGATGAAAAAGAATTTTTATTTTGCTCTAGATTTATTTGTGGATATTCATTCAAGAACTGAAAAAACAAATTATGAAAAACATCAAAAGAATGAATTTAATTAATTAAAATGATCCTTTGTGTTGATTTATGAGGCGAATATAATGCGTTCATCAGCTGCTTTAGCTTGTGCAATATTTAAATTGATGATAAAGGGGAAACAATGAAGAATGAAAAAAATTATGATAACATTATATGTCGTTCAACATCTCGCGGCAACTAATTATGATTGACACATCTCCGGCATGATAATCATTAAATTCATTATTGAACGGTTGCGCTGATGAACCTGATGATATTTAAAGGCGTTGTTTGATGATGCCAACAATGAAGTTTCGTCGCCTAAAACCATAATGGATCGAATCTAATCAATTAAAGGATAAATTGTCGAATGAAGCTCAACAAAGGAATAATCTAGAGCAATGAGACAGGGTAGCAAAGCAACCCTAAAGAAAATATAAATAATTAAAGCACCATGCATACACATTGTTAGGAACAAAAAAAAATATTTCACTGAAAAATGTGATAAAATTTTAATTAAAAATTCGTCTTTATCTTTTGTGCAAAAAAAAACTTATCGAACTTAATGTGAGTAAACGAAAGAGTTGCGTGTCGCCCTGCACTGCAAGGAAACGACGCAGATGATAAGAAAAGATTAATATTAAAAGCAGAGAAGGAAAAAAAATTGTGATGGAGAGAAAAATTATTAAATTTCCATAAATTGATTGGATTTTGTCTCATCACGATGAGGTGAGACGATCCGTCTTTTTAAAGGGGCAAACGAGTCATCATCCTTCGAACTATGATGCGTAAAAGCAGAAAAAATCTCGTTTTGAGAGCGTTGGAAAATTCTGTAGGTGAATTGCAAACCACCTACGAGTTAAGAGAGAGAAAAGTAAATAATTTTTACACCTACGCGTTGAAGGATTTTTTATAAATGTTGTCACAGAATTTTACAAAGTTATTCAAATGAATGTTGCGATGGTCCCACATAATTTTATGTCGTGAACTTTTCAAATAAAATTCCGTGACATTATTTATTACATCTCCTAACAACCATCAAGGTTGTTCAACACAAAACAAAATTTAATCGGGAGATGAGATTTAAAGGCCTCATTGAATTCCCTCTAGCGCGTAAATAAAACTTAATTTAAATTGAATGAATTAAACGTGCCCTTAATAATTATGAAATGAATTATAAATAACATAAAAAAGTGCAGATAAAATTTAATCATTCACAACACAAACTTAAGTCACTATCGCTATGTGTAAAGGTGTAAATTACATTTCTCATCCCGTTAAAGGACATGAAAAAAGAAAAACTTTTTGCACAAAACCAGAAGCCATTTTTTATCGTAAAAGTTTCGCTATTAGAAGAAGAAGAAAAAGTAAATCTGTGTTTTTGAATGTGTTTTTAAGGACAGGGTACATTATCAATGATGTCCGAAGAATGAAATTATTATAAGATAAGAAAGACCAGAGATGAGAACGAAAACAATTGCGAGCTTTCACTGCTTAACAGAAAGAAAATCGCAAAAGTAAGAAAACAAAAAAAGATTTGACAACACAAACGAAAGAATTGGAGAAAGGCAAATAAAAGAAAAATCTCTCAAACGTTAAGAATTGTAATTAAAATGAAAGAAAATTGTTTTTCTCGCCTGAATCTTTTCTCCGTCATAAACATCATCAGCAGCTAAACAATCATAAATTCTTTTTAAAATCTCAATTGGTTTTTATGTGAGCCTCATTCAATAAGCTTCGGAAAAGCGCTAAGAAATCCGTGATGAAATTAAATTTTTGCATTACTCCCGCCTTAGTCGACTGGCTAAAGAAGTTATGGTGTTTTTTGCTGATGCCCCACGCTGGTACAAAACAAAAACAAATTATTAAAAGTTTAATTAAAATTAATCTTTGCCCCGCCGAAAAACGAAGAAGAAGAAAAATTAAAGAAAATTCTCGGAAAAGAAAGCAGAACAAAATTGTGAAATCATTTAGAGGAGAAGTACAAGAAAGAGATTTCTGTGTTTTTGTACCGTGTTTCCTTCCCATGCTGCGCTGGGTGGTTGAAGGTAGTCAGAGAACCCACAATGTTAAGCACATTTTAAATAATTTATGTTAAGCGACGAAGTTGCTTCTTATGTTTTTCATGTTGTTGGACATGATTTGGATTTTTTTACTTTTCTTTCGGAATACCAAATTGAATATAATTTTCCTTAAAAAGTAAATGATGTAACTAAAAGATACAATTCATCACTGCGCGAGCTATCCCATTGATAGCAAAAGATATTTTCATAATGAAAGCTTCAGCTGACGATGGAAAATGTTGTGCCATTAATTAAGTTTTTTTTTCTGGAATCAATTTATGCTTTCATGTTATTCTTGTTAATTAATTTAATTAATAAGCGTCCGGACAAACGTCTAGCTAGTTAACGAGAAATAATAGGTTCATTCGCATGCAAAATACTCATTTTACGAGCTTTCGTAACTGAAACATTCATTGTTAAAAAATCTTTTCAAAGAATTGACCTGAAAGAAAACTCATCTTTATTATATAAAAAAAATGATGAAAATAAGGAAATAAAGACCTAAATTTTGTCCAACAACACAAATGAAAATTGCGAAAACAGAAAAGAAAAACAAGAAACGGAACAAAATATTTTTAAACTCGATTAAATTTTACGAAATTTATTTTTGTAATCACAAATTGCCATGTTTTGATTTTATTGTCGTTTTAATGTTCATAATTTAGTTAAGTGTTTTTATATCCTTGAATTTATTACTCACTTATTCTTCCATGACGGATATTGAATTCGATTTCCCTTCCATTTTTACTTGTAATCAATATTTAACGAGTCGGAATTGTGGAAAATCGAAAACAAATTCATTTACTTATTTACATACTTATACATAACTACACATTTATCTTGAGATATCAGCATCAAAAACTACTTTTCTGTTTATAAGTATTCTTCATGTTCTCGTAAACACATTCATACATATTTTCGCTCAAGTTGATATCATTTTCATTATTAAATAAGAAATTATTTCCATCTTGTTGCCATATATGATTCTGTTTTCCATGCTATTTACAACATTGATAACAATCTGAGTGAGAGAGAAAAATAAATCAGTCTCAGTGCTGTGCTTGTCCAATGATTGTTGTAAATTAAACCTTGTCCCCAGATTGTGGTTTTCCACTTTGTTGAGGATTGTCAAATGCATTCTCATCAACCACTTAAAATCTTTTTATTCTTTATTCTTACGAATGCTTGCACAAGAGACATTTATTCAAAAATAAAAACGAGGTAAAATTATATCAGAAAATTTAGTCCCACTAAAATGAATGAAGGAGAAGAAAAAGAAAATTAGAAAAAAATGGAAAAGAAAGAAAGAAAAATAGTTTCTGTGGATAACAAAAGAAAACTTTCAAACAACATGAAACTTTTTTCTTCTAAATGTTAGGGTTGTTTCGGTTTTGTGCTTCACGTTGATCCCAACAAAAGCAAGAACAGATGGGAAAAGTTTCTGCTGTGCTTATCACATCTTCGCCATCATCTGGTCCGTCAGCTCTTCCCACAAGTCCATTGGGTGAAATTAAGTCTAATTTCTTTTCTCCACTCATAACAAAATGTACTTAATACGTCTTTCCTCCTCCTGACTTCATACTTAATGAGAGTCACCATCGCTTATAAGAAGAATAACACAAAATAAAATATATAATTGTATTAGAGGGAATATTTAAGCATTAAGGATATCTGGCGATCTGGGACTCTTTAAAATCTTTTTTCATTTCTGAAAGGAAGAAATTATGTCCGGCATAGCACAGAAATAATTTATTTTGTTTAATGAGACGTGGAAAAAGATGAACACACATGAAAGTAACTTTGCTTTCCTTTAATCGTTTCGTTTTTCCTGCAGTTGGAATGAAAAAAATCCTTTGATGGCATTCTCGGGTAAATGGTGATTTTATTTACTTCTATCGATAACGTCTTTTCTACCTGAAAGCCGCCGCATTTTCAAGTCCAATAAGTTTTCTTTCCTCCTTTTTCAATTATGTCTTGATAGGATTTCCTGATTTACGGTCAGATTTCCTTGCGTCTGTTTTGAAAGACTTTTTCAAGCCCTGAATGGCGCTTACCTGAATCAATTTATGGCAACAATTTGGCCCTTCAAAACTGAGAAGGTGACTTAAATGACAAGCACTCGGCTGAACAAAAGTGTAAAGAAAAGTTTATAACATCGTCGGAGCCCATCCATTTGGGCCCGAAAATCATTTTGTCAGAATGCGTGCTTGAAATTGGAATTTACAAATTGTGTTTTTCCTTTCTTTTACTTGTTTTCCTCTTGTCAGTAGCTTTTCTTTTTGTTCTGTTGTATGTGATTGCCCGAAAAAAGGAACAAAACTGAGAATGAAAAACTTAATTAATTTTGTTAAGCTTTCTTGCTCCCTCCTTGATTCTTTCCTTCATGTTAATTGAATCGTGCATAAATTTCTCGTTTTTCAATTAAAATGTATATTTTTTATGAAAAACCAAGAAGAAACTAACAGAGAAAATAAAAGTTTCATATGTGAAGGTAGATTATGCTGAGACCAGCAAAAACGGATGAGAGCGATTAGAATTTTAAATCAAAGTCAAAATGATGCAAAGCTTTTTAATGCAATTGTAGACCTAAACAAACATTTTCAAAATAGTTCTTTTTATGGAATTTATTTTTATCCCAAATGAAAAACACTTTTCTTTTGAAAAGGATCAACAAGAATTACATAAATGAATTTCATTTGCTTTAATTTTTTACAACTTAATTTTACTTTTAGAACTCATATAGATACTTAAACAAAAACAAAAAAACTTTGAAATCGAATTGTTTTCAATTTTTTATCTAGTTAAGGAAGAAAAGAAGAACAAAATATTTGTGTAGATAGGAGATTATTTTTTGAAGTTATTAAATATTGTCCGGGAAGAAATGTAAGAGAAGAAGAAAAAGAATAATTGAGCAACAAATTGAAAATAATTTTCTTTCTTTTTTTCGTGGAAAGAAAATAAAAGCTTACCCAACCACCCACGCTGCGTGGAAACAAGGAAAATAATTGAGTAGTTGAAGCGGGTGGAAGGAAACTTTTTTTTTTCTTTGATATGCTCTTTTTTATTTTTCTTGTGGGATTTATAAAGTATGCAAAAGTTTAAGAAAAGAATTGTAAATATTATTTTAGAACCAAGAACGGAAGAGATGAACAAGAGACATTTAAAAGAGTCGAGAATGAATTTTTAGTTGTTAAGCACATCTTTCTATATTCATCCCTTTCTCTCTACTTTTTATTACGTAGAAAGGAAGTTTACCTAAAGAAAAGCTTTTAAAACTTCCAGTAAACTTTACTTAAGGAAAGCTGCATAAAATTTCCTTCGAATTTTTTTTAAATAAAACATCAAAATAATGAGAGAAAAAAATATTAATGTGTACAGAGATTGTGTAATTCGTATTTGTATGTTAAGATTTATTTAGGATAAAGCTTAGGGATAAAATAATGAAAAATTATATATTTAAGAAAGTGGAAAAATTGAGAAAATTCGTGAAAAAAAAACTAAAAAAGAAATCTGAAATAAAAATTTTAAAAATTAAACACATTTGTTATTTATGTCACTTTTCAGAAATATGTATGCCGAAACATCAAACAAATATATTGAGTAATTTTGAGTCTGAATAGTCATGAATTAACATCATCAAATTTTCCCTTTCTAAATTTAAAAACACTTTTTTCTTTCCATTCATTCTATTTTAATGTCCCATCAATAGTTTCTTGACAATTAATTTAATGATGATTTCAATCTGATAACGAGATGTTGGAATAATCTAATGATCAATGGAGTTTCCGTTTTGAATTGTTGTAGAACCATCTTTAAGATTCTTTTGAAGGACGTAAGCATCCGCTGGCTCAATCCGCTTATAATAATTCTTTTTAAGATCCACAACTTCGAAGCCAAACTTTTTGTAGAACTCAATCGCGCTTTCGTTGTTGACTTGAACATGCCTAAAAAATTGCAAGTCAATATTTGTTGAACGTTGAAGGGCCGAAAGTGATACTTACAGGAATATGTTATCAAAGTTGGCATCAGCTTCAACATATTTGAGAATATGATTTAGCATTACAGTACCAATTCCTAGTCTTCTGTATGGATATAAACATCCCAATGTCATTATGTACAACCGCCGTTGGTTAGCAATGCTGTCGATTCTGCAACATACTGCTCCCACTACAATATCATTATAGTAGGCAAGCTTTGCAAGTTCACCAGATTCTAAAACATCGAGATAAAACCTAGAACAAAAATGTTAAAATTTCTTAGAAGAGTTTTAAGAGAAAACTGAAAATCTTTCGAACCTGTCATTATAGGAAACTGGAAATACTACAGAATTGATTTTCTTCAACTGCTTGAGATTATGGTGTGTGCAATCGCCGAGCTCAATTACATTGGTCCTAAAATAATAAAATTTTAAAAGCATGAAATAAAACAAAAATGACTTAAGCTCTTCATTGTCCAAATATTAAGAATATTTCCATTCTACAGTGAGAGTATTTATTCCTATTGTAACAATCCTACTTACCGCGTCATTTTTGGCTACTGTGTGATTAAAAGATCGCTTCTTATATCAGAGAATTTTGTTATTTTAATTATTTTTGCAAACCTTATTCGTTCAGTGAAAATTATTTTTTATTTTCGACCGATTCGTAGAGCGCTCGGCTAAAATTTGAACCGTTTCGAAAGTAATATTTGAATATTGGAAAACCGTTATTTCATATCGAATTTTACTTGTTTGTTTATTATTCATTGATATTCCTGAAATTCGTTATTTTTACATTCATTTAATATGTTTAAATAAAAGACGCTTTAAAATTTTAAATTCACATGGATATTTCCACTATTTCTTTAATTTCAAAAATTTCAGAAAGTTCTTTTAAATCCTGTGAATGTTCTAAAAGGAAATTTCTTGTAGCAAAAATTTCTTTTAAAACAATGTCCAAAATAAATGTGTAAGGTTGTTTTTCATCTAAAACAGGCACCTTATCATCACTATCTTCATCTAAATTAATGTAAACAGTTTGCGAAAATGGATCTGTTATTCTACACTGCTTCAGTTTTTTAAAGCTTTTGAGGCTTTTCAGCAAAGCTTTCGAGTTCATATTTGTTGTCTCCAACAGCTTTCGATTATTTTCGTATTTGATTGTCAGGTTTTCAATGTTGGGAATGTTTTTTGCCAAATGATCCCAAAAGAAAGTGTCCCGAATAGAAATTGTAATGTTTACATCAAGTTGTTTCAAACTTTGGCTTTTAGCAAAACTCAAAAGTTCAACACGAAACTCAGATGAAATGATTTTTCTCAGTTTTGGGAAATTGTCTAAGATTCCGTGTAACGAGAAATAAATTATTCGTGTGTTGAGAACCTCAATATTGGGAAATAATCCGAGTACAACTTCAAAAACTGTAAATTCACATTGGAAGTCTTTGAACTCCACATAAGTTACATTTGGTAATCTAATATTTCTGATTTCAGCAATTCTATCCCCATTAAACATTCCATCAAAGTTAATAATCAGCTTCCTTAAATTTACACACTTCAAGATGAGTCTAAAATAATGAAAGTTCATTCCATAATGTGGTATTTCCAACTCTTCTAGTGAATCAGTTTGAGTGTTAAGAAATTCAGACAATATTGGATAGAACTTGTCGAGCTCACAATCCAACTTCAATGCTCTTAATTGAAATTTCCTGTCAACAAGGCTTCTGGTGAAAATGGATTCCAACAAGTTGTCTGAACTTCCTTCAATAGACAACTTTTTCAAATTGTTCTGATGTTCTAGAAACTCTCCAATGATTTGTTCATGTCTTGTTATTGTTGTGGAAAGATTAAACTCCTCAATGTTTACACAATGCTTCAAAGCCTTTATGAGCATCAAAACAATTTTTTCAGGTGATTCAATCGAGACAACTTTCAATTTACCTAATTTAAAATCGATACAATCTTCTTTAATCTCCTCTTCAAATATACCATAGATTATGTCGCCATCAGCATTCACATAAGTCTTAACGAAATTAAGTCTACAACACAAATTCTCAAGGTTGGGAGTAAATTTCAAAATAATTCCAACATCTTCAAGTTCATGCAAGGAAACTGAAAGAAATTTCATTTCCATCACATGCTCTCCATACTTTTCCAAAAAAGGAATCAAATCCCTCCAAGATGAATGCTCACAAAGAACAATAGGAATTTTTCTCATCAACTCCGGTGACTTAATAATCGACTCACGAAATTCTTTTGACAAATTCAAGAAAACTTTCAATGTTGCTGTGTCGAGATATTTTAAAATGATTTTCCAACTCTTCATTGATTCACTCATTGCTGTTTTGTTAATTAAATAAAATAATTATAATAGTAAATATTTCAAAATGTATGACTAACAATTTGTTATTAGATAAACTTGCGTGAACTTTTCGAATAAAAAATTATTTCAGTTTGAATAAAATCTTCGTTAAAAAATATTTTTCATATTCATCAATTTTACTAATACCTATTTCCATTTATTGTTTTCTTAAAACATCTGAAATAAACAAATAACAATTTTAATGTAAAATCTCACACCATAAATTTCTTTTAATTTTAAAAATCAATAAAAGATAAAATAATCAATTTTTGTTTAATAAATGAATAATAATTATAATTTCCCACCATCTGGTGATTCAAGAACGTCACGAATTTCATGCATTGCATTGGCAAATGAGTTATAAAACTTTTTACTTGAAGTAATTTCACTATCTCGATATGAAGTTATAATAATCCAAACACAATCATCAAGCATGGAATAGAAAATTCCATAACCGTCCAAAACCATTGGAGCGACGAATCCCACACTAATCGAATATCCTAAAGTCGATGTTGAAAGTATGAAATTTCCACCACCCCCGCTTTTAGCATAAAGAGGATCTTCATAAAACTCAGGAATAGGCAATTGATTTTCATGGGCAAGACACCAAAGACCAAAGAAATGTCGATCAAATCCGTTGCCTTTTCTTGCGTCACTCATCAACTGATGATGAGCGTTAGCTGCATTTTTAAAATATTTTATCTTTTCAGTGTTTTTCACTCGCTTATTGCCCATTTTCTCAAGCCATTCTTTAACTTCAATCGAACAACTTCGAACAGTTTCAGTACGTCCATGATAATAAACTCTCATCGTTCCAGTTTCATAAGTTGGGGCAACCGAATTATGTAAGTTGTAATAAGCCAATTGCAATCCCATTTGAACGAACGAATCAGGATGAATTTTCTGTTGCTTCATAAAAGCTTTGCCATATCCAGTAAACTGTTGACATTGAACAATCACTGAATTATTCACACCAGCTGCATGTTCTTCCATTCGTTTGATTTCTTGTTTCAAATGATCATCGATTTGGAATTTAATTTCTTGAGGAATTATTCGATGTTTTGGAAGTTCATTCCAGTCTGGTTCGGAATCTTCCATCATACTCATTAAAAGGAATGTTGAAAATGCGATACTTATTGTTCCATCGTAAGCTGAATGTTCTCCAACTAGTCCAACTTTTCCATTACGAAATGAAATCATATTCGATGATTTATCATTCCATCGTGAATGAAAATCACCTTGAAGCGTCTTTTGTGCAAGTTCAGAGTAATCAATTGGTTCGTTGTCATCCAGTGACAAAGTAAATGCAGCTGACTCAATAATCTCCAACAACTTTTTATTGCTTGGAGATAATTCGATAAGATGCTTACGATTTTTAGCCCAATTTGTACGATAATCTGAAGTTAGAATAGGAATGCCTGGTGGAACTGACGTGCTGTTAACAATTTGATCATGAGCAAGCATTATAATGTTTAAAATTTCTTGAGGACTCATAATTTGACCATCGATAATAAATTCAAAATAGAAAACTCTTCCACGCCCAATCACGAGACAAGTTTTCGGACAATCGCCTTCAGCAGCAACTTTAAAATGTTCATGAATCTCATCTTTAATTTCACCTGGTACACGACAGGTATTGTATAATCTCTTGTATAAGTTTGCTGAAAAAGTGATTGATCCATCGGGATTTGTTGGTGGTCGCATTCTTTCAGAACGAATCAGTTCCCAGAAAATAGCCGAATAGTATAAGCCTCGTGCTAGCGTCTTCAATCGGTTCTCAGGAGTTTCCTCAATGCCAACAGATGACACTATCAATGGCATTGCCATGTTTTGGTAAGGCATTAAAGGAAAATTCACAGAATGATATGCCAAGTCTTCCCACCAACGTTCAACCTGAAAATTATTATCACAATTAAAGTTTTGACTTTATTATCAGTTCATTGGACTTTGTACCCAGTTTCGTTCTTTCGCCGCTTTATCTTCCAACATTTTTTGGAGCTTTTTCCCATCTCCGTTTTTAAAATCTTCAATGATTTTTCGAGACTTGGCTAATTCTTCATCTGAACCAAACGGCAAAAGATTTCTGTAATATCTCTTGAGTGAATCCTCCAATTTCGGTAATGGAAGTTTCTCCAGCATCTCATCACGAGAAAATGTAGGTGGTGCTCCTTCCGGTAAGAAATAAAACTGCTCGCGACTCATTATGGCAATATTAGATTTATTACGAGTATAAAATTGTTTGTCGTTAAGCAATCGAATAAAGTGAAAGTTCAAAGGCCAAAAAGTTTGATTTCGGAAATGTCTTAAAACATAACTTTTAACTTGTAATTTTAATAACAGATGAAGCTTGTTATACATACAAGAATGTTTAATTAATATTTTAATTTTTTCACTGGATTAAAGTATAGAATGGTAAAAAAGAAAATGAACAGAGGGAACGAAGATTAAAAACAACGGGAGATCTACTTGATGTAGAACTTGCAGTAGATAAAAAGTGTTGCCTGACTGTTGTTTACAATCCCGAATCGTGAAAATAGAATGAATTGTAAAATTAATTTGATAACAATCGGATAAGATAATTGCTTGATACAGATATTAAATAGACTCTTTCAATTGGTTTCCATTCAGTGTACAAGAAGCCGCTGATGACATATTGAAAATTTATTATTGAAAGAATAATAAAAGAAAATGTTTTTAATTCAAAGAACCACATTTAATATTAGTTGTGCCCAGAGACAACTTATAAGTTGCAGATTAAGTGGCGTACGATGCTTGAGTGATAAAAATAACAATGAAAGTGACGAAAAAGCTCCAGTACCAGATTATAATGATTCAGTTAAGAGAGAACATCCTGTCAGTCGTACCGGCAGAGTTCTTAAAGATGACATGATAAGAATAAAAAACTGGACAATGGAAAAATATAATATTATGACTAGAAAAACCGAACGTAAAACGTATGCAGCACCAATTCATACTATCGACAATTTCATTCAAAATAGAGAACGTGAAACGATGTTTCAGACACATTGCGATGTTCTTGTAATAGGTGGTGGCGGTATAGGATCATCAATAGCATATTGGCTTAAAAAACGAGCTGCAGAAGGTTTAAATGTAGTTGTCGTTGAAAAGGATCCAACATACAAAGAAGCATCAACGCCATTATCACTTGGTGGGTTGCGACAACAATTTTCATTGGAAGAAAACATTCAAATGTCTCTCTATGGTTCTGACTTCATTCGAAATATTAAAGAGCACTTAGGTGATGATGTTGATGTTCAATTCTCACCTTATGGTTATCTAATGTTAGCAACTGAAGAGTCAGCTGAAACTTTAATAAGAAATTCTCGTCTTCAGAATGAACTTGGTGCAAAAAATGAAATTCTTTCAGCAAGACAATTGAAAGAAAAGTTTCCATGGATCAGCACAGACGGAATTGAAATTGGATGTCACGGGCTTGAGAAAGAAGGTTGGTTTGATCCATGGCTTATGTTATATTCAATGAAGAAAAGGGCAATTGAGTTTGGTGCTCATTATCTTAATGGAGAAGTTGTTGGTTTTCAAACCGAGAAGAATGTTGAACTGGTTATTGAAGGTTCTCAGAATAAGCAATATGACGCTCTTAGTAGCGCTATTGTGAAAATGCCAGATGGATCTGTTGAACCAATCAAGTTTGCTCTTTGTGTGATTGCAGCTGGGGCGCATTCAGCAAAAGTTGGTGAAATGGCAGGAATTGGAACAGGTTCAGATTTATTATCAATTCCAATTCCCATTGAACCACGCAAACGTTACGTTTATGTCATGGCATGTGATGAAAAGAAACCACATTTGGCAAGCTCCTTGAACACGCCAGTCGTTATTGATCCTTCAGGCGTTTACTTCCGAAGAGAAGGATTAACTGGACTTTATGTTGCTGGAAGATCACCTGAAAGTATTGAGAAAGAACCTCCAATAGATAATCTAGACGTCGATTATGGATATTTTGACACTGATGTTTGGCCTCATCTTGCTCATCGTGTACCGAAATTCGAAGCAGTTAAAGTCAAGTCAGCTTGGGCTGGATATTATGAATATAATACTTTTGATGAGAATGGAATTATTGGCCCACATCCATCTTTCCACAATCTTTACATCGCATCGGGATTCAGTGGTCACGGTATGTTCATTTTTTTTTAATTATTCTTAATTTTTTAATTATTTCTTCTTTCAAAGGAATCCAACAAGCCCCAGCTGTCGGTCGATGTATCGCTGAAATGATTGTTGATGGTGGATACATAACATTAGATTTATCAAGATTATCATTTGATAGAATTGTAGTTGATAAGCCGATGTACGAAACAAACATTATATAGCAGAGTTATGAGATAATTGAGATTAAAATTTAAGTTTTAATTTAATAAAAACATTTTACATGAGTGATAAAAAGTTTTTCGGTTTTATTTTGGGATTTTCTTTCTAGAGTTTCATAAAATGATGAATTGCAATTTTAAAGTTGTTGCCATCGCTGCAATATAATCTCAAATTCATTACACCAAAAGCCTTTTACCTGCCTTAGTGTAATATTTACTCTTTCAATTAACCACTTTATTATGCTAATCGTAAGATAAAAGGTGAGCGTACAATGACAGATAAGATTTGATAAGATTGTTGCTTACATTTTCAAGTGTCTGATAATTGTGTTTTATTGGAGTGAACCTTTGAGTCGTTGAAATGAATTCATTGAGAAGAAATTTACTTAAATATGTCACAACAAAACGTGTCACAAATTTTAACTATTTAAGTGCATCAAAATTTTCCACACAAAAGGAAAGAAATTTACAAAATTCTGACGATTTGGTAATTAAAAATTAAAATGTGTAATTTATGTTGAGTTGACAAAAAAAATTATTATAGTCGAGTTGCGATGTTGTCGTGATTGGCGGCGGTGCTGTAGGATCATCAACTGCGTTTTGGCTTAAGAAGCGTGCAAAGCAAGACTTAAAAGTCATTGTCGTTGAAAAAGATCCAACATATAAAGAAGCGTCAACTCCAAGATCGTTGGGTGGAATTCGCCAACAATTTTCTTTAGTTGAGAACATTCAATTGTCACTGTTTGGTTTTGATTTCATTGATGATATTAAAAATTACATGAATGACGATGTTGACGTTCAATTTACACCTTTCGGTTATCTGATGTTGGCAGCTGACGAATATGCCGAAGCTTTGCATAAAAATTCCAAACTTCAAAAGGAACTCGGAGCAAAGAATGAAATTCTCATGCCAAGTCGATTGAAAGAAAAATTTCCTTGGCTCAACACGACTAATGTAGCTGTCGGTTGCTTTGGATATGAAAAGGAAGGTTGGTTTGATCCATGGCATCTTTTAATAGCATTTAAGAAGAATGCTATTAGAAATGGTGCAAATTACGTCAACGGCGAAGTTGTTGGATTTGAATTGAATGAGAAAGAAAGTGAAAATCATGGTTCGATCAAAGGTGTCAAAGTAAAACTTTCCGACGGTTCAATTAAAGAAATCAAATGTGAAAAGTGTGTGCTTGCAGCAGGTGCAGAATCAGGAAGAATTGGTCGTCTTGCGGGTATTGGAACAGGTTCAAATCTTTTGTCAATTCCAATTCCCATCGAACCTCGTAAACGATATGTTTACGTATTCATGTGTGAAAATCCTGGAAAGGCTTTGAATTCAGCTCCATATGTTTTCTTCCCAAGCGGTGCACATGTGAGAAATGAAGGTGGGAATGGCTACTTTACAGCAGGTCGATCACCAAGAAGTAAAGAATTTGAACCACCGATTGGCGATCTAGAACCGGATTTTGAATATTTCAACAATGAAGTTTGGCCAACACTTGCTGATTACGTTCCACAATTTGAAGCTATTAAAGTGACATCAGCATGGGCTGGTCATTATGAAGTGAACACTCTTGATGAAAATGGCATCATTGGACGACATCCATGGTATCAGAATCTTTACATCGCATCAGGTTTCAGTGGACATGGTAAGCTTAATTAATATTTCTTATCAACTATTCATAAACTTTAATTTTATTGTAATTTAAGGCATTCAACAAAGTCCAGCAAGTGGAAGAGCTGTTGCCGAATTAATCCTCGATGGACGTTTCACTACAATCGATCTTACAAGACTCGGATTTGAAAGAATTGTTAAGAACGAACCAATGTTAGAAAACTACATCATTTGAAATTTATAAATAAAATGTTGGGTTGTGACCTGGATAGAAAAAATTAATTTCATCCAAATTATCCAATTTAATTTCTATTTCAATAAAAATAATTTCATTTTATTGTTCACAAAGCTGTCAGAACTTTCAATGACTAAAACATTTCACTTAAACTGTCCCGGTTGTGCGCCAAAAATTCCTTGCTTGCTGGCAGCACGACTTGGTGAAAAACCAAGAATTTTCTGAACATTCTGTCGAATTGACATGGTGCAGAGAATATAGAGGAAGATGAAAGAGCATTGAGTGTAGTCATCGCCTTGCAAATTTCTATGTGACAGTCCCTGGATCCATGAGATTGGGACAAATGGTAATCGTGCAACAACTTTACCATCGAAAATTGAATTAAACATTGAAAGAAGAGCTGTGAAGGCAAATCCAGTGAAAAACCTGAAGTGTTCAAACATAATTAAGCACTGATAACATCTAGGAAAAAAATTTTCATCTTACATGGACTTCATTTTGACAAGTGACAAGTCACGGTTATTATTTTTCAACCTTTCTTCATCTCTCTCGATTTTCTTCTTTTGTTGTTTATCTAGAGCCTCTCCTAAAACTTCTTTCTTTTTCTCCACTAATTAAATATCGATGAAATTTCAATTAGTCATTGAAGATTTAAGGAATAAAAGTTCCAACACTTACATTTTTTTGTTTGCTTTTCGATTTCCACTTTCAGTTTTTGGTATTTTTCTGTACGGTATACAAGGATATAAGTAACCCCTTCACCAAGAAAAGCCGTAAACAAACTAATGAAGACAATCACGAGAGCATCTGAGAGAACCATGATTGATTTCTGACTAAAGTTTTATTAAAACTTGAGAACTTAAATTACTTCAATTTGTATTCTCCACTTCAGAAGCTTATTTTAGATCAATCCAAAGTATATGATGAATATTTACATTCAGTTCAATTTTAAAGAATTTCTTTGAATATGGTTAAAATGAAGATGCAGATGTGACTAATCTACATTTAATTTACATTGAATCACATAATCCAAATGATCTTCAATGAGTTTAGTTGACAGTATCCATACAACTTTAAGTTTTGTGGACGATTTTTTGTGGATCTTACGAAATTGAATCGGTTTTGTTTGGATGTGTAAGTCTTTCTCTCCACAGAGCAACTGGCGACTTTCAAAAATTAATAATTTCACAACTTTCTATCAGTGTTATTCTGGTCAAACCATCAGTAAATCAAAATTTAATATTGTATCTCAAGATTTTTCATAAAATTCCAACAATTTTAACTGATTGAAGAAGTGAAATACGAAGTTAAAAGTTGCTCATCGTGAGAGAAAACGTAAAAAGAAGAAGACTCGACCCGATCAAAAAGCAGGAAAATTTTTTACATCAGAATTTATTCGAAAGTCAAGCAATCAACATCATTTTTGCAAGCAAAATATTATAAAGAATACCATTGCCATAAAAGTGATTAAAAGTGGATGAATAAAGATTCAAGGTCAGCTCAATAAGCGGAAAAGCAAAGGAAATTTCCTACGAATACTAAAAAAAATCGATTTTTGTTTCCCTCACTATATTGCTTGCTTCAAGCTAAATGCATCAAATTTCTTTGTTACGATTTACTGAAAATACTTTAAGTGAAAATTTTAAAAGCTGTTAAAAAAGTTTTGACGAGAATATAAGCGCAATCAAGTGCAAGAAAACTTTGAGAAGCTCCTAAGTTGTTAGAAAACAAATAACTAATATATGGATATAGTTCTGGTAAGTCCCTTTTACTCATCTGCTTACCTACCTATTCAGAATTACATTTGGGTTTTTTTTTCAATGGCGAAAAAATATCACCAATATAATAGTAATAAGAAGAAAAAAGGTTTTTTGTGCTTTGTGTAACATTTTTAAACCGAAAATTCTCATTTCATCGTATGTTTGGTAGAATTTAAAAGATTTTTTTACAAAACTCCAACTTTCTGTTCGACAAATGCATTTGCTTTATGCAATATCGTGAAGTATGTCATACAAAATTTTTAAAATAGATCATGAACCAGTTTTTTTTTCTTGCCTAAGTTGTCGGAAGTTCTCATTAAAAATCGATTCTTCATTAATCAATGTGGATTTTCAAAAGAATTTTTACTGGTATAATTTTTTATCAGCTTCAAAATTCCGGCTTAAAATAAACTGCCATAAATATAAAGAAGTCAACCCATGATAATTTCTAGTGTTTTAGATATTATTCATTGATTATTTTCCAGAAATAAAGTATTGAAAAAAGGTAGACTTACGTAAAGGAAAAAAGAAATAAGAAAAGTCGCTAAAACTTGACGTCGACAGCAGGCTACAATTGGGGTAATAAAAACTTATTACTGTATTGGCGCGTGTGAGCTTTGACAGAGTCTGTCACACAAAGCTTCTATATTTAATTGAATTCATATTAATTACATATTCACACACATCCATAAATTGTTAGACTTTTTTTCACATCCAATTCATGGCAAAAAAAAGAAGAGTTTTCAACCTTTTTTTTTCGTTTCGAGTAGAAGCGAATCATATGTCGAAAAGAAGTCGTGGGTGTGTTAGTTATGATTATAGTCCAACGTCCGTTTTGAAAATTGTCCCATGTTACATACCTGGGTTACGTTTGTTACTTTCACATGCAAGTACATGTTAGTTGCCAACTGATTGATTACCTGTCATACAACCGAGCTGTAAAAAAAGTTATTGTTTTTAACTTTATTTAAGGAAAAAAGTGACCTGTAAAAAGTGATAATTTGAACGCCACGTTTAACAAAAGAGCTTTGAAATGAATCTCTTGATCTGAATTACAGAATTACAAATCTAGAACTCAAGTTGATGATTTTATTACCGGCAGTTTCAGTCAACAGACTCAAGATATTATTTTTAAATGTATTGATGTCGAGTGGATGTTGAAAATAAATTAAAAATTCACAAGTTCTGCTGTTTGTTCGGTCGCACAAATGACGTCATTTTAGAAACATTAGAATTCAGTGAGTCGCGAAATGAATGAAACATTCGAAGAACGTTGGAGATGTTAATCAAACTCATGTGAATGAAGCAACAGATAATTCGACGGGTTTTTTTTCCTTATTTAAAGTTTGCTGTCTGAATGAACATGTTGATTCAAGTTGATTCACGGAATTGTTTTTGTTGACTGATTTTTTATCAGAAGCGGATTTTAAATTAACAAATCAAATAAAATCTCGCGAGATTCTCAATCATATTTCAATTGAAATTCCAAGAATTACTCATTTTATTAACTTTGCATCGACATAGAAGAATTTTAATTTAGGAAACGAAAATTTCTCAAACTCGTTCGTGTTGAAGAGGGCCTTAAATTTCTGCAGAAAGATAAACCGAGACGCGACTGCTAAAAGTTAAAAAAAAAAACACGAAACCGAGAAGAAGGGAAGTTGTTGAGACGACGAGAATTTTGTGTGGTGTGCGAGACTGCAGAGGTTAATGGCACAAGAAATGGTTCGTTTCTTCCCCAGAGATGTTATAGTCAATCAGTTTTATGAACTTACATTTTAAAACTATTTCTTTTATACAGAAGATATTTAAAATTTTATCTCTAAACTTGAAATCACAATGCATTGCCTGCCTTTCAATCATCATACAAATCAGACTGAAAATTACATTTTATGGTTTATCCAATAACAATTTAATTCAGCATACGGCAGCAAAACGAGAATTAAAGAAGAAACCTCCAGACATTATTGTTTGTAACTTCTTGTTCTCGCATGACCTTTTTTCCCTTACTTTTCAACAACTGTTTATGCAGTTGGCTTCAATAATACAGCGAAACATAAAATTTAATAAAGAGTTATTGCACTTTCATTAGAATAAGAAACTGAAACTTGAACCTTGTTTTGTCGTTTGATTTTAAATAAACAAAAGTGTAAATTAACGCTTTTCATAAGTTATTCCCCTGAAAACTTCTCCACAGGAATCATATCTATGTTTATGCAATCTGAGACTGGATATTCGCGTGGGGTGAATGTAAAATGAATTGAGTGATATTGTGCAGTGGTAAACCGTGCTTTAGTGTCCGAGGTCAAGAACTGTTTTTAACAATTTTTCATTTTCATGTCAGGAACGTTCACATGTGTCGTTTTAAAGCTTTTTACCGTCTCCTAAAGTAAAATCAATGTAACTAGGTCAGTTATAAGTTTAAAATTGTTTCCTCTCATCGAATGAAATTCATCTTTACAACTTACACTTCAACTAGTCATTAATTTTATGATCGATTTCACGTACAACCTGGTAGACGTGCTTTCAACATCTTTCTGCTCATTTCTTTCGCTTAACAATCCTTGAGGGAAAAGCAATTTACTATAAATTTCAACGATATAATGTAGACTGCCATGTAAATATTCAGCAAATGGAAGATAGCAAACTCCAGGGAAATACGAAAATGAGATTTCATCAATGCATTAAATTTTCAATTGCACGCGATTCAATTATCTGATCGAGACACTCCCAACTTTAGCGGCTTTCTCTCTAATATTTTTGATGATGATGAAATTTAAAAACAAATTAAATCTACAACCAAATCGAACATGGCTGACGATAATTAAAAGAAAGTTTTTTTTTTGTCGTAAAAAAACTATAAATAAATCTCGCTGATTTTTTGAAGAAAGTGAATGTTTTTAGTAAGCGAATCGAACGATCACGTTATGTTTGAAGATTTAAAACACGAATGTTGCATTGAATCAATACGACACAGCACTAGTGCTGATAACGTTTGAGCCATGTTACATACAACGATGGAGAAAATATATTGCTAAATACAAGCATCGGATAGGAGAAATGACGTCAAGCGAGACAACGTGATAATAAAAGTTATACAGTTAGTAAATATGAAAATAGCGAACAATAATTCAATACGTGGGGCGTTAAGTGAAGTGAAATTTATTTGAAATTGGAATTTCCAATCATGCATCGACGTTTCTTAATGAAACTTTGTTGCCATTCGCATGATCATGTACAATGTTTGTTCAATCAGTTACGCAAGCTTCGTTGATAAGACGAAAGCTAAATTAAATTGCGGAAATTTTGGAATAAGGCGCCGATATAATATCTTAGCAGAGAAACTGTCTCAGTTCTTATCCTTATCATCATTATAGAACTTTCAATGAACGCTTGTAGGTTGATTTGATATCAATTTGGTTTGATAATATTTACACAGTTTTTTTTGTTGTCTCCATACTAATTGCCATATGAAATTGGCTATTTTCAGTTCTTCAAAGAATAGTCGAAGATGACGCCAATCTAGTCAACAACATAACCAAATTTCTTAGAAAAATATAATCAATCGTCTCATTTGTTTCTGATTTCGTAGTTTTTAAAAATAAGTTTACGGAAAAAAAGTCATTTCGATTGTATTTCAAGAGTTAGATATCAAATCAGACTTAATTATATGAAGATTCATATTTCGTTAGGTGACTTCTTTTGGTTTGTCCAATGTCTTAAATAAGAGCCCCTTAAGGAGTTCAAATGTCAATTCTATTTTTGAAACTTCTCATTTCTGAAAGAGCCAAGTTTGTAAGAAAATCAAAAGCAGTTTGTGTCAAGAAATTTTTTATTTCAAGTAGAGCGACTTGAAACGAAATACAATTCAGCGAAATACGAGAAGAGACGCTGAAGCATATTTATATATTTATTTTCATTCTTTTGAAAGCTTTCAAAAAAAGCCGTAGGTCTGAATAATTTGCAAATATAATAGCAGCAGTTCGTTATGATAGAATTGAGGTCAAGCAGATGAAAGCAATAATTTCTATAAAATTTTCATTAAAGCAACAATTGAGGTTTCAGTCGGAGTAAAACTTCATGCTCTGCATACAGACTTAAACATTGCGGAATGTAATTTTTCGAATAATTGTGAAATAGTTATGTTGTCTAATTCCCTTCGAGATTGCGCACATTGAACGCTTCTCAACAGAATTTTTTCATTTGTTTTTTGTTATTTTTCTCATCCTTGTTTATCTATTGATGAAAACGTGTCGCGTCTCCACGCGTAATTTTGTCTCTTCTTTATTATTATCAATCAAAAACATTTTTTCTGTTTTCATCATCATCAATTTAAATATATTTAAACTTTTCAACCAACATTTGAATCATATTTCAAAAAAGAGAAAGAAAATCTTAAAAGAGAAGAACTGTGCAAACGAAGTCCATCCATCAACAGAGGGGAACCATTTTCTGGCGCGTAAAAAGCATAGCTTGGGGTTAATGTCCTTTATCAACATAATGTGTTGGTACGATGCTTCAATGTTGGTGATTTGAATGAAAAGTATAAAAGCGTTCAATGACGTGCATTCGCTGCTTCTTCTTGTTTTGTTTTTGATTCTTTCTTTTAATTCCTTTTTTGGTGCTGCTAATACAATGGAAAATTGGCCATCGTTTTAGGCAGTAACGTAGGGTGAAGAACATTTTTATCTAAGGTCGACGATCTCAAGCGACTCGTTTGACATAATTGGCAAACCTTTCCCATTAAGAAAGAGTGCAAAAAGGAAACAGCAACAACGCATACGTGATGTCGTTCTCTGATGAACTTTAAAGACTGAAATGCATTCGAGACAGACTTTTTTTGGAAATAAAATTACGTTGGCTTTGCAAATTATTTCTTATTCTTTTTTGCATTCTATTCGTCTGTTGCAATTTGTGTCGGGGTGTGTTGGAATACTTCTGACCAGTGTCATCGAACGAATATCATAATAACGATTAAATCAAACATTATTGCAATATTTATATTTAGATAACTCATAATGACGCCTTTAATAACCAGAACAAAATCGTTGATATTATTGAATGAATTTTATTTAATCGACACTACGTCGCAGTTTATTGCCTCGACCCTAAATCGAATCACATTACATTGAAATACTCAAACAAAGAAAAGCCGCATGTCGTAAAGAAAAAAAAAGTCACATCACAAATAATTTACGTCGAAAAAGTGTTCAGTGTCACAATTTAACACGTAGATAGAGCGGCATGTGTCGATTCATAAATTCTCGTCGGCTCTCGAATGTTTCACTTCCATATTATTTCTTTTCTGTTAATATAGCCAATTCTGCAAATCATTTTATTCAATATTCAGAACAGATACACAACTAGATAGACAAATATTCAGTTCTATTTTTATCGGTAGTAGGCTTTCGTGTGGGTTGAATTTACAACCCTTAACAAGTTTAAATTTATCTATCAAAAAGAAGGAAATTTCATTCATGTTGATAAAAAGATTTTTCCATTTTTGTGTGGGTGGTTTCTTGCCTACAATTCCAGCGACTCTCAATTTAGAAAAGAGATAATACAAATCCTAGGAAGCTTGAAATTAAATCTGAATATTAAAAAGTAATCTCGCCTGAAATGATCGAGGCTGCCAATTTTATAAATAGAATGAAAAGTATGAAGAAAACTGAAGAATATAAAGTCATTGTCACTGACATCTGTAGATCTGTAATGGGCGCCGCGCTTTACAACAATGTATACGTTACTCATTCTTGTTTTCCGATCTCCCATTCAGTAAATGCACACATATTTTAGTATTTTCCTCCCCGACATCAACACAATAATAACACTAAAGTCGAAATCGTTTTTAGATACGCCACATTCGGTTGTTTTGAGGATTATTGTGGTTGTGTATTGTCGTGTAGAAACAACTTTGTTTTTATACATTGCCATGTAGCAAAATATAAACTTACTTGATTTTTTGAGAGATCAGAGAAAATGATGAGACATTCTCAAAGCTTCATATCAGTTGAATATAACGTTTGAAACCTCCAAGATTCGTTTTTTGTCGCGGGCGACTTACAAAGAAAAAATTCATCAAACTTATGAAAACCCTTGAATGCAAAAAATAATTAAAGAGTTCCTTTGGAAGTTATAAGGCTTGATTATCAAAGCACGGTAATTGTGTTCTGAAATGAAAAAAATAAGGGGAAGCTTTCTTTGGCTTACCCAATGAGAATCGCAAATTGAACGGAAATAATTTGTTGGAAGAATAGAAAAGTTATCACGTTTGTCGGCTGTGCTTGTGAAAAACTTATTTCAAAAACCTCAGCTTGACGTCATTCCATGAAACTTGGAATGCTTGCTCAACTTACGCGCATTTTCCTGTGATTATTTATATAATAACTTTGATAGAATTAAAAAACAGGCAAACATATTTTAGATTCATAAAAAACAGAGGTGAACGACAAAAGAATTGTGAACGTTGACTGGAATGTGCTAAAGTTTACGAGTGAACTTAAACGTGTAAATGTAAATAAACTCCAAAGGTGTGATTTAAATATTTTAACACAATATATCAGTTGACTTTGTTGCGAAAAAATCTTGAACGTGGAAATCTTCTATACCTCAAGAGGACTGAAAGAAAAGCTTGGAAATTGAATAACATAAAGCTGTAATATTTAAGGAAAGAATTTGAAGGCAGGAGAGCAACAAGTGGCTTTTCGAAACCCTACCAAGGTTAAGCTCAGGACAAAGTTGACGTAAATATGTATGTACGCAAAATGGAGATGAAAACGCAAACAATTTTCTTTTGTAGAGTTAAGATAAGAAACATTCCGAAATATTTATTGCACGATTAAAAACTTGTTAATGAGATCAAATGATAAGTTGAAGTAATTTTCCACTTGCGTCAAATAATGTCATCTTTGCTCTATTTATTCGTGTTTTACTGTTCTTTTCTTTACTGCGTTGAAAATTGAAAGTAATTGACTTTAAATTTCACACTTCAAGAGCAGGAAATTCCAATTTAATCTGAATGATTTCATTAGATTGACCTAAAAATATTTGAAAGGAAAAATAATCTTCAAGATTATCAGAAAATTTCCTTTAAATGCTCTCAATTCAAGGTCAAACTTGTTACGTTTTGTGTTATTGTTTTATGATTCTGTGTGTGCGTTTGTGTTCGCGTGCAATCGAGAATCTCATTTCACAAGGTGACATCAAGTAAGTTCATGAGAAAAATCCGACAATCTTTTCGGAAAAAATGAGCGAAATCTTTTTTTTTTTCTTCTGTGAAGTGCAATTTATGTTTGTGTATTTTTCACACACATTTTTCCCGTCATGTTAGCTTTTGAATGTCTCCCACGCATCAAAATAATGTTTTCTGAAAAGTAGTTCAACGTATTGGTTTGATTATTCAACTCTGAACGAAGAGTTTTCTCTTTCAAATGGAAAACCCCAAAACATCTCATCGGAACCCCTGACTGCTTCTATTTTTATCAGTATCACGCTCACACGTCAATGGCCATGAGACTTTATTAATACAAACCACCCAGCTGAATGGAGAATTAAATTGACCCTGCATGCGGGGGCGACAAATGGGTGTGTCAAATGACTTTTTTTCTGCTGAAACGACTTGTAAAAACAATTTTCAAATGTCGCATCAATTAAAAGATTTTCTTAAGAATCTTAAGCAAAAAGCGTTTGGTTTTTGTTTATTTGGTTTTTCCTGCGAAAACAGAAGACTCGGAAAAAATTACAGAAAAATCCCCAGACTCAAATGTGACGATGTTTGAAAAGTACGAAAATAGTTTTTTTTTCTTTTCGGAAAATATCGCCAGTTGCTGTGTTTGTTGATGATCTCTTAATTGAAAATTATTTATCTACAGCTGTTTATTTTGCTTCAAATATCGTTAAAAGATTTTTTTTTAAAGCAAATAGATAAAAAGAAATTCACTTTGAACAGTAATCCTTTCGTACTTGAGAAGCTTCCATTTCCTCATTGTACGGAAGTTCAAAAGCTCAGTAAATTTTTTTTAGCAAATTTCTTACTTGCCCTCGTTTCACTAGGCATGAACATAAACACAATTTGTCATTTTTGTTTGAGTTTTTCATTTACGACATTTTTGTTTACAAACAACACAGCAAATTTTCACTGAAAACAGAGATTTAGTTTAAATATTTACGCATTAGCATGCCATCGTTCCTGCCAAAGAGAGTAGAAACGATTTGAAAAAGTAAACTTTCGATTAAACCACCACTGAACGATTTGAAGCTTTCTTTACTAAGTTCTTGTTAGGTTTAAAATCTTTTCCACTTCCATTTATCCCAAACCATCATTACTTTCGATTACGGTCAAAGTTCGAAAGATAAATGATTCCATTGTGACTAAGGCCACTACGGGTTGCTCTTTGATTCCTTTCTTACTTTTTCTAAATGTTTTTAGTCAATGTTGACAGACATTCTGAGTGAACTTTGAGAGTGAACAATTACATATATTGACCTTCAAATTTTCTCATTTTACAATGTTTAACATTCAAATTTGTAGTAAGAATATCCGAGGACGGTTTAATAAAATCAAAAATGTGAATATTAAGTTAATTAGATGCATCATGCATACTTATGTGTCTGAAGTTTTAATGAATCGTCAGAGATGAAATCGCAGCTGACACACGAGGAAAATATTTCACGCCTAATAACTTCGACAATAATTATTGTAAGAAAACTTTTCTGAACTCAATTCTTACTAAATCATCGTGGGCAGAACACGAGAAAAAACATGGAGACGACAGCTTTTCTTCGTTCTTTTACTCTGTTGTGGAAAAGTTACTTGATTACATCAAACATACGTGTTGCTTCATATTTCTCTTTATCCTTTTAAGCTTAAAAAAAGCTTTTGAAGGTCAATCCAAACGTCATTCCTAACTCAATGGGAAACTTGTTCATATCAATTTCAAACCATAACATGCTTCTACTCCTACCAACTTCAATTGTTGACCGATTTCCGAAACGTAAATAACAAAAAATAATCTGAAGCTTTCTATCAGAGATCTAAGAGCCTTAAAACATTTCTAAATATTATTTTTATACCGAAACCGCAGTTGTTTATAAATATTTTATCTTTCTCTCTCATTCATTCTAAGTATTTTTAGGTCTTTGCAAAAAAAAAAGAAGGAAACTTTTAAGACATTCAATACATTTGAGTAGGTTAAAAATCATTTCATTTTTATCTTTGTTTACCGGAAAATCCCCTGATTAATTTGCATAAGCTAAAAACAATTTCTTTAATCAGAAAATCAGAAAGACCCAAATATCTGAATTAAATGTCTATTTAATTTTGTTTTTCATTTTATGTAAACATCGCTTGCAAAAGTCGACCTTTAAATGGTAAAATTGATTGCTTAACAAAACAAAATGTTTCCAGAATTCTTCACCATTTGGTCTGATATGACGCTATGTCCTTATGTCATTGAAAAGGATGATTCAATTATCTTTATCACGATTCATACTCACTCGATTCTTTTTTATAAAATTTGAGCCTCTTCGAAAACAATTTTCCGAATGACGCATGGAAAAAGGTAATCCTCGATGTTGCTTAGGAGATTTTCTCTCAGGATGTTCAAGTTCAAGTTATACTATGACGTTGAGCAGAAATACGTAATCATTTACAACGTTTAAAGTTCAAACTGTCGAAGCTAATTGTTCTACTCCTCAATTTCAATTATTACGTTTTCATTATTTGTAGTTTGACATTTGATTTTTTCTACTCGTGATTGTTTGTAAAGAAATCGTGCTATCGCTATAAAATATTAAGCTTGGCTTATTTTAGCTTCTTTTCTATTCAGTGAAACGATTTTTTATATTCTTGTCATATTTTAGACTATTTTTATTTATCAATAACATTCAATAATAAATTTCCCCGATACGAAATATATTTTGGGTTGCTTTTTAAATAATTATGTGGAAGTGGAATGACGAATGTTTACGAAATTAGAATCAATCGCATGACATTAGACATGAAGAAAGTCATGTAAAAGACTATCTAATAATAATTGTTAAACTTCTAGATTAATCCGTAATCGAAATGCTTAAATATGTAACTAGGTACTCTCAATTCAAATTATTTAAGTATCAAACCAAAATAGAATGTTTTACTCTTTTCATTTCTTTAGGGTTTTTCCCAAAGTGCTTGGTTTTCCTATAAATGAAAATCAAACCTTTGAGCGTTTTCTCTCTTGTCAAATTATATTTTGCGACTTACCCAGTTTCATTCTCGGAATACAAATATTCTTGTGGCTGCTTTCAACGAACGAAAAATATTTTTATTTCAGGAATTCTATTTTAAAAATGATACAAATGGTTGTTTCTCGGAAAATACAAAGATTGATTTCAAAAGTTCCAAATTTATCTGATTTGATTTTTATCACAATTATTACCGAATTCGGTTTGTTGTTGATTACATTTTAATCGTATGATTTGATTATTATCGATTGCACGCTTTGTATAGAGAATGTGGTAATTAGTTATTGAATTACGTTTTGAAAGCTTCCTTTCATTGAAACAACCTTCATGTTAAACTAAAATTCTTAAAGTTGTCACGATTTTTTTCTGAAAAAATATTAACAAAAGAAAGCACGACATCCTTTCAATGTCGAATGAACTTGAAAGAAAGTTTATTTTATGACAATTATTTATATCCTTGGAGACGATATCCTTGTAATTAGAAACGAAATGAAAGCTTCTTTAATTATTTTATTTTACTTTGAAACTTCGAATTGCTTTTTTTCCTTTCTTTCTTTTTCTTGTAACTGAGAAATGTTTGATCGTTCGTCAAAACATTGATAGCGACATGACAAATATTAAATTGAAAGTTTATGTTATTGTTTAAGCGACTTCAAGATAAATAAATATTACTGTGAAGGTATACAATAGCACAAGCTTCGATAATATCATCATCGTCATCATCATCATTGTCGTGATGACCACCATGAAGTCGAGTTGAGACACATTTAGTCTTTAACATTACTTAGTGAATCGCTTGAGAGAACAGACTCGACAACGTGTTCTAACATAATTATTTGGAAGTTACAAATTTAGCTCATTCAATATCACATCATTTAATTAAAATTATCATTGATATCGATTTAAGACGTATCAGATTTATTTTCGGTTAGAGAAGGTAGGAAATTGATTACCACAAACTGCGAACTTGATTATGAAATTGAAACTCTCTCACTTTTAAGACATCGTTACGACATATTTCATTTGAAGTGACAGTGCTGTAGGCACAGCTAAGGCCATGAACATTACACTTTCAGTTGAGTAAGGGTATGATTAAATAGCATATTCCTTCATCTCTCACAGTCAACAGTTATGAAGGTGAAAAAGAAAGAGAGAGAGAGATGAAAATTACCAGACCATTGATAACATAACTAAGGCTTTTTGTTTTATCTGATGCGAATTAAATGAACGTAGGCATTTTTGTTTATTATCAACAGCACTCAGTCACAAAATGATGGAAAAGAAATGACTAGCAACAAAGTATTTTCGCTTTCCATTTTTCGACCTCATTCTTTCCGATGGTTTTCGCGTACTTTGTGATTATTTACGACTCTACATAATTGTAGTCGAGAAATGAAACTAATTGACTTTTCTTTCTACTTCTCTCTTTACAGCTTCGACAGCTAGCTCTTACCTCTATGGAGTTCAAGTTGGACAGTGCAGAGTATTGCCAGGCACAACACAAATAAAAAGTTTCTTTTTTGTTTTTTCGCGGACGACGAAAGTGTCGAAGAGGAGAACATTAAAAGGAAAGAAAAAAGAAAAGAAGAAAACATTAATTCAGAACAGTTATAAAACTTACGAAGAAAAAGATATTTTATCGTAACAACAAAGGATTATATCTTTAATTAACACGAGAAGAAGATTTATAAAAAAAGAACACGCTTCATCACATTAAAATTAGGACATTCAAACTTACTGATCACAAGGCGACGTGTCGTGTATGAAACGCTCAAATAAAATTATCAATAAACAAACGTAAGATAAAAAATTATTTTGTTAAAAAAAAGGATTTCTAATGAGAGTTACTAATGTTACTTCTTTTTATTTGATTAATTTTGGAACGAAATAATGTTGAAATCGTCAAAATTATCAACTAGAAGATAAATTCTTGTAACATTACTTACACTTGTTCATCTTACTTATCTAAAAGAAATATTAATGAGTTTCTACTCTCACAATTCACAGTTCTGACTTAGCAAAGGGTATACCTAAGGCAAATCCCTCCAAGAAGTAAAGAAATCCACGTGAGACTGAATCTACTGAACATCATAAACTCAACAAACATCAAATAAATTTTTATGTGAAAAAAAAACTTCTTTCCAAAGCCTCCCATCAAGTGGAGTTAATAATCTGTTTCGGAAAAAGAAAACTTCCTCACAAATTTATTTTTTTCCCCTCCATTATCACCGTTGGATGTCCTAAAGACTTGTATGACGTTTGAGCTTATTGCCTTCTTGATTCACAAGCGACGGTTACTTTCTTTTTGAGTGCCAAAAAAAGTTTATTGTTTTTTGTGTTCGGTAAGTTTTACGTTTTTCCTGAAATCGACATTCAGATCGTTGACCCTCAATGTTGTCAAATATAGAAACACCTGTCACGATTACCATTTTTGCGCTGAGAACTTTTTAAATATTTTTAAATGTAAAGCAAAAGTTGTCACTTTTTCCAACAAAAACAAAGTCATGCTGATGAATCTGTTTTAAAAAATGTTTGGATTTTGTCCAGTGACTGATGTATGGTCAGAAACTACTGTCAATGGGAAATCCGTTGATGCTTGCTGTTTGCTTTTTAATCTTAACACAAATGGTTATCGCATTAAATATTTTCAAAAACTTACAAAACTAAATTTTTGTCTTCTTTCTATCTTAGGTCGTTTTGTTCCATCATTGCGAGCATCCGCCATAAGTCATACGTGTTAATCAACAAATAAACAAGAAAAAAGAGCTTAATTATCAAATATTTTAGTTACATCTCTGATCCACCGACATAAAGGAAAAAGCTTCAGTGAGAAGTGAATAAAAAAATCATTTATAAAAGACTAAAGTTAGTTCTGCGAAATCTTAATCCAAACTTTTGTTTGTTTATTATAATATCTAATTGAAAATAGCGAAAAAAGTAATTGTCTAAAGAAAGACTGCCGACATTTTCAATTCTTCCATTAACCGGGAGAATAATAACGAAAAAATTGTGAAAATTATCTGAATATTCACAGAAAAAGGAAATTCTTCTCGCTTCGAAGTTTGGCGAAGAAACAAAGCAACCAAAAAAAAATTAAAAACAAAAAGTGTTAAATTTATCGCGTTTTATCTCGTATCGCGTGTGTTTATTGGTTTAATTAATGACAACAATCAGCATGAGACAGAAGGACATTCGACCAGCGCCAGCGCGCATTGAATTTAAAGGAATGAAGTTTCTCATCACCGATCGGCCATCCGATGCCACTATACAGTCATATTTAATGGTGAGTTGTTGTAAAAGAAAATTGAAACTTGAGGGAGTGGAAGTTGCGCTACTTCCATGCTCGGTTCGAAGTAAATATATTTTGAAATTCTATGTGACTACAAACAAAAGCATCAACAGAACCACAATAATTCTCAACTTCCAAGTCTTTCTTTTCCTTTCAACCCTCCAATGTTCTCGAAAACAGTAAAGAAGAAGAAAGATCATCGACCAATTTTGTTTTTCAAATCATTGACCTTGGAATATCTCGAAGAGTTCGTTTGCTTTTTGTTTCTTGTGGTTCCTTTTTCTTTTCTTTAATCATTCACTGTTGCTGCGTTAGAAATTTGATCATTTTCGCACACAGAATTGAAGAAGAAAACCGTCTACGACTCGATCAGTCTGCGAGGTTGATGATCTTTTTCAATGAAACATCTTATTAAAAAATGTTTGCCTTACAGGAATTGCAAAAGCATGCAGTTTCAACAGTGGTTCGTGTCTGCGAACCAAGCTACAAAAAAGATGTTTTAGAAGGCGCTGGCATTGAAGTTCGTGACTTAGCTTACGAGGATGGAACTTTCCCACCACCAAACATTGTTGATGAATGGTTCGAGGTGTTGAAACAAAAGTAAGTTGATGAAAAATTTCAGATTTGTTTCGCAAAGAATTATAATCAATTTTCTCTCTTAGATACAGTGAGAATCCTGATGGTTGCGTTGCTGTTCATTGCGTAGCTGGCTTGGGACGGGCGCCTGTCCTTGTCGCACTTGCATTGATCGAATTGGGCTTAAAATATGAAGGCGCTGTTGAATTGATAAGAGAGTGAGTAGATAAATGAAATTACTAATTTTGATTGATCGTTTATAAATTCATTTCGATAAAATTCTTTTCTTCTTCTTATAGAAAACGTCGTGGTGCCATCAACGCTAAGCAACTATCTTACTTAGAAAAATATCGACCAAAATCGCGCTTGAAGCATCGAAATGGCCACAAGAATTCGTGCTGTGTGCAATAAAAATATCAAACATAAATCCACCAGTTTCAAAGTGTTCATTTTTTCTTCGGAAGATGTGCGTATCGTCAACGATAGTACACGATAGTGACCTTCGTGTTGTCGTGACTAATAAAAAAATCTAATGGAATGATAAAGCAAGCATACAATAGCTAAGCTCAAAGAATTTTCTTATTCATGAATTATTTTTATAATTTTAAACTTTATTTGAATTTTTTTCTATTTTTTTTTCGATAATCTTGTGGTTTTCCCCCCAAGTGTCAAAACCATCATATCAAAACTTTTTTCATTATTATTAAATTTTACATTCAGAGTATCTCGTAAATTTATAATTTTTGAGATTTTAATTAGAGAAATATCTAAAAAGAAATCGAATTAAGACAAGAAAAATTACGATTTGAATTCATTTTTCGACATTACTTAGATTTTCTTTAAAAATAACTTTATTTTACTTAATTTGTGGAAAATTTGAACACTTAAGTGAATATTTTTTGAACTGATTAGTATTTGCTGCTTCCTTGTCATTACTGACATTGAAATGATTGTCGCTTGATAACAATTGTAATGTTTAATGAAAGAAATTATTGTTAGCTTTTAAATGGAACAAACATCAATTGTATGAAGTTATGAAAATAGCAAAAGAAAAGTTCATTTTCTACACAAGTTTTCTTTCTTGGATTGTATCAATTTTCATTTTTGAAGAAATTGAAAATTCTTGTCAATTTCTTCCTATCTTTCATTGTAATTCTTTTTTTTGTATCAAAGTTTCCTCCTTCGTGGAAAGTAACGATAAGCATTTGTTTGCATGATACATGAAGACACGAAACTTTCTCAGACTTTTTTGTTTTGAAAAATAATTATCTAAATGAAAGAAAATAAATTGATAAAAAAGAATAATTAAATATTAAGCATTGCTGTGCGGGCGAGAGTGACAAATGTAAATGGGAGATAATAAAACACAGGGAAAAGTTGCATTTTTCCCATCAAACAACCCATTGATGAATGATGAGAATGATTTATAAATATTCACGCCCATGATTAAACAATTATTGGATATACTAATTATTTAGAGGGAAAGATGATAAAGAAATAATATTTCATTGCATAAATGTCTGTGCAAAATGAAAGAAGAAAAACAAAAAAATTTAAGTATAAAAGCGACTGATTTGATTTGTTGAGTCAATGTTGAAAGCAGTGAATAATTTTAATTAATTGCTTAAATCAACTCTTCAAATCAAATCCTTTACTAAAGCATTAAAAAGAAATCAAACTACACATTTAAAGAAAATAGCGCAATTGATGTAAATTTTTTGAAATGTCTAATCCTTTTCACTATTATTTTACTGTGACGAGAGATGATGAGTTAAAGCATAAAGAAACTTAGAAAAAAAAACTGCAAGAAATAATATGCAAGCCGTAACATAGCCCAAAAAGCCCATTAAGTATCTATTTATTAAAAAATACATGCATCAAAGTGTTGATTCATCAGTTGCGTAATTTATTGAAATAAAAATAATTCATACGCAGTTGATGATTCCTATTACCTAAATAAAATAATCACAACTTTTTAGATGAAAATTTAAAACAAGATGTAATATTTTAGATGAAAATGAATCCGGGTGCCTCTCTTTCTCTCTGTCTTCATAAGTTTTACAAAAAAAAAACACAAACAAACTGCAATAAGCAAAACAGCTCAGACTCAATTGTTTTTCTCTCCTTTTGAGCAGCGGGTTTACTTTTGTTCGTCCCTAAGCTCATTTATTAATCGCTATTCGATTCACATTCACTCTGATTTATTTCAGACATTAACAAGAAAATAAAAAAAAAATCAAAGAAACTTTTTACCGAATAAAAAAGAAGAGAATTTATACTTAACTTGCATAAATAACATGAAATTTTATTCGACTTAGAATCGAAACACCCGAGACGTCGAGTATTTTTTATTTTCTTATAATATTCATACGCATATGAAGATTGTAATCAAAGAAAAGTTCTTTGTATCTAATTAATAATTTTCTTGTAAATAATTTTTGTTGTTCTTTCATTTCACTTCCCTCTCATCCATCTCATTTGTTCAATATCGCTTACCCAGAAAACTTAAATAACATGAAAACACATTTTTCGAATGAAATGAAACATTGAAACTTTGATTAAATTTCGCTGATAAGATGATAAAAAGAAATGTTGCAAACAACCAACTAGATACATTAAAGAAAAATGAAGGAAAAATAAAGAAAAAAATATATATAAAATTTATCTACTTTGAAAATTTCAATTTATTGAAAGTTCTTTTTGATTTCAGAGCAGAAAGAAGTTTTTGTTGCTTATTTTAACAAATCAAAAATTAAAGTAATAATCAAGACTTCAGGAGTAAATCTTCAAGCTTTTGTCAGGATTAAATTATATTTACATACGAAACTGATCGCTCAATTCTTAGAAATATTCTCACAGGATATAAAGTTAATTTCAGTATTTTGGTAATATTTTGTTTATTTTCTTTTGTTTACGTTTTTTCTTGTGCATGCAAGAACGATTTGGAATATGGCTCACCAACAGACTTCTGTTGGCACTCTCCACCTAAAACTCGTCTCCCCAAAGTCTAGTTTCAGGTGGAGAGTGTAATTATCACGCACGGAAAAAATATCAAATTTCCAAATTTCAAAAATATAAAAAACGTTATTTTTATAAAACTATTGAGTGTCAATGAAACTTCCGATATCGTGGGAATGACCAAAGTCTATCTGATGATGACTACATTTAATGACTTACCCGATAGTTATTTTCTTACGTCAGAAGTTAAATTATATATAAATACTTAACTTGAATAGAAAAACAGGAAATAGGTAATATTTTGATTTTTTTTATCATTAAGATTTGTTTGTATGTTCTGTCGTTACCTTGTTTTTTCCAAGAAATCAAACTTCACCTTCATTAAACTTCTGTACAATAATTTTTTTGTAATTAACTAATGCAACATAAGTATTGCATCAAAATTGTCAAAGGATTTTACAGAGAGATAAAGTTTAATTCTGAATTGCAATGACATTTTTCGAAATCATGTTCAACTGATAGCAATGAGGTCAAAAAAAGAGATAAATAAAAGAGAAACATCAGTTATAATCGCAAGCTGATAAAAACAACAATGTTTTATAGTATTCTTCGTAAAATGTCTTTCAATTCCGGCATTGAGGAAGAATGATATCAATAAATTGAACTATAAAAGCACAATTGTTTTTGGGAAATGTTTCACTTCGGTTTTAGTTTTTCACATATTCATTATCAAAAGAAGAAAAAATAATTAATAAAAGTTGTGTGAAAATGAAATTTTCACAGTGTTTGGTGTTATTGATATGTTTGATGATACCAAATTATGTCATGGCCATTTGTTGGTCTGAACCTGACGGTGTAAGAAAATTATTATAAAATTATATAAAAAAAAGTGTAACATTAACGTGAAAATATTTTGAAAATCTGCAGACATTTCTTCCCGATCCTGATTCGCGAACAGATTTTTTCTACTGCAGACTAGGAAGCGCCATCAGAGCTTCATGCCCACAGGGTATGGAATTTGACCCTTTCCTTCGTATCTGTGACACAGTTGTGCAAACACTTCCACCAGTAACAAGTAATCCATGCCAAGGTGTTCCAGATGGAGTAAGTTTTAAAATATTTTACCTTCATGTCTTGCATTACATTAATTTAATTTACTAAAAAGACTTTTCTACCCGATCCATCATCGAGACAAAGATTTTTCTATTGCAATGGTGGCGAAGCTATACCAGGTCAATGTGATCCAGGAAAAGAATTTTTCCCAAATGAGAGTATCTGTGACAGTGCACAAAATCCTCCAAATCCACCACCTACCCAACCCCCACGCGGTCCATGCTTTAATCGTCCTGATGGCGTAAGAAATTTGTTATCACGAAAAGAATTTCGTGTTTAATTTTCTTCTTTAAATTAAGATCTTTCTTCCGGACCCTTCATCGAGACAAAGATTTTTCTTCTGTTCAGGTGGGGAAGCACTTCCAGGCGAATGCCCTCAAGGCCAGGAATTTTTCCCTGATGAAAGCATTTGTGACAATCCAAGAATTCAAACACCTGAACCTCCCCCAATTCAACGTGATCCATGCTTTGGCCAGATAGACGGTGTAAGTTTACATGAATTATTAAGAAAAATATTCATTTTGCTAAATAATTTGAAAAATTCATAAAGACCTTCGTACAAAATCCCGAGTCAAGAGAAGGTTTCTTTTGGTGCAGTGGTGGGATTGGCACTCCAGGAATATGTCCTGACGGAAAAATTTTTGAACCTCTGTTACAAATTTGTGATTTCGATGACGTGACTACGAGACCTCCTCCATTACCTACCACACGAGCTCCACCACCAGTTCCAACACGACCTCCACCAGCCGTCCCAACACGAGCTCCGCCAGGTGCTCCGACAAAAGCTCCACCTGCCGTCCCTACAAGAGTTCCACCAGGTGTTCCGACAAGAGCTCCACCTGCTGTTCCTACAAGAGCTCCCCCAGGTGGTCCAACAAGAGTTCCCCCAGGTGGTCCAACAAGAGCTCCCCCAGGTGGTCCAACAAGAGCTCCACCAGTCGTTCCGACACGTGCTCCACCAGGATTTAAGGAAACAAAAGCCCCATCACGACAAACCAGACCTACAAGAGCTTCATAAAATGTAGAACAATTCTTCTGCTTACTTACCTACTTGATACTTGCCTACCTTGATAGATTGGAAGTATGTTTCAAACATATGTGTTTTTCATAAGTTTTCGTCTCAGATTTTAACATCATTTAGATTAATATTTTTAATAGATAAAATAACAATTTTTTATGAGAAAAAGTTCTTTCCTTGAAAATTCCAATGTTTGTTCATTTTTTTCCAGTTGTCAATGACCATTAAACCAAATTATGCATAGGTTTGTAATTTATGACTTGAAATTTTTGAAATTTTTGGCTACATCCTTTACCATTTTATGAAGCTTTTCCTTCTTTTCCTTTCTGTTTCAAATCAAATAAAAATCTGGTTCTGTTTGACAAAAATTTATTGTTTCAATTTATATTTATTATTTTTCCTTTTAAATCATAAATACCATTGCCATCACTCATTAAGAATTCTTTCAAGATTTTGAAACTTTTTTATTTCCTATTTACATACTTTCAATATGGAAAAACTCTCTGAAATTAAGAATGAAATAGAGATTCTCGTTCGTCAAGTGCTTATAGAATTTATTGGCAAAGAAGTGATGTACAAGAATGAGCTTGTCAAAAAATGGAAGCAAATGATTGTTCACAAATGCAAAGAAGAACTTTTGAAATTAAAGAAACCTCATAAATTTATTATAAATTGTCTCATAAATCAACGTAATGGTGCTTGGCTATTCTCACATTCATCTTGTCATTTCAACGACGAAACAGATAGTGTTGTGACAGTTCAGGAATCTGATGACATCATGCACTGCGTAGTAATCGTTTACTTTTTGGCTCTTAATTGAAGTTTTCCATTAATTTCACAAATTTTTTTAACGGTCTACAATAAAAACCGTTGAAATTTGAATTTGAAAAAATATGATAAACAGCCAACTTCATTCTAGTACGGTTTTTTTCAGAATTCTATCTCGAATTTTTCTTCATTTAAGCATCATCGCTTGCTTGATTAAAGTATCATAAAAGAATTAAAACTTTATCCATTAAATTCAAAGCTCATTTAAACATTATTTTACATTCTTTCTCTTCCAATTCAGTTCTTAGTGAACATTTACATTTAACGGCCGTTAGAAAAGTCAATAAAAGTTTTGAGACCTTTCACTGTATATTTTTTTCTCAGTTTTGCATTCTCAAAAATCTAAAATATTACGATAAAAATATAAAATAAATCAAAATGGAAGCATTGATTCCTGTTGTGAATAAACTTCAAGATGTCTTCAACACTGTTGGCTCAGACTCAATTCAATTACCTCAAATTGTCGTGTTGGGAAGTCAAGTAAGTAAAATCTAAAAAAAATCGATTTTTTTCTTTTCAATAAGCTTGGATTCTTTGAAGTTTCCAAAAATTTAAGCATTACGCAACGTTTAGCATAAATTTGCCGGTTGAAATGATAAAATTATATCAGATTTTATAAAATAGAAACATTTAGTAATCTTTTTGTTTTATAAATTTTTGTCCAGAGTTCGGGAAAATCTTCAGTGATTGAATCTCTGGTAGGTCGGTCGTTTTTGCCTCGAGGAACAGGCATTGTCACAAGACGACCATTGATTCTTCAACTCATATACTGTCCCATGGATGATCGAGAACATCGATCAGCTGACAAAGGTAAGTTAAACTTTTCCTTATTTTGACTTTGCTTTATAAATTTTCAAATTTATTTTGAAGGAACAATGAATACGGAGGAATGGGGAAAATTCCTTCACACCAAAAACAAAATCTTCTCAGACTTCAATGAAATTCGCAGGGAAATTGAAGATGAAACCGAACGAATGGCTGGTGGAAACAAAGGAATCTGTCCCGAGCCAATTAACTTAAAAATTTACTCTACTCGCGTCGTTAATTTAACTCTCGTTGATTTACCTGGCATCACAAAAGTCCCTGTTGGCGATCAACCTGAAGACATTGAAGATCAGATCAAAGAGCTCATTGCGAAGTACATTGAGAACCCAAATTGTATTATATTAGCAGTAACAGCAGCAAACACAGACATAGCAACAAGTGAATCGTTAAAATTCGCTAAGGAAATTGATCCTGATGGTCGTCGGACACTTGCAGTCCTTACAAAGCTGGACTTAATGGACGCTGGAACAGATGCCATTGATATCCTTTGTGGTCGTGTGATTCCTGTAAAATTAGGCATCATTGGAGTGATGAATCGATCACAACAAGACATCATCGATAACAAAGGAATTGAGGATCAGTTGAAAGACGAAGCCGCTTATCTTCAAAGAAAATATCCGACATTGGCGACACGTAACGGAACTCCATATTTAGCAAAAACCTTGAATCGATTACTCATGCATCACATTCGCGATTGTTTGCCTGACCTCAAGACCCGAGTGAATGTAATGTCCTCGCAATTCCAGTCGTTGTTGAATTCATATGGCGAAGATGTCACTGATAAAAGTCAGACGTTGTTACAAATCATTACAAAGTTTGCGAGTGCTTATTGTGCGACGATTGAAGGAACGTCAAAGAACATCGAGACGACGGAACTATGTGGTGGTGCAAGAATGTGTTACATTTTTCATGAAACTTTCGGTCGAACACTCGATTCAATTCATCCTTTAACGGGATTAACAAAAATGGATATTCTTACAGCTATAAGAAATGCAACTGGTCCAAGACCAGCACTTTTCGTTCCTGAAGTATCATTTGAATTGCTTGTTAAACGTCAGATTCGTCGTCTTGAAGAACCGTCACTTCGTTGTGTTGAATTGATTCATGAAGAAATGCAACGAATCATCCAACATTGTGGCACGGAAGTGCAACAAGAAATGCTTCGATTTCCTAAGTTACATGAGAAGATTGTTGATGTCGTCACGCAATTATTGCGACGTCGTTTGCCGACAACAAATGTTATGGTTGAGAATTTAGTCGCCATTGAGCTTGCTTATATTAACACAAAACATCCAGATTTTCATAAAGATGCAGCTCTTGTCCCCAGCTTATTGAAGAATGATCAAATCGATCCATGGAATAGCACGCCAGGTAATCCTCCGTCCCGTCGTGTTATGAAAATGCCAACATCAGCACCAACAGTCGGACAACAGCAAAGTTCCGAACGAAATGATTCCGATGCGTCGTTGACGAATCATGCCGGTGATAATTCAACTTGGCTGTCAAATATTTTACCGCCAGCTCGAAACGGAAGCACAGAAAGCTCACAATCAAATACTCCCACGCACAGTGTAATGAGTCCAATGAAACCTGTTAACTTATTGCCAGATGTTCCCATCAACACATCGACAAGACGATTGACAGATAAAGAGCAGAAAGACTGCGATGTCATCGAGCGACTCATCAAATCTTACTTTTATATCGTTCGAAAATCAATTCAAGACTCGGTGCCAAAAGCTGTCATGCATTTCCTGGTGAACTTTGTGAAAGACAATGTTCAATCGGAGCTCGTCACACATCTCTACAAATCGGAACGTGCTGAAGAATTATTAAACGAATCCGATCACATCTCATTAAGACGTAAAGAAGCATCTGACATGTTGCAAGTAAGTTGAAAATGTTAAAATTCTTCTTCGCTATTCATGACGTAACTTTTTATTTCTTCTTTTTCAGGCGCTGACTCGCGCTAATCACATCATCAGTGAGATCCGCGAAACTCACATGTGGTAAATGATTGAATGACTTCGCTTCTTCTTTCTTCTTAGATTTCGATTTTTTTTTCTTTTAAACAATAAAAGAAACTCGAAGCATTTTTATTCTTATAAATATTTAGACTACCAAGAACTTTATGCGGTAGAGATTGACATAATTTTTGTTTCTTCTTATCTTTTCTCTTTTAATTTTATTTTTATCTATCAATGAACCCCACGAATGACAATTGAAAGTATTTCAATTTGAAGAAGAAGAAAATTTAAGCTTTTGAACATGTTTTTCGAATTGTTGATAAACGAATAATTAAAAATAGTTTAGAAGTTAAATATTTGGGGTCAAGAGTCAGTCAATATTATTTTGTAATTGAGAACAAGGAATAAATGTTTCGCATCCAAAGTATTGATATTTTAATGGAACAATTAGCACGAATGAATAATTTACAATTTGTCAGTTTTAAGTAGCTTAAGAAAGAGGAAAAAGATCAGATGATGAATTATAAGAATGTTTTGTTAATTAATTAATTAAAAATAGATTAGATACATGGAAAATATGTTTGTAAGATTTTTTGTTTTGTTTTTCTTCGGTGCTGATTTTAATGATTTAATGATTTAATGCTGAAAAAAGGTTGTTGAATGAAGGTTCAAACTTTAAAGTTCATGTCGTCAAAACCACTGCTGAAATAAATAATCAAATTCAAATCAAGAAAACAAAGAAAATCTCTCGGCAAATGAAAAAGTTTGCTTTTCTTTATTAATCGAGTCTAAAATTAATACAAAGTTTTTACCACAAAAAAGGCAAAAATCATTTTAAAAAATGTATAAATTCCATTAAAAGCATTTTCCCGAATAATTTTCTATGTAAATTTCGGAATTGAGTGGAAGAAAAGTTTTTCTTTCATTACTTAATTACTCACATGTTAATAAACGACGACATTAGCTACAATTTCAACCTTACAACTTAAATAACTTAATTAATACAATGCTAATTGATATGAAGACATAAGCTTTTTGTTATTTGTTAAGCAATCTGACCGATAGTTAAAACAGCTCTTTAAAAACTTTAAACAACCATCTAGGAAATTATTAAGAAAAATAAAATTAAATCCAATCATTCATTTGTTTCATTTGATTACAAAATTTCATTTCCGTTAATTGCTGATCTTAATAATCTAAACATTTATGTTACTAATACTTAAGGCTTGAACGCTTGCTTACAATTTTTGTATTATTTTTTTTCACTTCAACTGATTGAGCAAATTAATTACGAGCATAAAAACGAAAGGCAAGCATGATTCTTTAATTAAATTTCTATGTTGTTCAATTAGGAATTTTGAAAATGTTGTAAAGACAAAAAAAATCTTTTTAGTCAGATTGTGAAATTTTCTTTTTTTATGATGTTAATTAATGAAGTTTAATGTTGTAATCGTCATCATGACACTTGATAAAATTTTCTTTAGGAACCTTTACACTGTTTGATATTCGGCATTGTATTCATCTGGCAAAAAGCTGCTATTAAATATTTGTATATCTATTTGGAGGTAATATTCATCGTTAAATTTAATTACAATTGCTTAACAATCTTTTCAACATCTTTTGTTGATAGAAATATTTAAAAAATTTGGCACATTCTGTTCTATTTTTTGTTTGTTTCTTACGTTGATTCCATCATACGATGAACAGTCACTTCAGCAATCACCTGATGTGGCGACAATCTTTTCGGAGAGAGAATTTGTGTTTGTTCGTTTGATGGTAAATGGCGAGTGGCGTTTGTGTTTAAAGACAAAGAGAGGTCGTATGGCTGATTATTCTGTGGACTTGATATGGAAGTGTTAATGGAAGCTGAATCTGATAATGAGAAACGTTTATTGTTGTTGTGTCGATTGCTTATTGACACTTGTTGTTCTGAATCGTCTTGGTGCGTTCCCATCGTTGAATATCCATGATCGGAAGAGTCTGTGTAGCCATTTGGATGACGATAATTTGTTGCAATTCTATAAGGGGATTGAACGCCAATCGCATTCTCATTCGTGTTCAAAAGACTTTGATTCAAACTGTTCGTCATGTCATGATTCTCCTCCATCGGATGATCATCGTAATCAAATCTCGACATTTGCATCATACCAATGCAATTATTATCTTGCGAATCAGCATACAAATGCTCGCCAAATCCATTGTTGTCATAATTAATTCTATAACAGTACATTGCAAAGCCAACGACAAGGAAAAGAAGCAAAATCACTCCAATAACTGGCAAGATTGCTGAATATGTTGGTGGCAAGAAATTGTAATTCATAACAGAGTCAATGACAATGTTGTATCCGTCTCCAAATGATCCAAAAACGCCATTGTAGCAAGTTGATTCAGCAGCACAAAATGGAATCGACAGTGGCGTTTCATCGTCGTTTGTGTGGCACCTGAAAATTTAATTACATTAATTAGAAATATAAGATTTACTTTAATTAACTTACCAAACACAACCAATGACACCTAAGCAATCTTCCTTCTCCGAAAACATATCGCAGTTAAATAAATTGCATGAGTCAATCACGTCTTTAACAATTGGCGTTTGATAATTCTGAATTAATTCAGTTCGTTGTGAACATGATGAAGAAGTTTCAGTGAAATCAGTTTTGTTCATTAAACAACTGCTTGAATCTTCCAATCGACATTCGCATGGACATTCACATTCAATTTGTTCCATTCGATAACAATTTAGACAACGAAAATCAATTGTCGAACAGGGACAAAAAGCTCCACTCGTCTCTGATGTTGAATTTATGATTCCCACGAATAAATTTGTTCCTTTCACGCTCATTATTTGATATTTTGTCTTCTCAACATTCGCAAAATTTGTTATAATTTCATTGATTGAAGTGTTAAATTGATAATAACGTTGAGACGTTCCATTTAGATAATCATTGCAAGCAATCTTCTTCACAAACTTTCGTTGCATTAGAATGTCATTTGCCACATGTGATTCTTTATGTGTGATATGTTCAGGTTGACGATGATTGTCATTACTTGTTGATTCCATAACATTTGGATGTGCTAACAAGTAACCTTTGTCATTCATCAGCAGACATTTAATGTTTGCAATTTTACATTCTTCAAGTTCTTCAAGCAACATCCGATAGAAGAAACCTCTGGTGAAGTCAAGCGCAACAACAGCAATCGGTTGTTTTGCTGTTCCTGAATGTTTTGTCTCCATAATTGCATAACTGACACTGACGACATAACCAGCACCACCAGCATCAAGATATGGCTCAGTTATTGCAATTTTTCCCTTCTCTTCCATTGCTTTGATGAACCAAGGACGTCTCGTTGCTTCATAAGTGACGTCTAATGACCCGCCTGGGAATATTTGAAGAACTCCATTCATACTTGCAACATATCTTCTCACGATGTACTTCTTGAACACCGACTCGACATGTTTCTTCTTTAAAAATTCCATTATTTGATATGCACCTGACACTTCACTTCTTATTACATCAAGCAATCCCGGATTAGCGAAAAGATTTCTTGTGTCTCTTAAATATGCCATGAAATTTTGAACAGTTTGTATTTGTGATTCGTTGCTTTCTTCATTTTTATTACTTTTTATATGTGAATATGGTGATGAGAATGCTTTTGAACTCAGATGAAGAGTAATAGCATCAAATGTTGCTGTCTGTTTATAATAATGACACATATTAATAGAATTTGGCGGCACAACAAGATCAAGACGATGATAAAGTAGTTCAGGTAGCGATTTGTTTGGATCTGTCAAATGTGAGCTCGTCGTTGATGTTTTGATTCTTTGTAGAATGTCTAAATTATTAAAATTCACATCTGTTACGATACAAACAATCATAAGATTTGAAATGTGCCGCCATGTGTAAGAAAAGTTTTCTAATATTTCACTTCCATTCTCGATCTTCATCATTTTCTCCCAAAGATTATCAAAACCTTTCGTTTTCTCCAATAAACGAATGTGAACAAGATAAAATGTTTCCTTCAATGTTATCGGACGTGGATAAAGAAGTGAATGTGAAAAAGTTCTTCCATTCATGTCTGTTAAAAATTTGTAAGATGAATTCGGTTTATTCGAGTAAAGAACATCCTCAATTAAAAAGTTTAAAACAAGATCAATGCCAAATACTCCTCGTTGATCACACGTTTTTGTAAGACTCACGATGAAATCTTTACTAAAGTCTGCATCATAAAACGGAGGATGAAGAGTGAATTGATTGTTGATGAATTGTTTATAATTAAAAAGTTCGGTCAAACATAAAAGGAAATGACGTTGAAATCCTTCCATTGTTCGATTCATTAGAAACATTTGTCCATTGAGCGAGCGGTCTCCTTTCTTATGCCACCAACTTGATGTGTCCAAACCATATTTGACGAAATTTTGTGAAGCGATGTCGTGTAAGAATTGAGTTTGTGTCGGGAATTGTCGGTTATTGGCAACGATAGCGCAGATATTTATTATCACTGGATGTGGAAGGCGCGATTGGCCGATTGTTATTTCCGCTAGAACATTACGTGCATCCGAAAACAAATCCGTAACGCCTTCGGTAACATATAAAAAAGAGATCGGAAGGAGGTCACTAGCATTTGACTCTTTATAAAGTTTATTTATGACATCAAAAGCTATTTGAAAGCCTAAAGTATGATTAGCGATTCCATTTGTTCTGTTCGCACTATCTAGGAAATCATAAATCTTATGTTTTATTGTAGGCGTTGCCTGTGTCATCACTTCACTTTGACATGAATCTGGCCGCGAAAAAAGTGTCACTTTATCAGCGATTAAAATTATCGAAACCTTATCAGTATCGTTGAGTGCTGAAACGACAGTCTTTGCTATAGCTCTGGTAGTGTCCATTTGTTCTGACGTCTGATCGACGAGTAAAATGATTCTTTTGTTCACAATGGCAGACGCATAAAGTCTTGTAAAATGGGAAACTTCAGGAACGTAATTACAATTTTCAATTTTTCCCTGATCTGATGTTGAAAGAAAATATTGACGAAAGGATAGCCACGTTTGATCAGCTTTTCCAATATTTTCAATGAGATAATTATGGAATATTAAATTTCGATCATTCAGAATATCAAAATTTATTTCGCCTGAAATATTCTGATAAATTTCATTGTAAAAATGATTGATTTTTACTTCTATCTTATCATCGTTTGGACATGGATTCATTAAGCTATAAAAAATTTGTCGTTTATGCTCCTTGTTTGTGAGAAATGAACAAATTTCTTTAATTATCTTGATGGCTGGATTCAGTTTTAAACTGATTGATGCAGCGATTTTTTCAACCGCTATTGTGTCATTAATAATATGTTCGTGGAAAGTCCACGACTCAATGATATCCTGTATAATAGGAATACCAAGCTCTTCATTCTGAATTGTTTTCAATTTCACTTGAATTGATTTTTCCAGCAGGTTCAAATTTTCCGAATTTTGTTTTTCAACTTTTGATATATTTGATAAAAGCTTAGGCACTTCAGGAATCAAGAAAACATTATTGCTAGATGAACTTAACACTATTTTACACACTAAAAGAAGCACTGAATATGTCAAAAACATTTTGTTTTGAATTTTTTGTATTTGCGTAAAAAATCATTTTTTTATTACAATGAAGTTGTTTGACATTTTCGTGGGGATACTTTAGGGGTCGTTCGCTGAAGATGTCATAACAAAAATAAAAAAAGCTTGAAACAAGCTTAAAATTCATCAACCTTGGAAATTATGAATGGAATGATTATTTTTATCCCTTAAAAAACTTTAATTAGTATATAATAAACCTGAAATCTCGTGAAATTCATTAAAATGCGTCAAGATTAATTTTCTGATTTTTAGGCGTTAAAATTTTGAGAGAAAAAGTCAATGACTGGAAAAAATTACCAACTACGTTTTTAACTCCCAAACTTCATTCCTTCACGTATTTTTTATGCATACGTCATTGACATGAAGTAAATTTCATAATGTTATGTTTTGGTAGTGAAGCTCCGATTTGTTGATGAATATTTTGTGAAAAATCATAAGTTTTTATTCAATCATTAAATATCACACAAATGCCTGAAATTCATAATAAAACAATTCATTCCTTCAGTAGTGAGGATTCTGTAAGAATAAAAGCTTTAAATTGTCATGAATTTGAATGTTATTAAGTAAATTTTCTATTTACAATTTCCAGCAATTTCCCGCTCGAAATCTTTTGGAAACAAAAGTTACAAAAAAATGGAAATGTCAAGAAACAGGAGAGAAAAGTTGTTTTGTAGTGTTAAAGCTTGACGAACCTCGTCAGATATCCGGCATCGATATTGGAAATGAACATTCTGGGTTTATAGAAGTGTTGGTAGGAAATTCCAAACAAGATCCGCCGACGTTTAAAGAAATCCTCCTTGCGACTAGTTTCATGACAATCGTTGAAGCAAAAAACGGAACAAATCCCCATCGTGTTAGATGCTTTACGCACAGTTCATTAGTGGAATCGGTGGCGAAGGAAAAATGCGATCTTGTGAAGATTGTTTGTACGCAGCCTTTTAATAATAAATTAAAGTACGGACTTTCATTTGTAACGCTTCACACACCTGAAAATATCGAAGATGACGACCAGTCGCCTGTTAAACAATTGCCCTTACCTGTAATCAAACCTGAAGATTCCAATGAGAAAAGAAGAAAGTTTGGAAAATTTACGCTACGAGCAAGTTCCGGTTCCGATTCTGATCATGAAAAGGAAAAGAAAAATCCTTTGTCACCTTTCGATCGGTGGAAGAATTTAAAAAATAATCCACAAGAAAAGAAGGAAAATGTAAAAAGTCAATTCAAGACGAAGATTGAAGAGAATCGTAAAAGAATTCGAACACTTCCTGACTCGTCTGATGATGAACCTCCAAAACCGAAAGTCAAATCTAATCGTAATCGAAGCTTAGGACTTGTTTATGAAGATGAAGATGACGAACCCAATGAAATGCTTCAAAAGAAAATGGATCGAGATAAGAAAATGAAAGAAAAAGAACAAAAAACTCATTTAAGTCTGCCAATTAAACGTGACAAAACTCCACCGAGATTAAATCCAACAAAGTCGAAATTTTCTTCATTTATTTCTAGCGATCAACCTTCAACATCGAAAGATGTGTCGCCAAGAAAATCTTCAAAACCTTCCACATCACCTTCTAAAACTCCTTCAAACAAATCCTCAAATCATCAAATAAAACCGAAGAAAATTTCTTTTAAACCTTTCGAAAAACTTTTAGAAGGCGTCACATTTGCTTTCAGTGGTTACGTCAATCCCGAGCGAGGAATTTTACGTCAAAAAGCTATTGACATGGGTGCTAAGTATCGATCAGATTGGGACAACAATTGCACGCATTTGATGTAATTAAATTATCATTTAAATTAAAAAATCTAATTAAATTTCATCTTACAGATGCGCTTTTAACAACACTCCAAAGTATCATCAAGTAAAGGGACATGGAAAGATTGTCACTAAGCGATGGATTGAAGCTTGTCACAACAATAAGAAACGTTTGCCTTGGCGTCGTTTTGCATTGGATAAAGAAGATATTAACAAATCAGAAAGTGAGGAAGAAATTCATGAAATTCAAAATTCTGCAATTGTTGAGCCAGATTCGGATGATGACATGATGGTCGTTGATAAACGCGTTGAAAATGGAAATTCGGAAGTGAAGACGAACAAAGTTGTTATCGAAAATGACCTACGTGATGTGTTAGAAGTTTCAACTGATGATGAAATGAACGGAAATGAGCCAAAAGTAAATTCAACTCAAGCTGAAAATCAAGTCTTTAAAAATAAAATATTTTACTTGAATGAAGACTTGTCTGCAACTGAAATAATAAAACTTAAGAATCAAATTCAGGATATGATGGGACGAGTCACTGAAAATCCTAGAAAAGCAACGCACATCATTTCAGCTTCAGGGAAGCGACTTCCAAGAGACTTTTCTGGTGAAGTTATTAAACCTCTTTGGGTGACCGAATGTCATGAACTTGAAGCTCTTATACCATTAACACGTTATAAACTTCAATCAAATTAATTTTATTTCCTTTCAAAAAATTGAATAAACTTTATATTTAATTAATTACACAATCATTTCAAGTTCTCGTGCATAAGAAATTGCCATTTCAGCTAATTCAACTGATGGAATTGGTTCCTTAGCTTTTGGTGTTTCACTGGCAAAATGATAAAAGTTGTCAGTTCCGAGGGTCCATTTACGCTTTTGAGCGAAAGCTGTGACTGCATCTTTTGATGGTAACTGAAGACGTTTTCCTGCTTCTTGAACTGAAATTCTTTCATAGGCTTGTTCGAGGCATGTGCCGATCTCATTGCGAACCGTATCAAGAAGAATATCAATGAAGAACTTATAACATTCAGCTGGAGAATTACCTTTGGCCATAAACAACTTATTGTAACGACCTTCCATCAAATACTGTTCCAATTCCAGGGAGTGTTTGATGAATTTATTCGATTGAATGATGTTGCATGGAAGCAACTCCAACTCAGTGTGAAATTCAGCAACACGATTTTGAGACAAAAGAAAGAGAAGATTCAAACCAAGCAACTTGAATTTGTTGTCCGATTCAGGAATTTGATTTTTATAATCGTAGTAATAACATTTGAGTTGCGAGATGTACCGCTCAAACGACTGGATGTTTTGGATTGCGACACTGAACTCTGCACCGATTTCTAAAATATCGCGAGCAAGAATCAATTCCTGTTGAGAAGCTTTTGCATCAGTTGGCATGTATGATATTTCTAAGAGAATAATCTGTAGCAACAAGAATAGAGATTAAATAGAAATTAAGGATAGAAATTAATTTTTTTTGTTTACCTTTAATTTCTCGAGTAAGATTCCACATTTCTTTAAATCTGGTTTCGGTTTACCGAATTCTGCTTTTAACTCTTTGAACGATTGATTTGCTTCACTTAATGGTGCCATTTTATAGCAGTTTATTTAATTTTAATTGAATTTCTTTCAAAAATGTTAAGAAGAATTCTGTCAAATCACTGTGACGTACAAACAAAGTTCAAGTCTTAATGTCGGTTAGACAGAGTTCAACTTAGAGAGGGTTTCATTACTTGCCATTTTACCAAAGTTTAATCGTTTTTCGAATTTCTAATGGCTTGGATTTAATTTTTTGTTTGATTAACATAAATTCAAGAATATCTTCTGTCAAAAAGTTATCAAAAACTTGTGAAAACTTATCAACATTTGTTAGTGAGTAAAAAAAGTTAATATTTTTGAAAAACTCTGAAAATTTTCTATAATTACGTTGACGCGGGATTTAAAAGTAAAATTTCGTTCCAAAAAATTTCAAAATAAACATTCCAAAACAATTCAAAATTCTTATCGAATTCTAATATATTCTAGTTTGATGAAAATAAAGAATGGGACGTGGATCGAAGAAAGCGCAAGAACCCACAGCTAAGGAAATAGATGAATCTCCGACGCAAACAGTTACTCAGACGCGAGCAAGACGAACGCCAAAGCCAAATCCCAAGTACACAAATGAATCAGTCGTTATTCCTCCGAAAATTGAATCTGAAGGATCTTCGGACACTGAAGAAAAAGTTGGAGATGAGAAAGTTGTAAAAGCAGCAACGATTAAAAATGCTGGTGAAACTCCCGCATCAGTGAAGACTGGTAAACCAAGAGGAAGGCCACCAGCAATAAAAAAGCAAAAACTTGAATATAGTGAAGCTAATGATGATGAGAAAGGATCAAAAGAAGGAGAAAAACCAACACGTTCCACAAGATCAAAGCTTTCAGACTCTAAAGATACTCTCAAAGTTGGCGAGGAATCTGTCGAGATTGTTGACGTTTCGAGTATCATAGCGAAAAGTCCCGAACTAAAAAAGGAGTCTCCTAAAAATCCACGAGGACGAAAACGAGCTGTTCAAGAAGAGTCACCGAAAGAGTCGCCAAAAGACGAAGGAAACAAGAAAAAGAAGGAAGAAGAAAAACCTTCATTGATAACGGCGCGCAAATCTTACATGCCAGCAAGAAAGCTTGAAAATAAAGACAAGCCTAAAGACGATGAAGACGATGATAACGACATTGAGTTGATTGAAGAGAAGAAAGAAGAGACTCCACTTGAAACACCAAAAGCTCATGTTAATAAAAATCGTCGCGTTGCAGGAGTTATCGACGAGACACCAAAATCTGAACTTGAAAAGAAATTAAAGTCCGATGAAGTCAAAGCTGATGAACCAAAGCGACTTCCAATTATGAGGAAAAGTGAAATAACACGAGCTTCTCCCGCTGCGATCGTCAAAGCGTCACCAGCAACTTACACTCCTAACAAAACAATTGCAACGCTTCCAACAAAGATTATAAATAACAACACAACTGGAGTCAAGCCCATTCCTCGTATTCTCAATTCAATGGTCACACCAAAAGGAAAACAATCGCCTAATGTTAAGCTTGCTGGTGATGGTACAGATAAAAAAGTTTTCTCAATCGATTTAACTGATGATTCGATAAAGGAAAAGAAGATTATTATATCTCCTGTTAAAACATCACCAATCAAAGCTACTCCCGTTGCTGCCAAGGAGAATGTTGCTTACAACAAACCTCAACCGTCTTTGGTGTTAAAGAATAAGCTTGAATCGGAATTAATTCGTATGAAAGCTTCGGCGAATATGATGAGACGACAAATAGTAACGCCAACTCAAGTAGGAACACGCAAATCACTTCCTCATTATGTACAACAAAATGCAGCACCAGGTGGAGCTCGAAGAATAACGAAATTTGAATCGTGGTATGTGATCGATGTGAAAAACCGAGAACCACCACCGAGACATTCACATAAACATTCAGTTTCATTAATAAAAATTGGGAATGCAATAAAGGAACTGCAAATGCCATCATCTCAATGGGATTACAAAGTGACGCTTCAACGACGTTTACCACGTCAAGAGACTAATAGTGAAGAGGATGAAGAGGAAGAAGTTTATACTGGCGATGGAACTGACAAAATTGAAGGTGACAAAGCTAATTATGAGCCAAGCACAGTTTTGTTCAAGAGAACGCACCGTGAGAATAACAAAATATCGATTGATCGGTCACTTATGATGAAACAAAACATGTACACAATCACGATGAATGGTAAACAATGTAAGTTGATTGGGGCACCTGATGACATCAAAACGTTAGAAGATTTAGAGATCTTGCTCAACATTATTGATTCGTGCACAATCTCGCATTCATGTGTGGAACTCGTTACAAACCACGATATCATTACGATAGCTTAATCGTAAAACACTTTTTTTGATTTGATGAAGCTTGCAAATGGGAACAGCAACATTAAAATGAAAATTTCATCATCAATTTGAAATGATTTAATTAAATATTATTTTTAGCTAAAGTTTTTTTTGTATTGTTTACTGGAAAATATTTCAAAATTCCAATAATTCGTTTTCAATTCTTTTTGCAAGCTTTTAAATTTCCCAACTCCTTGCAAAATATTTTCATTTCCAACAATCCAATTTTATTTAATCTGAAAGTAAGTTTTTCCTTCCGAAAGATTAATAAGCCCGGTAAAAATTAACACAAAAAAGATGAGAAGAAGAAAATTAGTGTAATAAGAATCATTAAAGAAAAGGACAAAACTTTAAACAAAACACACACAAAGCATCTAAAAATCGTTCTATTTGAAACAACTTTTTTTCTTATCTACATAAAACAATTCACTTTACCTTTTATAATTATTAAATGAAATATGATTAAAATTAAAATGTAAAGAATTATCACAATAGAAATTGTTTGAAATAAAAGTAAAAAAATGTACAAAAAAAGAGAGAAATGGGCGCAGTTTGGTTGTTATGCACAAATGACTTTTGAATCAGCAACAGAGAGGTAATTTAACAATCAGTCGACATCATGGTGAGATTAAATATTTATAGAAATTAATGAAAACGAATTTAATTATTCTTATTTCAGATCATTTTCAAGCGTGCGCAAACCTAGAAAGATCGTCAAACAAATATTTTTGGGTAAGTGAATAAGTTTACATTTTTATGATTCTTAAACATTTTTTTGTGATGAAAAATTCTTGTGTATATTAGATGCGATTCCATATGAAAGCAAATCGAGTAGTTTAAATGGGTAAATCGGTTTCGATTGCATGTTGAACGCTCATTTGTTTATATATTCATTAATGGAAATTACGCTCTAAAATGATTTTGCAAAAGTTTTCAATCTGAAGAAGATATTTACAATATTGAATACAACAATGCTTAAAAATCTAGTTAATAAACTGTTTTTTTCTCTCTTTTATTTACAGATTTGCACAGAAAATTTCAGCCTTCTGTTTCATTTCAAAAAACAAAGTTCGCAGATTTCTAGGTAGATTTCTATTTCAGGTGCTGTCTATAAATACTTCTTATGAGCAAATAAAATATTTATAAAAAAATTAAGAAAATGAATTATTATCATTTTAATAAAAGATCTCAAAAAAGACAGATGGGTCAGTCACCAAAGGAAGAAATAAAAATAATTTATTCGCAAAATATCGATTAAATATTTAACGACTTTTTCAAATTTTTTCTGAGGTGAAGTTGAAAACTTTTTTTCTTTCTTTCGGTCAGTGAACAACTTCTATTCAATCGAGTTGTGTTCCTTGTTCATGTTCTGTTTTTGCTTAAAAATGCAGTAATTCGAATCAATAAAGAAAGCAAAAGTGTGAAATTAAATAACAAAAGCTACATTTTATTGAGAGTAATTGATTATTTCCAATAAAAAAAGCTACAAATTGTACAAAACAAATAAGAATTGCTTTGTCTCCATCGTTGTTGTTGTAATGAATAAATAAATAAGATCTTATATTAAATCGCATAATGCGATGATTAATGCTTGTTGTGACTGATTAGATAAGTAAAAAATCAATTTTTGCAAGGTGCGAACAAATTAAATGTGCTGATAAAATTGAGAAAAAAAACTTCACATTAAAAGGACTTTCACACCCAATAAGAAAACAGAAAGAAAAAAGAAAAAAAAGTGGAAGTTGGAAGAAACTTGAGAACTTTTTTTATGGATGCCGAACCATATTCATTGTCACATCCCAGTGCATCGTGTTTTTCACTCTTTTTAAATTGTCTTTAAATTAAAATGCACTTGAATGCATAATCGCTTATATGTGAAGTCATTCAGTGTGTGCTGGATTCCGGAAATAGAACATTTTAAGTGATAAGAGCGTTCATTGAACTAACAAGAAGAAAAAAAACTTGTCCAAAAATAATAAAACAAAAAAAAAAGAAAAAAGAAGAAGAAAATTAAGACATTTCAACTCCCCCATACGATATTCAAACAACATGTTTCCGTAAGTAAAATTTCAAGTGAAACCTGATTCCGAGTGTCCATAAATTGAAATTAATTAACTTGCTTTTTTTTTCTTCAACATTTTTATTTGGTTTATAATTTTTTCTTGAACTTCAATCATGAAAACTATTAAAAATATTAGTGAACAAAGTATAATTGGAGCGAGAGCATCAGTAATGGTGTATGATGAGAATCTCAAGAAGTGGATTCCATCAGGAAATTCCTCGGGTCTTAGCAAGGTTCAAATCTATCATCATCAACAGAATAACACATTTCGCGTCGTGGGACGTAAATTACAAGACCACGAAGTCGTAATTAACTGTTCGATTCTCAAGGGATTAAAATACAACCAAGCAACAGCGACATTTCATCAGTGGCGTGACGCGAAATATGTTTACGGGTTGAACTTCTCTAGTCAGCAAGATGCCGAAAATTTTGCACGTGCCATGATGCACACCTTAGAGGTGTTAAGTGGACGTGCAGTAGCCATACCCGGTCAGCCGCCAAACACACAAAACTCGTCCTACGATGAAGATATGGGATATCGTACGATGACTCGTGAAGACGCGGACATCATGAATCAACAGCAGATTATTTCGCCACAAACACCAACAGCACAGACAATGAATCAACAGCATCAGGGACATCATCGAGCGAGCAGGTGAGTAACAAAAATTTGATTGTTGATCATTTTCATGATTTTCAAATTATTTAAAGTGCTCCTGGTCCACCACAAATGCCAACAATGTCTGTTCTGCCTCAACAACAACCACAGCAGCAGATGCAGATGCAACAACCGTATCCAATCTACGCATCTGGTGCTCAGATGAACAATCATCAGAATCAACAGAATGGCGGGCCTCCAATTTATGTTCCATCGTCCATATCAATTCAAAATTCATTGAATACTGTTGCGACAACTGTGAAGCCGAATCCACCAGTGCCACAGAACAATATTAGTAATAACAACAATTATGGACATGGACAGATGATGAATCAACATCAGCAGCAAGTAATTCCTCAAGCTCAGCAATATATTCCAACATTGCAACAACAAGTCAGCGTTCCATCAGCGCCTGTTCCGCCTCCACCGCCAGCGTTCCAAAACAGCGCTCCTCCATGTCCACCACAAATGCCGAATGTTGCACAAGTCGCGCCGAATAATGCAAATGTTGGATCAGGACCAGCAATTGGCGGTGGCGCGCCACCTCCCCCTCCACCTCCTCCAATGGCAAAACCTGGTGGAATGGACATGGGATCATTGGCAGCTCAACTGCAACAAGCAAAACTGCGCAAGACTTCAGGGCCACCAGCGCCACCAGCTGAAAACAGTGGCAACAGCACTTCAAGCAGTGGAAGTGGAAACTATGGAACAATCGGACGAACATCAGGTGCTGGTGAAATGGCATCGATGATGGATGAAATGGCAAAAACATTAGCAAGACGTCGGGAACGTCAAAAGGATTCTGTAAGTGTTTACAATTTCATTCATGAAAAGCATGAAAATTAATTTTTGGTTGTTTTCCAACATTCAGACACAAGACGGAGACGAATCGCGTGACAAATGGGAAAAATCAAACACGCTACCACATAAGCTTAGCAGTAGCAACTCGCAAACACTCCCATCATCATCGTCATCAAATGCAACATCATCACTGGCTGATTCACCGCAATCTCGAAAGCGTTTCGGTAGTGCCAGTGAAGAGACCATTTTGAAGGTTTGCATAAATATTTACTTAAGTAATTATATCTAAATATAATCATGAGTTAGCGAGAAAACAGAAACATTAATGACACTGTTTATTCTATCTATTTAACCTTTTTTCTTTCTTCTTCTTATAGCAGGTGAATGGAAATGAATTTTCGCTACCGCCAGCATTCGACATGAAAGCCTTCAAAGCGGAAATCCTAAAAGAAATGCGAAGCGAAATAACCAAAGCAAAGAATGAAATCATTGACGGTGAGTGTCGCTTGTTTCCTTGCTTACATTTATTTGTTATATGAATGACGTCACAATGAATATGATTCATCAGAATCACGAATTTTGCTTTTTTTCCGCGGAAAAGTCAGTTGAAGAAATTTCCGTTTCGATGAGCAATCGATGAGAAAATTTTCTTTCGATTCGTTTTAAATGGAAGTGAAACAACAATTTTTTTTATTCTCTTTCATTTAAACGTTGCTTCGATAATCTAAACAAAATATTTTAAATCGCACAATATTTTCAACATTTCTTTCTTCTTTCGTGATTTTATTTTTTTAGCTATCAAAGTAGAGCTGAATCGACGCCGATAAACGTAAGTGAACAACGCATGGCGAAGACCTACATAAATAAATTTTTATCATCGATCTACGATTTGATTTTTTTATCTCATTTCCCTCATTACGTGATGGGAAAAAATGAAATGTTTAAGTCTAATAAGTATTTATAATTATAATACAATTAACAAAAATTGATTTCTTCTCCGATTGACATTTGTACGTAGAATTGCATATAAAATCCTTGACTTATTTAATCAAATTGATTGATTAGATTAACTACTATTTGGATAAAAGTTAAAAAAATAAATAAATCGGAGATTGTACGGCTGATAATTGATAAATATTAAAAAAATTATTAATTAACGATAAATTAGTAATAATGGCAGATGCACACAACAAACCCATTATTTAATTAAATATTTTTAAAGAAATATACAGAAAACATGTCCACAGACAAATGTAGGCAGAAAACAAAGAAATTTTTTCCTTCTTTATTTCTTTTCCTATGCACAATTGAATGTGCAAGTGATTATGATCGAGAATTATTCATAAAAATATGTTAGAGTAACTAAACTTTTTTTTTTACTAAATACTACCTTCATGAATATACCGAGAATGGAATATTTAAGTGATAAAATATATTTGTGACAATTGAAATGTGGCGGAGATAGACGGGCGCAGTATCAATAACAACAGCAAGAACCTTTTTCATTAACTCATTGAACCAGTATCAGTATAGATATCAGTTGTGTAGAACTTATTGAATGAACTTCACCAAAACAATGGTTGAAGATCAAAAAGTATTATTTTTATTCTTTTTTACTAAAAGCATTATCTGTTTTGTGTCGCAAATTCAGTGCCGATGATGACACACCCAACCGCAGGAATTTTTAGATTTTTCCACAAAACTCTTGAAACTGCGACACATACCGCAGAATTAAAATGAATACGAAGAAAAATATGTATTATAGTTATTGAATATCTTCCAAGGAATTTACGGTTTTCCCCAAAGAAAAGCCGACCAACCGAAACAAGAAAGAAAACATTTTCATAATTTTTCATAGATGATAATTTTTTTCATACATCAAGCGAGAAAATATAAAAATAAATAGAAATAAGAATCATGTCTAGTTGTGAGCGTTTTCCCAGCTTTTTGCAGGGATAAATGATGTTTCGTAATTAAGAGAAGTAGTTAAAGTTAAAAGTTGTATGTAATTTATCCATTTCTTCCCTCCCCTTCCCCCTCATTCAATCACAAGTAATTTATTGCACAACCTGATCCTGTTTAAGAAATTTAAAATTTAAACATGTAAAAGAAAACAAACATTGAATGGAAATTTTTTGGATCAAAATAATCAACATAAAAATATTTTAACTGTTTGCACGCGAAAGAAGAGAAAAACTTTTTCCTGATTCTTTTCAATGTCATTAACTAATCGGGAAGTAAACTTTTTAAATTTTTGACTTAATCAAATCGAGATGAAAAAATAAACAATCATTTACTGTTTCAGGATAAAGAAAACAGAAAACAAACGAACGGCGAATCTAATTAATATTAATTAAGCGGTTATATAATGAACAGTAAAGCTCCCAAATAGCGCTAATATTGCTAATGTATAGAATTTATTCGTGACATTTCTTATAATTTTTACTGATGAAAAACAAAAGCAACAAATAAAGTTAAAAAAAATATTTGATAAATGAATTTTTTACATGATGCAATGATTACAATGAAACTACTTATCCGCATAAAATTAAGGCCGAATAAACTGATCATGAGTAACATAAAATACTTATCCAAAAGAAGTTAAAACACTGAGTATTCGTCCCTTCTGTGTGCATTGTGCATGGTTAAAAGTAAAATAAATCAAAATTACAAGGAAAAATTAATTTGAGGGAAACTTTGGATCTTTATGAAAAATTGTATCAACTGGAAAAATGTTTGCTAGAAATTCTGTGTGCGTTCGTAACTAAATGATAAGATATGAGAAGACGAAATTGAGATGATACGCTAATGTCTTTAATTTTAATTATTATCATTTTTTTTTATTTTAGAAGAAAGACGATATCTAAACATTTTTTTAAAAAGCTTTTCACATTATAGTTCTTAATAAATCAAAAATCTAATAAAGAAAAATATTTTACAAATTTTCCTTGTACGATAAGTTTTTTAAAGCATTTGATTTTGCTACATTCATAAAAAATAATAAGCAAGACAAAGAGGGAGCGAATTGATTGTGAAAATATATGCTAGGTAGACGACATATCGTCTCGGTTGTAGTAGAAGATTATAAAAAATAACCTGAGAAGAACTTTTGTCTTGTCGCGTGCCTTTTGTGCATTTCTTAGATAAACGAAATTTAAAAACAAGCACATACAGTAGACACATTTTGAAGAAGACTCATGAAAGAATATTAAAAGTTCTTTTTCCCTCCCTCTTCGAGAAAGCATTTCTTATTTCACATGATAAATGTTTTCTTACTACCTAGACTTGAGCGCTTTATTTTTCTGATTATCCAATTAAGTTTAGATATTGATCCGCTAATAAGTTTATGCTGATTAATTTATATAAAACAAACTATTGATAGTAAAAGCTAACGATAATTATACAACATTATCTACACATAATTCTGATGAATAAAAATAAAATTCACTAATTAATGCATTTTTACTGACCTATAAAATAAAAACATATTATGAAAATTAACGGTAAGTTTTATAGCAAAGATTTAACGATTTATTTGAAAATGGTGAGTTTGCTGAATAGACTGTGCGACATCTATAGTCAATTTTGATAAGGTCAGGAGAACTCTTACAAATAGTGGTGGAAAAATAAAAATTTGCTTTTTTTCTTCGTTTAGTTATTGATAACACCCATAGGCGTGAAGTAACAAGTGACTCTAGACGTAACAATTAGTTTTTCACGAAACATTTGAAGTAAGGTGTGGATGTAGTTAAAATTCATATTTTCTTTTCGCAAATTACAAAATTATACGAAAATTTAATATCTTCTTTGGAACCTCTTTATTGTATGTTAATTACATTTGTGAACATTAGAAAAGTGTACCTTAAAGTTGTGTGTTTGTATAAATTGATGGATTTAGAATGCGATAATTGAATTGTATTTATTTTTGTACCTCTTAGAACATCCGGTGACTAAATTGTTGCATAAATATTACAATCCAGTCGTGAGTCATTTTTGTCATAAATAAGTTAATGAAACATTTTATTCGATATTCAAAATTATTAAATTTTTCTTGAAACTTTCCGTTGACTCCCTCTTCATGAACGCATATTTAAGCCATCAATTGTAATCGATTCTTTATATTATAAATAAATCAATCGCTTACTTATATCAGATAAATCTTCATTCGTTTCCAGCGACCATCAGGTGTCTAATTAAAAGCATTTATCTCGTTAAGATTGCGCGCTTCAACCGAGAGAAATAAATGTTTATGTGCTTATTGTAGTGGTTGAAAAAGTGAACACAAAAGGAAAAGAAACAAAACAACGTTAAGCTCGTAAATTAACAAAAATAGAAATACCGCGCCATTCTTACTGAAAAGTCGCTGTTATCGCGACTTTAACACGAAAAATAAAGTATTAATTTCCATCGAAACACATAATTACTGTTAGCATGGCTGAAGCCGGTGAGCAACAAACAGCAGCAACCAATTCCAATGCTCAAGTTATACGAGGGCAAGTGTTTGAAGTTGGTCCTCGTTATACAAACCTCGCGCACATCGGAGAAGGAGCTTATGGTGTTGTTGTGTGAGTAGATATTTTTTTATAGATTTTTTTCAATGTCCCATCCAATTAAGACTTTCCCCGTCTTCAAAAAGTATTTTGATGTTGATATATCGCTTGGAATTAATGCGATTTTCATCATCATGATAGAGTACATGCTAGAAGTGCAGATAGAATCTTTATTGTTCATAATGCCACGGATTACAGAATGATTTAATACATCTACATACATTGAAATACTTCATGAAAAGCTTGTTTACAAAGTTCCTTTTACTTTCAACATTTGCTCAATCCATTCTCGTGCCATTCTCAATTATTTTCTTCATGTCTCCTTGCAATATAAAACCGCACCCAGGACAAAGCTCAGCAGACATAAATTTACTTAGAAATTAAGATTGTTCAAATATGCTGTCATCCAATAAATGGAAATGAAAATTCCCATAAGTTGTCTCGTTTAATACATTTAATGGACTTTTACACATTAGATTGAGCTTTGACATTAGATCATTTTACATATAGGACATTTTATTTATAGAAAAAGATTAATAATTTAGTGACAGCAAGTTTTTTGTGTATTGTTATTGAATATTGAAGGTATTCCTTTCTTTTTCACTTTCATTACATTTTCAATGTCATGACAACATAAAGTAGTCATCAAGAAACCTTTCATTGTTTTGTATCAACATTCAACTGATTAAAATCATGGATCGAATTTTCTTTCTTCAATTTCAAAGGAAATATTCTTTGATTATGTTTTGGTGTTAGAAACCATTTTTCCTCACCTAAATATTATTCTATATCAAAACGTGATTTCAATGTTGAGGATGTATTGAAGTATTTCTCGTCTTTCGAAGGTGTTTAATTTCTTATTTCCTTTTGAAGTGTAAAATATAAAAAATTATTTATTAAGTAAACTTTCATATTTATCTTAAGGCTTATGCTTTACCAATCGAATTATTATTCATAGAACCAGAAAGACTTTGCTTTTTTGGTACTTAAATGATTCCTTATGATTTCATTTTATCAATAAAGTCAAATTGAAATCAATTTCGCGACAAAAGAAAGATTGTAAACAGTGAACATATTTTCGACGATAAGTTTAATGCTTTATTGTATGTAGTAGTCAAAGTCATCATTTGAATCGTGAATCGATGACATGGTAGATGAATATTGAAACCTAATACAAAAATCTTGATAACATATCTGAAAATTGAAAAAGAATTATGTAGTTGGTTATTTGTTTGCTTGTGTGTTTCGCTTATCATTAACAGTGATAACTTCAGTTTGCCAGATATTAATTGAAAAATCTACTAACAAAATATTTGAGTTGACATTTTTTTCATATCAAATCACGAATGATTTTTATTCCTATATCTAACTAACATCATCGATAAATCTCCCATTTGGTGATGTCCCATTTCACATTTCACTAAAGTTTTATTTATTTTCCTTATTTTGTTTGCAAATCACGTAACATCAGCTTCTGGGTAAGCATGTATGATTGATTGGCTTTCATCACAATTGCTTCCACGACTTGGACTTATTTTCTTTTTTTAAGGGTATTCTTAAATTTCTTTTCTATTATTTGAAATCATTTAGATTGTTCCATTAAAATTATATGATTGAAAGAACTTTCTATTATAACAACCAATAAGGGTTCAATTATTAAATGTCTATATTGTAATTTATATTTCAAAAAATATGCTTGTTTAATCATTTCTTGAAGATGTTTGCAGAAAGTTTAGAAGAAATTTAATCATCCACTCATTGAACTCATTTGTGAATGCTCGAAAATGTTTATTTTTCCGAAACATTTCATTTTTGATGTATGTTGAAGAAATTTAGGAACATCTTTGGTAGAGTTTTGACAAGTGCTTGTTAAAAGGACAACGCAATTGAATCAGAATATTCAATAACAGTGAAAGAGAAAAGTTCTCATCGCTAATGCATGAAAATTTTCGTATATTTTCTAAATCGAGTAAATAGAAAAGTTTCAAACAAGATTATGGTTAATATACTTACTTACTGTTAAGTTCCGAAAAGTTCATCTTTCACTTAACTTAAAGACATCCTTGGAACTTCCTTGATCTATTTATCTGAAAAAATACTCTAATAGAAGAAAAAGAAAACTGAAAACCAAAGAAAAGTAATATATAATTGACATTGAGACGAAATCCAATCAAGAAACTTCTCGTATAATGATTCTTAATTAATTGGACTTGACAAATTATCTTTCATGTCGTCAAAGACGACAAACACATCAATAAATTAGGATTAAAAGAAATCGAAATTTAGAGTAAAAATCGTTCAGAAATGATATGAAAACGATTCCATTCTGAGCTTTCATTTTTGTTTATCAAAAGGTCCAAATGCTTTGAGGCAAAATCCCTTTCAAATACGAAGTTCAACAAGTTGTATGTGAAACAAGAATACAAAATCTTTAAGTTGGAAACAACTCTGGATAGCATTTTTGTATTTAAAAAGCGTCTTGAGGATGCTTTCGATTAAAGAGGAGGTTTAGGATGAGATTTCTCTTCCTTTTGAAGTTTTTTACTTGTGCAAGAGATTTTAGGAAATATCGTCAGCAGATTTGTATTACGTGACTCTCAATTATGCTTTCTTTTATTAAAAATTCAAACCGTGCGATGTTTATATTTAATTTTGAAGATTTTATTTTCGTGTTTGGCTTCTAGTGGAACTTGCTCGCTTCTCTTCCATTTATGCTTAACAGAATGAAGATTTTTGATCTGGGAAAAAAGAAAATTATTTGATTGATAACAAAAAAACTCCAACAGAATTAAATTTTTCCAACGAGTTTATTTGATATCATAAAAATATTATTCAAGCATAAATTTCTTTTCATACATATCAACAACACGCGTGTTTTCAAAAGCGTTTCTGAGATGTGCCTGTGAGTATAAAAGGAAATATTAATTATGCAAAAGTTTAAACAAGATTTTATTTTGATCTGAAAAGTGTTCTGCTTTTTATTTTGAAAATTATGAAGCCTTCATCAAAATCTAACGTGATTTATAAGATATTAAAAGCATCAGCAAACCAACAATTTTGATGTTGAATTAATAACAAATCTTATCTTTATCATTTTTCTGCCAGCCTAAATTTTATGTTTTAATCGAAATGAAATTTAAATGAAAAGGAAACAAGAATGAGTGGTGCTTTAGAGCTTTTGATGAATAATTAATCGTCACGCAACAAATGTTTATTGAGGATCGGATGAATTCTCATTGTAAATTTTCTTGTTTCATGAAAAACATTCCAAAATATGCTTCAAGAGATTATTTAAAAACTTTTCGACGATATCAAAAAAGATGTTTTATGTATTGAATGCCATAAATTATGCATGAAGAAATGTTTTTTCAGCAGAATGTTTCATAAAATATTTGACATCTGACCATTCCTTCAATTATATTTTGAATATTTATTCTTTTTCCGATGCCATCTAAATATTGCAAAGTTTTATCATAATTTGATATAAACCATTTTTGTTGCTGCTTTAAACTCCTTCAAGTTTTTTGTTATGTTTCTTTTGAACTAAAATCAATTAAACATTTGATACCCTAAAATTCTTGATACAATCATATCGCAACTGCTTTTTATAAAGTAAATTTGTAAATTCCATTAAAGAATTATAGTTGAAGTAAAGAAAGCTTTCATCTATGATGAGCTGAAACGTGAAAATTTTAATAAAATAATATGAAATCTCTTATTTTTCATCATAATTAATGGCTACAAGTACAAGGCTTTAAACAATATCTTAAAGGCTAATAGAAAATATGTTTGGAATGTAAAAAAAAATATAAAGAGGCACGAATGATTTCAAATCGTCTTGAATCCCTTTCTAGTTCAACAAAGGAACAGACGAAAATGCGAAAAACACCAAACGGATTTCTTTGTGAATTCCATTTCTTCAATTCTACTTTATCGTTCATTTCGTCATGGATTTGCTTTCAATTCTACCAACTCGATCTCGCAATTCTTTGTTTCCACAACAAAACAGTAATAGATAGAAAAGTTTAATTTTCTTTCTTTTCAACTTAGAACTTTCTTCTTTGTATTCAACTGGAAAGAATGGTGAAGAAAAAGATAAGAAACAATTTTCGTGAAAGCATCATCTGAATATCAAGCAGGCGTTAAATTTACAACAAACTTTCATTAGAATCGTGTTTTGTGGTTTTTAAATTAGATTCAATTTACAACAGCATTACCAGAATGTTTAAGGAGTGAAAATGATTCATCTTTCAAAAGCAGTTGTAAATGTTTTTAAATTTTTACCACTTGGGAGTTTCGAGCCAATCGCTCAATTAATTTTCTTTTTCGCAAAGCCCCACAAAAAGAAAATTTATTTTCAATTTTCAATCTTTATGTGAGGCTTCAACAAAAGAAATTATTGTTGTTGTGATTTAATTAATTTAATGATTCGAAATATGAAATCAATGTTTTCGTTCTTATTGAAATTTATTACGAATTATTTTCTATGGAATTCTGTTAATAAGGATAAGCTTCTTCTCTCCCGGGGTTCAATTTTAAAATAAATGCAATGTAAAAGATATCCAAGTCTTCTTCATGTTTCAAATTGTTGATCAGAAGAGCTTATGATGCTGACAGTTTCTACATTTATCTACATTTTATTTTCCTATCTTTTTTCTACCTTTCACTTGATTGCTTTTAAGCAAACAAAAGCTACAAATGCAGTATAAGTGAATAAGGAAGAATAACATTTCGAGTGTAAACATTTTCTTGATATGAAAAGCAAACAAATAAATTGATTTTCCATTTTATTTATTTATTTTTAATGTTATGAGAATCAGGGCAAGAAATTGCATTTCTGGGGACGCCATGTCGTGCTTTCCTATATTTGCGTTTTCACATTTTCACGAAACAAAAACAGAATAAACATTCTAATTTGTTTGAATTATTTATTAAATTAGTACGAAAGAAGCTTATTTAACAGAGTTTCGCTAAAAGTTTCATCAGGCGAAGCATCAAATAAAACTTGATAGCTCGTGCTAAATAGATCAACAAATTTCTGGTCTCCATCAAGGTTAACAAGCCAAGGTTAATCTTAACAATATAAAATATTTATACACATAGACTTACACGCAATTTTCATATAGAATGTCTGTCGAGGTAGTTCGCTAAGTTTTCGTCCGAGAAGCTTTTCATTCATTCTTTTTCCGGTTGAAATTTCCAACATGCGAATACAAAAATACAAAAAAAGGTTTTCTCTGAACAATTTGTACTGTCGACAGAATTGAATTGAGCCCAAACGACCATAAAATAAATGCTTTTAAACATATTCCTCCCAATTTGTGCGAGTTTATACGAGCTTCTAAATTAATTCAAAAGCTTTCAGTTTCAATATCTCTTTTCCAAGTTGAAATGTTACGGAAGACGACGAGATAAGCGCCTGACGTCTTATTGGAGATGAATTTTAATCCTCAACGGCGTCGTGTTCTGATGTTTTATTGAAACGAAGAAAACCACGTTAATACCTCAATGTAAAATGAGGTCACATAAAACTCCTTCTTCATTGAATACATAAGCCTTATGTAGGAACATTATGTGTGATTATGTTTCCATTTACTGACACATATTTTCATAAAATGATTTACAAGCATGCCTTTTGCATTAATTATCGTTGTTCCCTTTCCCTTTAAAGTCAACTGAGATATTAGAAATAAAAACGTTCTCGTAAAATGTTCTTCAATTTCAAGCCATAAAAACCACTTATGGAGAATTAGAAAATAAATTTTTGTGAAGTTGAACTTCAAACATAATGTTGAATGTAATTATTCCAAGCATTGAATAATTTATGTTCATTTTGCCTTATTGCTTAAAACATCTAATCGTAATGATGATAAACTGTCCTTGGGGAAAGTTCTTCTCGTGCAAAAGACGGAAATGAGTCGTTCACTCACTTCACTATATCATTGCGTTGATAACTTTCTTCATTTGTAATTATAATTTATTGTGATTTTCGCTGAATATTTGATCCGGATTTTCCCTTTTTGATGTAATCATGAATCAAAGATTATACAGACTGAGATGCTAATTTTATCCAAAGTCGTCTAAAAAACTTTAAATTATAATCCTTTATATCTGAAAATTTCCATGTTTGCATAATTTAACCAGAAAGTTTTGGAAATTTCTCACGCTCATTGATGAACATTTGTGGGATTTTTTTCGAAGAAAATCCTTGAGCTTCCTTTATTTAATTCATAAAACTGTGTGTAACATAAATTTAATCTTTTTTCTTACAATGATGGAAGAAAATTCAAAATAATCGGGAAATTAAATAAAGGAAAATTCTTTGACTCAAGAATATTCCAAACATGGAGCAAATTGGATTATCTAAAACTTTTCTACGATTTTTCTCCTTTTTGTGCATATTTTCAGTCCTAAGCCTTAGGGAAAAATTTTTAAGTTAATCAATAGGTGGGTTGAAATATTTCACGTTTTGAATTTTAAATCTTTCAAGCATGTTTAAGTTAAGAAATAATTTCTCGTTGGATTTCCTTCATTCTGTCTTTATTGCCTCGTAGGAATTGTAGAGAAATGGTTTCACTCAAAAAATTTGAATATTATTATTCACCTTCAAGCATTTTTTCTTCACTTCCTCTTATGTTCTCGGTTATTTTTCTCTCGAAAAGGCCTACAACATAAAACATCAAATCTTTGTCTTACTTCCAAGAATTAATCATTTGAAGCCTGTGAGGTATTCCATCGCAAGTATTTCTCTTTCCCGTGCTGTATGTTTACAGATAACAAAAACAACGCCACAAGCGTTATCCGTTTGAAACAATTTGGGAAAATTTCCTGCTTGTGTCACATCTCTCAATGATGACCTGTCACGTTCAATATTAAAATCGTACGTGACATTATATTTTAATGCTTTTAGTCACTTGTTACACAAAAAACAAAAGCAAGCTTTGTTGCCATTGTCCTCGCATTCAGCAATTGAGAGAAAAGAAAAGAACTTAACTTTACTCCGTAAACCGTTTCCATAATTTATTTAATTGCTGAGTATTATCCATTGAAAGTCAAAAGGAAATAAAGCTTGATTCTTTGAGAGTAACATCCGAATCAATTTAATAATTCATTATGATCATCTCTTGCGTTCATCGTTGATGGCGTTAGCATTGTAATAGTCATAAGTTCATTGCTATCAAATATTATAACATTTTCCTTTTTTTTTCTTCTGCATTCCAGATCTGCTTACGATACCGTAACAAAGACGAAAGTTGCCATCAAGAAAATATCACCATTCGAACATCAAACGTATTGTCAGCGAACACTGCGGGAGATCAAAATTTTGACAAGATTTAAGCATGAAAATGTAAGTTAAATGTAACTTTTGTCATAATGTTATGCCTCGAGTCAAGTCTCAATAGATTTCATCTCTGAATTTGTTACGTTTGAAAACTTTTCTTTCTTTCGTTGTGCCACGCGCAACAGGTTCAAGGATATGGAAATTGAGAACAAAACGTTGTGATAAAAAGTAAATAATCGAAGTCATGGTATTGAAAAAAAGGATAAAACTTTTGTTTTGTGTTATCTAACATACAGCAAAATGTCTTTACACACTTATTTGCTTTAAAAGAACAAAAAGCAAAGATTCCAATTAAAAAAAACTTTGCACCAGATGTTCATCATATTCATCTCATGATTTATTCATTCGAGAAATCAGAAAGTTTGCATTCAGTTATTAATTTTAATAACAACTACAACTCTAACAACATCTAAAGAGATTAACCCGCAACACTCTAATTTATAATTACCACATAAAAAATGCCAATTTGCGTCCTTCTTATTTCATGGAAAATAAATGAGAAAACCAACCCAGCTCATCTTTTTTAGGTCGATAGACTCGGTGGCAACTTCAACTTATGCTTCATGCAAAACAGTTTGCAATTAGCGTTGTGCTCAAAACATTCAGAAACAAATTTAATTAAGTTTCACCAACTAGAAATAAATTTATAATTTACTGCATTCATTTGCAATCGGTGGGTGTTGTCATGGGGGTGGTTGAAGAGGGATATGTAGATGTTTAACGGAAAGCGAGTGATAACGTGAACAAACGAGTTTCATCTCAACTTTATATTGTTTCTAACGAGCCCCTTCCTCCCTTAATAACTGCCCTGGTAATGATTGCTGTGAGTGAGTACCCCAAGCTGCGTTATGTGATATTCGGTTGAACGACTTTTCATCGGATGTTTGTGTAAAGCGCTTGCCAACACAAAACAGCTTTTTCCTTTTATCCAAAACGATAATTCTTTGAAAAAATGTGAAGAAACCGAAATAAGATATTTTATTTTCTTTTAATGGATAGCATTTTACGATGATTCTATGTGTGTATGAGTGTGTGTACGCTTGGTTTGCGATCATCTAATGATATGATTATGTTATGATGAAGGGAAACATGCCCGAAGTGGTTTTGCTTGAGTATGAAGAAGAAAGTAACAAATAAAACCGTTTAATGGAGCTTGGAAGCTTTTTTTTTGTTTTTGGTTTCCCGTCTCGATTCCATCATGTAGTAATTACTGTAATATGCTCAAGCTTTTAAAAGATTTTATAAAATAGGAAACAAAGAAGTTGAAACAATCTAGATTAAGTTTATTCCATGAGGTAATTGGATTTCAGAATTTTCTCGTTAACAAAGTTTGGAGTAAATTTTCACAGAGCTCTTATATTTATATATTCGAGATTTAAGCTTTTGTTTCCAATGGATAGAATTTCACAGTCTTCTCATGATGTGACAAGACGTAAATTTCTGTAGAATGCAAAACAATGACGTTAAGAAAACAAGCTTCTTAAGTAAATTTTATCCTAAATGGTTCTTATTTTCGTAATCCGGTTTCAACTTGAACTTCATAAAGACGTCATCAATTTTCTTATTTAATGTAAAACTTTTCATTTCCTTTGGTAACAATTCAAATTTTCTTCTTTCCCTCGTTACGCTTGGTGAACATTTTTCAATTAAAGCTCTTAATTAAATCTAACTTTCCACGATTAATGAAAAAAAGTTTCATTTTCTTGCCTAAACTCGCAGCTTTTTTTTCTGGCTCTTTGATCATTTTGTTTATTAATTTTTTTTATGATTTTCTCCTTTACTCATCTTTTTACTGGCAAGTTTTATTGGATTTGGGTTAAGCTTTACATTATGGCAGTGGATTAAGATTATAAATTTACTTGTTGTATCTATACAAGAAATATGGAAGATAATAAAGTCACATTAAATCACAACATTCCCCCGCAGACAAGAAACTTTAGTTTCATACCCAAAGCCTAGAAAGAAAGCAAACAAAAAATGAGCTTTCCTGGTATGCGATAATTTATTACAGTGAAAGCTTTGCAAGGGTAGAAATGTGATGCCTTTTCCCTTTTTTGCGCTTTTGCTTTGAGCGATTAATTTTAATACATAAAAAGTGACTAAAATTTCCCTTTCCTATGAAACCCAAAAGACCTTTAACGACATCGTTTCTCGGTAATCTTGTGCAGCGAAAGCTTCAGAAGGAAGAATTCAAAGAGCTATGAGTGACTTTATACCAACAGTGACATAAAACTTTCTGACAAAATGATGATGATGATGATGACAATTCAGTTCTTCGTCACGTCATGTAATGTTTTTGTAGGTCTGATATTGAAAACTTATGACCGAAGTTATAATTTATATTTATCTTCAGACTTTGCGACATTCATATCAAAGTTATTGAAACAAATTGTAGATCAATATTTACTTACTTCCTTATTTCTGAGCTTCTTCAGTCGTACAAAATTAAATAAACTCAACGAGCTTCCATAAATAGACGTTGCGATAAAATGAAACTCTGCACTTATCATGAACTTATTTAAAGCACGTCGTTTCATGATGAGCACAGTTTTCGATCGATTGAACGAAGTTAAAGAAAATCGTCATCATGCAAATGAGTTTCTTTTCTTCATTGCTAGACATTCTGTGGCTTCCAATCAAGTGCAAATATATAAAAAAATATAAAAAAGACTGAAAATCGATGACGACGTCGAACGAGAGTATTAAAAACATGAACATAAAAATGGAAAATAGAAAGAAAAAATATCCAGAGTTGGATGTTAAAACGAGGAATTGTGGATGAATTTAATGTGAAAAAGATTTCCCTTCACTTTCAAGCTTACTAAGCGTTGACGAAGCGAAAACATCACGCACAATCTGCCATGAATGATAATTTATCTTTCTCTTCTGTGCTATCATGAAAATGGCAAACGCGACATGCCCTAGGAAAGCGTCAGATTTAGTTATTTTATTTTTTATAACACTCCATACTAACATCACGTCACGGAATATATTTTAATGTTTATTAAAGTTCATTGTCGTTTGAGTATACCAGGAAGTGGTGATTAGATATGCGAAAGATTCTTAAATTCACCTGTTGCTTGCGGAGAAGCTTCGTTTGAAAAAAATGAAATTAAGTTTGGTGTCATTAACAAGCGGGCAACTTTTTTCTTTCTTTCCACATGACTTAGTCACAAAAAATGGTGGGTGGTTAATGAGATGTAAATATTTAAAAAGAATTATTGAAGATAAAATAAAATAAAAAAAGGTTCCGACGAGATTTGTAATCTTCCGCAATTGATTGAATGAAAAGCTAACAACATAATGAATAATCGACATTTTCCTTCTTTTCGTTGCTTTTTATTTACAGATCATAGATATTAGAGACATTCTGCGGGTGCCTAGCATAGAACAAATGAGAGATGTTTACATTGTGCAGTGTTTAATGGAGACTGATTTATACAAATTGTTGAAAACACAAGTAAGTATCATCGCTTTGTTTCACGGTTTCGCGTGAGAAATGACAAATGAACATCAGCGGTCTACCTACGTCATCTGTTAAATCCAGTGACGCTCAAAGAGTGTGTCGTGGAACTTTCTTTTGATATAAAAAATGTGAAATATCGAGCAGCGCTGCCTCAGACTTAACTATGATAAATTTTCTTCAGCATTCATTTGAAAGTTTTTGAGTTGTTATCAAGAAACAATAAATCTTCAGCTTTCTTAAGATTACCGCATCCATATTCTCACATCGAATCTAAACTGCGACAATCAATCTCCATTTTTAACAATCTTCTTATGGTTCTTTCTTCTTCAATTTTTCAGAGATTGAGTAACGATCACATCTGCTATTTCTTGTATCAGATATTGCGCGGTCTCAAGTACATACATTCGGCAAATGTACTGCACAGAGACTTGAAGCCAAGCAATTTACTGTTAAATACGACATGTGATTTAAAGGTAAGCTGAGATGACTCTGATAGTTGGAATGATGATAATAAATGATGTGAATTTTGTTGTTTGTCTTCCAAAAATAAATAAAAGATTTGTGATTTTGGTCTCGCACGTGTCGCTGATCCAGAGCACGACCACACGGGATTCTTAACAGAATATGTTGCAACAAGATGGTATCGTGCACCAGAAATCATGCTCAATTCCAAGGGATATACAAAGTCCATTGACATCTGGTCAGTCGGTTGCATTCTCGCTGAAATGCTCAGCAATCGTCCAATTTTTCCCGGCAAACATTACTTGGATCAATTGAATCATATTTTGGGTGTTTTGGGTTCACCATCGCAGGAAGATTTGGATTGCATAGTGAATGAGAAAGCTCGCAGTTATCTGCAATCGCTACCATTTAAACCGAAAGTCCCATGGAACAAACTCTTCCCACAAGCTGATCAGAAAGCTCTTGATTTGCTAGGAAAAATGCTCACGTTTAATCCTTATAAACGAATATCGGTTGAAGAAGCCTTGGCACATCCATATTTGGAGCAATACTACGACCCAGCTGACGAAGTGAGTTTAAATTTACTGATTTCTGTCATTTATCATCTTCAACAATTTTTTTATATTCCATTCGTAGCCTGTTGCTGAAGAACCTTTTCGTATTGCAATGGAACTCGACGATTTACCGAAAGAGACACTCAAGAAACTTATTTACGATGAAACGCTTCGCTTTGCTGATTCTAATCACGAACCGGAAGCTTAAAGTCATCCACTCTTGCATCGATCTCACTTCAAACATCGAATGTTGTAGAGTTTTGGGATGTTGTAACAATTTTCACTCCCATCAGACGTGTTTTTTACATTCTTTGGTATCTGGATGTTTTATTTACATTTTTCATTTTAAGTTTTCGTTTTCATTTCATTCTTTACGGAGAATTTTCAATTTTTAAAAACTTCAAATGTTAAAGTCGACATCTTTAAAATGTTATTTCAAAAAATAATCCCCCGCCCCCACCTGCTTCATCACTGATTGTTCTTGAATGTTTCGCAACAAACTTTTAACTTTCTTTTTCAAGATCTTCAATTCATCACTCATATATCGATGAAGATAAGAATGAAAGTAAAAAGTTTTGTCAAAAGAAAAACTAAAATAATAATAAAAGATTTTATTCGTGATTCAAGATTAGATGTAAAAAAATGCAGGGATTTGCGTAACAAATTGAAAGAATAAAAAATAAAAAGAAAAGTTGACAACATTTAATTAACGATGACTTTGAAACATTTCATAAGAAAGACAAATTTAACGACATCTACAAAACATCGTCAAATGAAAGTTTTTCTTATTATTTTCTACTCTTTCAAAGGTTGTAGATTTTAATTAATTTGATGCTTCAAAACGTTCTTCTTAAATTGAAAATTAAATAAGAAGAGAATAAAAATTTCTTTTTGTGTAGATTTTAATAAAAAAAAAAATAATTAATGAGAAAAAATGAAAATTTCGCACATAAATCGCCCACATACACATATTAAATGTTTGTTATGAAAGCAATTTAATTTTTGACTATATCATGTTGAAATGTTACATTTGTGCGACATTGTCCCCAATAAACAATTTACATTCTTAAAAGCTTCTTGTCACAACATTAAAAGATGTCGTTATAGCGATGTTCAAATTAAGATGACCGAAAAATCAAAAAATCTTTCAGTCGCAATTGATACTTGAAAGATTCTGAAACTTGTTACATAAATCAAGTGTTAAAAAATTATTTTTTTCTGAATGTTTTATTCATACTTCATCAATTGCCATCATTATTGAGAGCTTATTACTCTCACCTTCAGTTTTAGAGTTTTATGTTGGAATGAAGAACGTGCCAGTAATTATAATGAAATTTTTTACTTTAACTACGAACCCTTTTACTTCCTTCCCAAAACCTTCCAATATGAAACCAATAAATAGAAGGAAAGGAAATCGGTGAAGTGGAAAAAGGTTTACGCTTTTAAGATTGTTTCTCATCGAACCTTCCCATCTTCCCTCACTACTCCCTCATACTCAAATTTATTATGCTTCCCAATGTACGACTTCATCTTATTCAAATCATCACTTATTATCATTGCAAATTAAGAGATAAAAGAAAACATTAACATTTCTAAAGGTTTAAATGGTGATAAAGAAATTAAAATTAAAAATTTAGAAAAAGAAACACAAGCAGTTATTAATTTTAGGATGTTAAGTAAGTATCAGAAGAAAGAACAAAGAGCAGTCACAACATGAATTTTTTGCTCTTTTGTCACGTAGCCACCGTTCATTATAACAAAAGAAGGTATAAAAGTTTAAGACAAAGAAAGAGGAAGAAGAAAAAGCTTTTGAATTTCCGCTACTGAATAAATAATAAAATTAGTAGGATAAAAACAGAGAAAAGTTACAGTTTGAAAGTTTTTTGTTTTGTTCTCAGCCGTAGCGAAAGCGCCAACATGTGTGAAGAAAGAAATTTACACAATTTGAATTATCATATAATGGAAGTTTACAGATTTTTAGATAGAAGATTTAAAAGAATAATAAATATGAGTCGAAATTAAATGTTCTTTAAATAATTGCATGTTCATCTTCGGTACTTAGACATTTCTTCGACAGCTTAAACTTGTTAAAAGTTGTCATCCCTTTTTTCTCTTTTCACGATAACCAAGAATTGTAATGAAGGAAATGAGAAAAAAATAAACTTGAATTAAACCCCATTGAGAGTTGTTTAAATAAAGCAAGCAACTTTACTCTTACATTATGAAATAATTGTAAAAACTCAATTCTCCATGCATATTTAACTCAAAAATCTTGTTCCAAGACTCAAGTGCACAGTCAAGAACATTAAATATTTAACTTAGAAGCTTTTTTTTTCTTTAATTTAAAAGCAAATCGTGCCATTCGTTAAAGCCGTAAGCAATTGAGCACCACAAAAGAACTTCGATAATATTTCTTTTAATTAAATCAGATTTATTAAACGTTTGCTCTCAATGTAATTAAATAAACAAGAAATTATAAGCATATTGCCCTCATGTTTCTTTATTTTTCGATAGATAACAAAATAGGAAAAAGAAGAAGAAAATAAAAATCGAACATAAAGAAAATTTTACTTCTTTGCATGGAAAAACTTAGATCGAGATTGCTGGAAAAAGATTAAAACTCAAGAGCATGGGTGCATCCATAAGTTATGTTTGCTTATTAAAACAAGCAAATTTTTTTGAATATTTATGTCAAACGTTTAATTATCTAAACGAACAAGGAAAATTTTTCCAGTGCTCTAAACAAAAAATATGATAAGTAAAATTTTTTCTCATTCATTCTGAATAAAAGGAAAAAACAAAAGAAAAAAAATGAAATCGTAAATGTTTTAAGTGTAAACAAAAAAAAGAAGAAAAATCGCATTAAACATGATGAAAAAAGAAATGAAATGAAAAATAAAATAAAAATGATAAAAAGTAATATTTGTTGTTAATGTTCATGAATAGAACGAGAAAGCTAAGAATAATTGATGATAATCTTAAGTCTTCTGTTCTGGAATGATATGAGATTGATCATTTGAATGATTACGATTAGCATCGACGTCATTTCCACACCATCATGAACTCAATGACTTCCTTAATGATTCCTCGATTCACAACAACTAAATTATTAATTGTCGAATGGATGCAGGTCTGGTTTATTTCAACAGCTTGTTTTTGATGTTGTTATGCTTTGGGTATGATTTTGAGATTCCCTCAACAATAACAATTTCAAAATGAAAAACAACAATCTAAAAACCGCGAATAAGAACGAATGATGTATGTTTGACGGTGTTGGGAACATTCACTGCACAATCTTTTATCGCTTGACCTTCATATCCTCCGCCATCGCCTAAAGCACTAAATTCTGTTGCTATACATTTCACATACATTCTTTCAATATCATGATATGCCACGTAGTTTGAGTTAACCCACCGTGTCTCCCCATTTCTGTGCTAACGAACTTCTCCTGGTGTCATTGAGTTTCTCAAGGCCATAGATTAAGATGTATTGGATTGGGGCCCACGTGTTAGGAAAATCCCATTGTTTGCGAGAATTGTTCGAGTTGAGGGGTTCACCTTCTGGATAAATATTAAGATTAATTTGATTGATGTGTTGTGAACCTTCTCAGCGTTGTCCTTAGTTTCGATTGATTGAAACATTTCATCCATAAAGACGACAGATTTGTGGAAGTGAAATAAGGTCGTAACTTTTGATTGATAAGATCATAATCGAACTCTTCATCATATAGAACTTCAATGACAATCAGAAATGTTCATGTCCTTCATAATCGATTTTTCAACTTTTTTTCTTCTCTCTTCGCTTATTCGTAGAATTCCGCAATGACATTTGAATTCCAATAGTGAATTACAATCAAATAGCTGGAAAATTCTTGTTTTTCTTGAGTTTGAAATTCTTTTTCAGCATTTGAAAACATGCACGATAAGAATCTGGCTTTAAGCCACTCAAATACTTTGAACAATCAATGTAGCGTGCTAATCGATACCCTTTCTGGTCTGTTCTTTCCTTAGATTTCTTGAAAAGCACTCGAATTCACAGACAAGCAAATCAAGCGTAGAAATGGCAAATGGACAGTTAAGGGTTTTCTCAACATAACATTTTATCTTTTTGTCAGTAGATGAAATTCTAACAAATGTTTTTGAAAATGCCGATTGAACTTTATTGATTATTTCAAAAAGGAATGTGACAACAGCGAGAAATGAATGGATAGCATACATCAATGATCAAACAAATCTTTCTTATTTCTTTTGAAAGTGGACAATAAGACTTGAGAATATTGGCAAATATTTTAAGTGACACGTGCCAATAAACACTTGGGATGTGTTTCAATTTTACAAGTTCAACTTTGATGTCTTTCGAATGTAAAAACTTCTCTTATTCTCCAATGGAAGATTCCATTTTGTTGTTAAGGTTTTCACCTTAAAGTTATAAAAGTTTCATCAAATAAGTATCCACAGAAGGAACCATTTTAATAAATAATTTCAATTGGTTTTATTATTTCCTTTTTGTTTGACTATTTCACCTTTAATGTTTGAAAGATTTTTCCTTAGCGATGGAAATATTCACAACAAGCTTTAACTGTCAGTATAAGAAGTGAATAACTTTAGAAATTTTCCACAGATGGCGACTGTTTACACGAAAGGAAAATAAAGTCGGAAAAACTGTTATAAGAATTTTCCAGCATTACAAAAATAATTCTAAAGAAATTTATTTCTTTTAGATATTTAATGTTAAATGAAAACGATTTTCGAGTAATTTATAAATTCAAATATCTTTATTTGAGAATCGAGAATAATCGATTTGAGTAGATGAGAATTTACCACCTTAAACACAAACATTTATGTATTAGATATTGAAAATTATTTCGATAAAGAGCTAAGATTAATAGCCACATAAGCGATCACATTACGTCTTGAGGGAATCTGAACGATTTTCGGAATTAAAATGTCGTTATCAGATTTCTTCAAAGTAGCAGCAAGCGAGAATTTCCCTTTCTTCTTTGGTTTCTTTCGTTCGTTCTTGTCGAAGAAAGAAAAGTGAAATGAAATCCCAATAGGAACACAACCAACAGCCAAGCAACCGTCGGAGTCGTTGAAGTATTTTTTATCCCTTCCTGAAGTTTGCATAAAAATCGGATTCGAGGCTCGTTTTATCGAAGGTGTCGGAACAGGTTAAGTGATGTCATAAATTTCCTTCGCAAAATAAATACACATTTTATCTCGCCCACATTAAACTTTATTGAGCTTGAAAATTTATTTAAAATGTTTTTCTTTTGTCCTTTCTCTCACTTTGCCTGCTTCAACTTGATTCTACTCGATTCAACTCGACTCGACTGTGTGTGAAGTGAAGGAAAAGTTTTTCATCGACCAAAAGCTGCCAAAAAAATGTTGACACGATTTTTCCATTGATTTTTTTACTCTTTCGTTTCACAACTTTTTACTCGATGCAAACGACAACATTTTCCATTCAATTACTTATGCAGATGGAAAGGATCAAAAAGATTTCTACCAGCCACTTCATGCCGAGAGGAAAATTATTGCAAGACGAGAAAATTGTGATAAAATAATTAGATGTTTTCCTTTTAATTTGAATTCTTTCCATGCTTTCATTCGATGCAACATAACTAATGAATTAAAAGTTTTCTTTTTAACTTTTTCGTTTGTTCTTCTTCTCGACCCCATTAAATTTTAATTAGCCATAAATTAAGGGCTTTAAAGCGGAAAACATATTTAGAGATTCATGATAGTTTGCTAGAGGAAAAGTTTGGTGATGCTGCTGATATTGTCGGTGGATGGAGAAGAATGGACAGGAGGAAAAACTTTATTTTGTACACTTTTAATTAAACATATAAATCAACACACAACATGAATATGAAACATGAAACATGAAACTTCAATGGCAACAAATATGTCAGAAAATCATCCTCGCATAGTTTACAGAAAAATTTTCGAAAACTTTTTCAGTTCTCTTTCAATTTCACAAAATATTGTTCAAAAATGATTCGTGACGATTTCCGAGTACATTTTGTTTGCATCGCTATTGATATAGAATTGCGAATACTTTGCGGATTACAACATAAAAAAGAAGAAAAAAATGTCAGAAATTGTAAAGTAATCTGACAAAAGCGACTTTTCGTTATTCATCAGAGACTTGGTGAACATTTGAATCGTCAATTGATCTTTTGGATAACATTTCTACTCGTTTTTAATTTCCTTAATGATAAAAATTCATTTTTGAGGCAATTTTTGAGGTAGCAATCAACTATTCTGTTTAATGCTTATATCTATTTTAATGCTGATATCATTATATTCTACATATTAATGTTATCAATAAGTAAATATATTAATAAGCTTGTCATACCTTATTCAGTTATTATTCTCACCACAAGAAACTTTCAAATTTACAAGTGTTTATATACAACACTTGCTTGCTAATTGATTTATCTATTAAATGGTTATTGCTTGTTTACGTATTAATCTTGATTAAGTGTGGTGAAATTGTAGAAATAAATTTAATATAAATTGCTGTGAATAAGAATATTAAGAGCTCATTTAGTATCACTTGAAACTAAAAGTAAATTCTTCAAAAGAAATTGAAAATGAAGTTCACAATTTTAATTTTGTGTAAGAATTTTAGATTCTGTCATTAATAAAATATTTTTACACTTCTGTTTTCAGTTCTTGTTGCAATGATCGCAATTCAAGGAACATACGCAGCAATCTGTGCGAGAGATAACAAAACAGGAAAATATGAAACGCTTGACAGTCTCGAAGACATGTACAGCAGAAATGCTAATGGTGGACGTTAGTATTTTTAAATAATTTAACTTATTATGTGAATAAAATTGTTCATTATTTTGTCTTAGGATTTGTGTTCTTACATGAGGGCTCTTGTTAAACATCTAGAACTGATGAACCTGTAATAACTTAGATATGTAGATAAAAATAATTTAAATAAAAATAAATTTTGTTTTATTTCAACAACATCCACAAAACTTATTTGCTTCAGTAATTTAATTAAATTTTAAATTTTTTCAGATTTTGAAAAATGAAAATATCTGAAATATTAAAGATTAAACCTAATTGGTTAGTGATGTTATAATTAAAAAAATCTGGAAGTCCTAGTCCATCTTATGTCACAATTTGTGGCTCACAAATCCATTATTCTGATAATAGTGCCGTTAAATGAATTGTAATTTATCATAAAAGCAACATTAAAGCTTCGATGCGATAAATACTTCAAGTGTTTATTTTGCCGAATTTATTATTAATATACAAACTGTCCACGATTAAATGCTTCATCAATTTTCAATTGTTTAATGGAATTAAATCTCAAATTATCTCTTGCAACTGCATTAAAGAATTTGAATTTAGACAATTGTGAACATATTGATACTTGTTGTTTGTTTTCAATAAGTGATAGATAGATAATATAATAAGTAATATTGTAAATTAGGAAAACATTTAAATTAGTTTTTATAATATTTTAATTTATTTCAATTGTCCTTAACGAAAAAGAATATTACAAATCATTTTCATCTATTGACTTCAATTATTGACATCGTTTTAACAATGACCGTTATACAAGAACTCAAATCCTGTAAAAAAGTAACTTTAATTCATATTCAATTAAAATATTTCTTATCACTAACGTCCACCCTCAGTATTTGAGGCGTACATATCCTCTAAACTGTCGAAGTTTTGATATTGGCCAGTACGAAGTTCTCTCGAACAGATAGCTGCGTAACTTCCTTGAATTGCGATCAATACAACGAGAACTGGAAATAAAACTGTACAAATTTTTATAAATTAAAGAACTCAAAATTCTTACACAAAGTTAAAATTATGAACTTCATTATTAATTTGCCTTTAAGACTCTTCTTGTACTTCTAAATAATACTGAATTAGCTCTAACAATTCACAGCAATTTATATTAAATTTATTTCTACGATTTCACCATACTTAATCAAGATTAAGAAGACCAGAGTTGGGATTTGACTGACTGACTGAC